GAAAGCGAGGAGGAGCTGAGGTGCCTTCTAAATCAAGTGAGAGAAGAAAGTGCAAAGGCTGGGTAGCAGTTAAACATAAAAAAAACCCCAAGATTGTGGCAACAAAACGTGGAGGCAATGACAGACTTTGTATTTCTAGGTGCAAAGATTACTGCAGACGCAGACTGCAGTAAGAAAATCAGAAGAAGTTTACTTCTTGGGAGGAGAGCAATGACCAATCTCGATAAAATAGTGGAGGGTAGAGACATCACACTGGCAACGAAGATCCTCATAGTTAAAGCAATGGTGTTCTCCGTAGTAACCTACGGATGTGAGAGCTGGACCATAAGGAAGGCTGAGTGAAGGAAGATAGATGCATTTGAACTGTGGTGCTGGAGGAAAATTCTGAGAGTGCTTTGGACCACAAGAAGATCCAACCAATCCATACTTCAGGAAATAAAGCCCGACTGCTCATTGGAAGGAAGGATAGTAGAGGCAAAGATGAAGTACTTTGGCCACATCATGAGAAGACAGGAAAGCTTAGAGAAGACAATGATGCTGGGGAAAATGGAAGGAAAAAGGAAGAGGGGCCGACCAAGGGCAAGATGGATGGATGGTATCCTTGAAGTGACTGGCTTGACTCTGAAGGAGCTGGGGATGGTGACGGCCGACAGGGAGCTCTGGCGTGTCATAGTCCATGAGGTCATGAAGAGTCAGAAGCAACTGAATGAATAAACAACAAAAAGTATTTAGGGGACAGCTTCAGAGTTGGGGGCTGAAGATCTATGAAAGAATCAGGACTGACCAGCAGAGCAAAGGACAATGGGTTAAACCATTGTGCCAGCAGGACTGCTGATTGAAAGATCAGTCATTCAAATACAGGGATAGTGGGTTGAGCTCCTTCTGTCAGCTCCAGCTCCCCATGCGGGGACATGAGAAAAGCCTCCCACAAGGATGGTAAAATATCAAACATCCGGGCATCCCCTGGGCAACATCCTTGCAGACAGGCAATTCTCTCACACCAGAATCAACTTGCAGTTTCTCAAGTCGCTCTTGACATGAAAAAACCCCCCTAAAAGGTGATTGTACAGGCTGCTTAACCATCAATGCTGGCAAAAGGAGAATTCCCTTCACCACATCTGGCCTGAGCTAATAAGTTAGTTATAGGAAAAGGCTAGGAAAGGTTTATGGCATAGAAACTGAAAGAGTTGATCTCTGACGAAAGGCATTGGCTGGAGAACTCGGAAGGTACAAGATGGCCATGACCACTGTATACACACCTCTACTCCCACTCCCAGCCCTATGATATGTTGTTTGTGTAGCCACACTCTTTCATTAAAAGCAGAACCAGCCAAAAGGAAATTGACATCATTAGTATTCCTAAATCTCCCCTTATTAGTGTTCCTATATCTCCCCTTATGTGCATCTTTCCCCAGTTCTAGGTGGTATAATATTTCTAGGCACCTATCATTCTGGAAGCCAAGCAGAAACAGAATGCGAGTAGATGGAGTAGACATAGTCACATGCTTGCACACACCTTTAACCTAATTATCAGTTAAAGCATTTCCTACAGCTCTAACGTTTGTAGAAAAATTCAAAGTACACTTAAGGTTATGCATCACATCACTTTACTGTGTTTCTATAAATAATGGCAAATTATGCACAAATTGCCTTGTATGTTTGTTCTGTCAACTTTAATTTCCAGTGTGCGAGTCCATGGGTTTCCTTATCTGAACCTCATAATACAATTTAAAGCAACTAGACTTGCTTTCACAAGGCCATGCAAGATTTCCAGCTGCCACTAGTAACACACACACAGCGTTATCTGGCAGTTTTTAAAAATGTGCAGACACAGTTACAGACAACAGGTAGCAATTGGAAAAGATTACTTACTGAAGTATTCCTTGTAACTCTTGGAACACAGAAATAACACTAATCAGTGTGTCAAGAAATGAATAAAGATGTAGGTAATGATCTTAGAGGGAACATTCATGCTCCATATATATAGTTCCACATCTTTGTGTCCCACTGAAGGCCTCATGACACTGTTGCTCTAATCATTAAATAACTGTACAGAGGTGGAGGAAAACAATGGGGTAAAATGGGACTGCCAGTATGTGTGAAAGAGAGAGAAATGATGACACTGTTGCTCCTTCTCAAATGCACAAACTGCAGTAAGAGGAGGGCCATGCCTACTGCTCAGTCCCCTTCAACTTCAAAATATTTGACTATAGCTTGGGGACTGATTTTGGATGAGATCAAGAAGCTAGAGAATGTTGTCTTGTGCCCTGTTCAAGACAAACACATGCACACCAAGAAAGCATACATATGTTACTAACAGAATATCTTTGAGGATCTGTCCAAAGTACTGAAACTATTTTGGCGAGAGTATTCAGAACCTTGGACAGCTTCCTTTAAAGGCTGGATTAAAGCTGAAGTTATTTCACTGCTCTATTCACATGGACACCGATCACCATGTGTTATGACTATGAAATCTATCAGTCTATATATAGAAATACAGCTTTATAGATTGTATCTAGTATTTTTAAAAGTGAAGGCAGAGAATGGAAATTTATCTCCCTGAAATGCATTTTATGTTGAAGCAGTATCACTCCAGTTGGGGATACCTGGTAGGATACAGATGTAATTATTTAGTTTTCTTTTGCACCACCTTTGACTGCCACCTGGATCAAACACCCCCATACTCCACCTTCCACCACCAGCATTCCCCCCTTGCACATGCATGCACATACACACACACAGAGCAAAAATATAGATAGCAATGTCATAGCAGCCCCTGTCAAATCACCATTTAGGCCCCTTCTTCACTGCCATATAAACCAGATTATTAAAGCAGATAATCCACATTAACTGCTTTGAACTGGATTATATGAATCTACATTGCATTATGATCTAGATCCACCTCACCATAGTTTTGCATAGCCCACATTTGACTTGTTTGTTTGCCAGAAGGTCATGGGGGACCTTGTGGAAAGCCTTACTGAAATCCAGATATGCTACATCCACAATGCACCCTGCATCTACCCAGCTGGAAAATTTACTCCTGAAATAATTATCGTGGGAGAATCCTTGATAGTGCCAATCCTTGTTTCCACAACAAGCATTTTTTTTTTCAAAATCTAGGGACAGAAAGTGAGAGGAAATCTTCTGAACAGGGGCACAGACAGCAAAACAAAGACCATGGGGGTTTTAACCCATCCCTCTGCTATCCAAAATGCATGTGTGTGTATGTATGTGTGTATGTGTGTGACTGGAATTACTATAAAAATGTACCTTTTTCAACTTACATACAAATGCAGCTTAAGAACAAACCTATAGAACCTATCTTGTTTGTAATTTGGGGACTGCCTGTATTATAATTTTTAATGAAGTCTTTGGTTCCATTTGTACCATCTGAATAGATATGTGTGTATACCTAAGTTTCTCTGGGTTGTTGTAGGTTTTTCGGGCTGGATGGCCATGTTCTAGAAGCATTCTCTCCTGCCATTTCGCCTGCATCTATGGCAGGCATCCTCAGAGGTTTTGAGTTTCTCTCTCTCTCTCTCTCTCTCTCACACACACACACACACACACACACAGAGACACCAGTTCCTGCTTTCAAAATTCCCTTTTCCTTTTCTGACTGGAAAATATCAAAAAGCAAGGAAATATTCTACATGTGATATATGTATCATCAGCTGTAAAACAAGCTGGTGTCAAGTAACATGATAGTGAATAAAAAATAACTGTTATTAAAGGATAAACCAGTGGCATAATAATTCATAGGCAGAACAATGCCTATAGCTCTTATTTCAATATTAGATTTTGGTTAGAAGTATTAACTCACATGAGTTCATATGCTTTGCCATCATCTCCAAAGCACCTAATAGTACATATATAAATGTTATTTTGTATTATAACAAAAACAACACAATGAACTCAGTAACAACATCAGAAATGAGATGCAGGGGTCCAAAATAGAGTTGTGCGGAGAAGAGCATTATGGAACAGGGGAAAGGAAGTGGATAATGTGAGGGTGAAATGAAACTGATGCAACAAGAAGTAAAGGATGGATGACAACTACAAAGACAGAAAGAGAGGGATGTAGGGACAGAGAGTCCTCCAGAAAGAGTACAGAAGAATAAAAGGGAGGATCTAGAAGTTGAGGGTAAAGACAGATCTGTTTGTGGAGCAAGAGAGAAATATCAAAAGGGTGGTCACATATATAAGAGCAAGAGTGAGGGCACACATTATGGCACAAAAAGTGACCAAAAAAGAAGAAATAACAGGTTTCCAGGAAAACTGTCACAGGGAATGCAAAAAAATAAAACAAAACAAAAGACTGGGAAGCACCCCGACAGGTTTAGAATAGTAGTAGAAATTAAAGTATTGGTGCAACTCACTTGGAGTATTAAAATGACTGTCTTCAGAGTGATTGGAAATGTGTACCAGTTCTAGCTCAGCCCCAAACCATTGTTGAATATGGCCTTATACTTCCTACCTATTACCCCGGTCAACCCTCTAATAGGCCCTGAAAATGAGCAGCCACAGACCCATACCTGCTATTCCTGTTAGCCTGTTATAGCACTGTACTTAATTCCTGGTCCCCTCATATTTTGAGTTTGCACTAGCCTCGGCCTGGCCTTTTAATTGCTCTGAACAGGCAGGATTATTTTTAATAAATTTGTGTTATTGTGATAATTTAATGCTTTAGTTGTTTTGTTAATTTTATGTCATGCTGTTTTCTTTCATGTTTTGGTGATGTTACTTGGAAACTGCCCTGACTCCCCCTCGGGGAGATAGTGCGGTATATCAATATAGTATTATTATTATTATTATTATTATTATTATTATTATTATTATTATTATTATTATTATTATTATTACCACCATTCCTTTACAAGAAGGATTTGCACTTAATATTTCTCTTACCCATTCTCTTCCCCACCATCTCTTTCTCTCACTCACTCTGCCATTCTCTCTCTCTCTCTTTTTCCCTCTCTCACACGTCCACCAGTGGGATCCGCTAAACAGCATAACCTGTCAGAGCTGGTAACACGCATTTAGTTAAGGTGTGCCTGTCTTTCAGAGCAGCCCTTGTCTCTAGTGTTGTTTACAGGTGAAATAGGCACAGTGTTGGTCGTGCTGCTTGCTTAATTGACTGGAGGCAGCTAAAGAGCAAATGAAACAGAAACATGGCAATATTTAGCTTGTGGATGCCAGTCTTTTTGGTGTGCTTAGATATCGGTCAGTCTTGCCAGAGTCCAGATGACTTTGTGGCTGCCAGTTCTCCCGGAGATATTGTCATTGGAGGCTTGTTTGCAGTTCATGGCAAAATGCTACATTCAGAAGAAAAGCCCCTCCAGCCTGTGATCGCTCATTGTGCTGGGTAAGTAACTGCTCGACAGCAACAACCGGATAGTAAGGACAGGAGACCAAAATGATATGAAAACCAGTGGGATTCCTCAAAACAAAAGTGATGGGGGAATCTCTCAGTGTATTGGATTTTTGTATAACTGTTTCTCAAAAGGTTGACTTCATATATCAGCAAAGTGAAGTGTGTTTATTCATGAGAGGAGAGAGTATCTTCTGTAGAAATTTGGTGTGGATGACTGTGTGGGGCTTCCCATGTTCATAATATGTCCCATATTATTTTGCAGCTCATGTGCTGTAAAATAATATAATACTTTTCAGGTCCATCCAGACTCAAAAAAAGAACAGAAAGTTCCAGATTTTGTTTGTGTTCTTTCCAGTTTCATTTGGGATATCCATATGTTTAGTTTACTCGAGAATATTTCCTGTCGGCTCCTGGTATGATCAAAGACTTTTTATACCAGTTCCCTGGGTCAGTTTATTTTAACCTTGTATAAAGTCAGAAAGAACACAACAAAATCTGGGACTTTTTGAGTCTGGATTTTGTCCTTCCTTAAAAACAAATATTCTATGGCTAGCTTTCTTTGAAACTCAGTGGAAAATGTATTTTTACAGACATTGCAGAATTACAAAGAATGACTATAACCAGAGTTAAACCCATGGACTTCAATGTGACTTACTTCTGAATAGATATGCATTGGATTGCACTGCAAATGTCCCAATAATTTGCACTTCTTTCACAGTATATTACCATTGTATCTTAGTTATGCCCATAGAATACAATTAATATGACATGAATCACCATGAAATAACTAAACATACCTAAAATATTAGATAGATATCCACTATATCATATTATAATATTTAGATGTTTTAACTTTGGATGCTCAAAAGCATAACAGCATGATCCTGCATACATTTACTCAGAAGTAAGCCCCATGCATCAAGTTGATTTACTCCTATGTTGAAGTCTTAAAGATTTACATACTTTGTAAATTACTTTAATGTAACAAAGCATGTTTTGATGCAAAATGACATTATTTCCAGAAGAAATATTCATAACTTTCTTATGTTGTTTCAGAAAAAATGCTATTATATTCCATACTATGTTGAAAAGAAAAGAGACCTTATAGTGAAGATCTCTCAGATTTATTCTCTGTGTGTCCACATTTAAAAGTGAAATCCAACGAGCACTTAAACCGTTTTCCTTACGCTCTTGAGGCAACCACACTGTCATTAATGTGATTATTCCAAAAGGAAGTAATTTCAGAATTGCAGCATAATTGGTATTAAGATGGCAGTGGCATTTTAATATGGAAAAGTATTGAAGTCATAGTTTCAACTTACATCTAACTAGAGCCTCTACTAGTAAGGGAACTTCTGGTGACATCTGCCTTTTAATAAATTACTCAGACTCCAAAAAACCTTGTATATCTCCAAAACTTTAACACAGATCCCTTATTTAACAATTTACTAAAGCCTTAATGTTATAATGTATTGTAACATTACCTCATAGTTTGAGGTGGAAAGGTCTTTATCAGAATGAAAACAGACTCAGAAATAAAGAAGTGTATCCTTCATATGCAACTCCACTGATATTTTTTTCTTGTGGATTAAACTTGCTCCCTCTGGTTTAATTAAACAGCTTTTAATTGACACATTAAAAAATTAAATCAGTGAAAGCCTGTAGTTCAGTTCTAATTATGCACTATATGGAGAGGGTGGCAGAACTCCTCCATGGTCAAGATACAAATGAAATAGATAAATAAAAATGTTACTAATTGCACAGTCTAGGAAGAGGCAAAGTTTTTAGATGTAATAGTGGATGGTTATAGAGTACCCCTGGAGTTATAGTGATTCAGGTTTTGCACGCAGATGGTCACAGATTCAGATCTTCGTATCTCTAAACAGAACAAACAAAGACCACTTTTTGAAATCCTGGAAAGCTGTTTGCTATCAGTATTGACCAAAAGATTCAGTGGAAGCTGGCTATTTTGAATGCTTTCAAACTACACAGTTACAGTATTGTGATTCCACTTTAATTGTCACGACACCATCCCATGGAATCCTAGGATTTTGCTGTTTAGGGAAAGGACATTTCAAATTTTCAGCCAGAGATTTGTAGTTTGCCTCATCAAATGACTACTACTACTACTACTACTACTAATAATAATAATAATAATAATAATAATAATAATAAGGCTGGGTATTGAATGAAGTGCAGAGAACAATATATTATTAGGGAACCTAGGGACCGGGAATTTATAGCTAGGGACTAAGTGTTCTCAAATGTAAACTGAAACATCCAGATTTTCAAATCCCAGAGAAAGGAGATCAATGTAGGGGCTTGATTAATCTCCTATGGGAGGGAGTTCCACCACCAAGAAGGTCCTTTCCCTTGTCCCCACCAACCATGCTTGTGACAGTGGTGAGAGGGAGAGCCTCCCTGCCAGATCTTAGAACCTATGCTGGTTCATAGGGTGAGATGCGGTCATGAAGATAGACAGGACCTGAACCATTAGGATTTTGTAGGTAATGACTTGCACTTTAAATTGGAACCAGAAGCTCATCAGCAGCCAGTGGAACTGCCTTAATCGACGTGTTGTGTGGTCTCTATAATTAGCTCCAGTTAGAAGCCTGGCTGCCAATCTTTACACAAGCTGCAGTTGCTGGGCTGCCTATAAAGGCAGCCCCATGTAGAGTGCATTGCAATAATCCAATGTGGATGTAACCAAGGCATGGACTACCATGGCCAAGTCAGGTTTCTTGAGGTATGGTTGCAGCTGGTTCACGAGCTTTAACTGTGAGAAGGGCCTCCTGGCCACCAACGAAACCTGAGCATCAAGCATCAGCGCTGAATCCAGGGGGACTCCCAGACTGTGGACCTGTGTTCTCAGGGGGAGTGTAACCCTGTTGAGCACAGAATGTCACCCTATACTTCGATTGGTCTCGTGACTGACCAGGAGGACCTCTGTCTTGTCTGGATTAAGCTTCAGCTTGTTAGCCCTCATCCAGTCCATCACTGCTGCCAGGCACTGGTTCAGGGTCCAGGAAGCTTCCTTGGAATTAGGTGGAAAGAAGTAATAGAGTTGAGATTCCATAGGATGCGTTTAGTGTGAAAAGGCCCCCTGATGTCAGCAGGTTGATGAATCTGCTACAGGTTCTAGTTCAAACGTGAAGGAGTTATCCAAGGTGCTGAAAAAATTTCAGGGGAATGTGGCCCTTTGAATTGCAGCACTTCACTTTGGAATTGATCTTGAACTAGAAAAAATCTGTCTGAATCAGTGCAGTTTGATTTATTTAGGATTCAGTTGAACTGATTTTAATGTCTTTATTAACCTGCTTCTGTATGACTTCCACAAGAAAAGTGGAAGAAAAGTGGAAAATTTCCACTTGAAATTTCCAAGTATTTCCAAAAGTGCTGGGCACATTATTTTCCTGATTGGGTGGTAGTGATGGTGGTGATGCTATGGGATTTTGACAATAAATTTAATGGGACCAGAATGTTGCCAGCTATATCTTATTGTAAGGAAAACTAGAGTAATAGCCTAAACAGTGAAGATTACTAAAAATGATTTATTTGTTCCTCTTATTCATCTAGAAACTGGAAAGTTGGGAACATAAATTCCCAATATTTTTTTACCATTGCCTATGCTTGTCAGAGCTAATAGAAGCTAATAGAATTTGCAGTGCAACATCTGGAAAGCTACAATTTGGAAAAGAAAACAATAGCAGCAGCTTAGCCAGGAGGTGGGGGTAGGAGTACGGGGCAAAGAGCTAGGTTTTAGGGTTATGTAAGGTAATTACCTTTGGAACGCTGACCAGTTTTATCTGGGGAGTTGATGTAGGATAGTAAATATGTATGTCTGTTGGGGGGTTGAGCATAAAAGAGGCATAGCATATTCTATATATCTATAAATGATAAACTCAAAGATAAAATGCCAAACCTGGAAGGGTATTTCTTCCAAAAAGTAAGTGCTCTGTTCTTGCAACATTTTAGAACATGAAGAATTGGATCAAGTGTTATGTCTATGTCTCTCTCTCTCTCTTTCTGTACATTTGTGTGTGTGTATGTGTGTGTGTTGGTAGGTATACGTATTTAGTTATATGGAGGAGAAAGAGGGGCAGAGTCATTTCTAACTAGGCCCCAAAGGAAACTTATCAACGGGTTTTATTGGCAAAATTTGGCCAGAGGGGGGTTGCACGCTCTTGCCCAGTGGATTTTGATGGTTGAGTGAGGGTTCAAACCCTCACCACCTGGAATCTTGAGTGAGAGGAGAGGGAGAGGGAAGGGGGGTTTAGTAGAGGTTTGAGTATATTACATCATGGCATTATTACGTTACAACATATCATGATCCCCATCTCCCCATCTTTGTGTGAACTTTTAAAAAGCTGTTCAAGTTGTTGAATGAGGGCTCTTACACACAGCACTACATCCCAGAATATCAAGGCAGAAAATTCCACAATATTTGCTTTGAACTGGGTTATCTGAGTTCACACTCAGTTAATGTGGGATTTTCTACCTTGATATTCTGGGATATAGAGCTGTGTGGAAGGGCCTATACTTGAGGAAAAGAGTTCAGCACCTTGGACAAGTTATTTAAAGTTCAGAATAAAACCCAGAGGAGATTCATGCCTCCCAGTGATAATTTAGCAACCAACCACCCACTAGTCATGTTGCAGCAATGTCAGGTACACTGCAAACACACACTCAGAGCACCAGTAGTGTCCTTCCTGATGCCATCTGCATCTGGCTTGTTTTGGCTTCCAGTGAAGTAACCATGGTTGACTCATGTCTTTCTTCACAGCTTTGAAGTTCAAGTGTTTCTTCAGAGTCTCGCAATGATCCATGCCATAGAGCTAATCAACAACTCAACGCTTTTGCCTGGAATCAAGCTGGGCTATGAGATCTATGACACTTGTGCCGAGGTCACTCGGGCCATGGCGGCAGCTTTGCGATTCCTTTCCAAATTCAATGCTTCCAAAGATTTAGTGGAATTCCAGTGCAATTACTCAGACTATACACCTAGAGTAAAAGCGGTCATAGGTGCCACCTACTCAGAGGTATCCATGTCAGTTGCAAGGATACTGAATTTACAGCTAATACCACAGGTAAGTTGCAACAAAAAATTTAATTTCATTTCACAGTGATAAAGCCAGCTTTTGAAATATCTAAGTGAATGAATATTTTCATGAAATCATTGAAAGATAAACAGATTGCCAAAAGAGGTGGGTTTAGTAGCTGATTTTATGACAGCAACCAAAACCAGGGAACAAGGAGGTTCTATAAAAAACAGAATTAACCATAGTCTTGATCATTTTGGCTATTATATTTGTACAATACATATTTTTCCTTCATGTGTTTTTCCTGTATACACCAGACTGCAGGCTTCCAGTGCAACTCTATATCTGTATTGTCGAAGGCTTCCATAAACCCCATTTCCCTAGTTTCCAACAGACCTCACAACCTCTGAGGATGCCTGCCATAGATGCAGGTGAAACGTCAGGAAAGTATGCTTCTGGAACATGGCCATATAGCCCAAAAAACTTACAGCAACTCTATACATGTCTGCTCAGTGGGACTAAGCCGCCTTGGTTTACTTTGGCTTAATCCCAGATAAGCATGTATAAATTTGTAGTCTTCGGTCTTTAGAATGCTCTAAATATTCTACAAAGAGTCAAAGATAACAAAAACATGCAGGAAAAGTGGATGATGTATTACCCTTTTTACATTTTGGAACATTTTTCCATGTAAGCACTTCTTTCATGTGTGAAGTTAACATGTAATGAGATCTATGAGAGTGTGTGGGTGAGTGAGTGAAGCCAATTAATTCTTAACACCATCTGAGTAGACTAATCAACAAGTGCCAGAAGCTTGTCTTCATCTTGAACAGCTGGGAAATCTTGATTCATCATAGCAGCAGGGTCAAAAGCTGCAAAGAGGGTAGCAAACAGCCAGAAGATCAAGAGGTTTCAGAAAGCCACCACTGAATGAAAACTTTCCACTTATTAATATCCTATTTATAGTAATCAGGATGCAAAGCAAGTTTTCCTGTCTGTGGTTGGCAGCCATTTGCATTTTGTGGAATAGAAGTTTAAAAACACAGAGCCCTGGGTTTAAAGGCCAAGCAAAATAATGTCAAGAGTTACGAATGTAAACATGCTTTGAAATTCTCAAGGGTAAAGTGTACATCTGAGGCTGCATGAGGAAGGTGCTTCAGATCATTCCACATCAGGTTGGTCTCCTGTGCTAAGCTGTTTATATACAATATTCCACGATCAGATTAGGAGATCTTCACCACAACAAAAAAATGATCAGCCTTCACATAAGTTCTGTAGTTGATGTTAGGAAAATCAGTCAAGCTGCACATAATAGAATTTACTTCTGAGGAAACACACTTGATTAGGTGGCCAATCTGCAAAGAGAGTGAATGTGCAGCAATAATCTGTCATGTCAATGGGCTTAGTCTGCAATGAATAGGAAACTTCACATGGCACCCATTTCAGGTTCCTCCGCAGCTTCAAATGATAGCAGTAAATCTAATATTCAAACTGAAGGGGGTGGGGGGAAGCTGCTGAATTAGTGTGACAGTTAAAATATTTTTTAAAATATCTAGTATTGATAAAGTAGGAGTAGGCAAAAAAAGTCCCAAGGGCCGTGGCTTACCATTCTTTGGGGGGGAGGGGTCAAAGCTAGTGGGTTCTTTAGATTGACATAAGATACCTTTCGCTGGGATTTTAAAAAAATAAAACATGCAGACATAACTTGCAATGAACTCTTATGGTAGGAGCAGAAGGCATTCACTACTTCCCTTGTGCAACAAACAAAACTGCACAGAACTTACCTTTCTCCTGTTGTGGTCCCATTCCAGATATGTTTAATGGGTAATAGAGAATGGGGGTCATTAGAGATGCATCTGACTATATCTCTACAGCCAGATGAAGAATGATAGTGCTTCTGTGAGCCGCCCCAAGTCCCTTCGGGGAGATGGTGATGGGGTACAAATAAATTATTATTATTATTATTATTATTATTATTATTATTATTATTATTATTATTATGGCATCCTCCAGGATCATTTAGAGGTCATCCAGCATTCTTGGAGGATGTTGTTGTTGTTGCTGCTTCTATTGATGTTGTGTGTCTGGTTATAGCACATAGTCAGGTGCTTCTCTGCCCCTATTCACTGTCCACTAAATAGCTGAGATGTAGAACAGTGGTTCTCAACCTTGGGTCCCCAGGTGTTTTGGTCTACAACTCCCAGAAATCCCAGACAGTTTGCCAGGATTGATTGGAGTTGAAGGCCAAAACATCTGGGGACCCACAGGTTGAGAACCACTGGTATAGAATGAGGGTGAGTACTACAGGAAATGAGAGCTGCATCATGTTTCCATCTGGGTGGAACTTCATGATACATCTCCCAGTACAGGATCTTGGCCATTGTTTGGTGGTTTCCCAGTTTTTGTAAGGGTCATCTTCCCATTCTACAACATTGAAATGCTTTTCCTGAGGGTTGATTACTGACAATAAGAGCTTGAAGTTAAAGGCGTTGATTTTGTGTTTGCTTATGGCTTTACTCGACTGGAATGTGGTCATTGGATACTGTAAAATTGTAACTGTTAGGCTGAGAGTTTTTCCAATCCTGATCTAAATTATGGATGGGCAAATTGCAGCCCATAAGGTACATGAAGCTCCCAGACCATCAAAAATCCTTCCAATATGACACATTTTCCACAACAGGGGAGGGGGAGAAATATTTCCTTGTTATCTCTAGAAACTATGGGTTAAAATTTGGCATTTAAAGTATACTTAAGTACCCTGCACTTTTAAAGAAAGTTGTTTTCAAAATAGCCTTTTACTTGGTTAGACACATGTTTGAAGGAGAACAGAAAAAACATTGAAATAGGGAAAAAATAATCTGTAAGGCTTCTATTTGCTTTGGCTTTGCACAGGGGAAGGTTTAAAGAGGTCCTATGGAAGGCAGAATGTCCCTTCACTCCTCAGATGTGGTCAATGTAGCTTTGTGAGAAGAGAGCACTCATTGTTCCAGAGACCTTTAGACCAATTAGAAAACAGTTTTCTTATGTACTTACCAGCTGCATAATCCCTACCAACCCCAGAATCCCAGGGATCCTGACATGTGCTCTACGAATCATGCAAGTGTTCTTGGGGGTGAAGCTTAGACTTGTGCTGTTTGAACTGAGAATGGAATTCTAGGGGTGCTTCCAGACTAGACTTAAACTTTTTTTTAAAAAAAAATGGTTTACATTTACATTAACAACATTCATTATAAACATTAAACAAAATAATGTTCATTTTACAAACACTTAGACCCACCACCTAGGTCTGAACAAGTATCATTTCTTTCAGCATAAATATGTTGTTGTTGTTCATTCGTTCAGTCGTCTCCGACTCTTCGTGACCTCATGGACCAGTCCACGCCAGAGCTCCCTGTCGGCCGTCACCACCCCCAGCTCCTTCAAGGTCAGTCCAGTCACTTCAAGGATGCCATCCATCCATCTTGTCCTTGGTCGGCCCCTCTTCCTTTTGCCTTCCACTTTCCCCAGCATAATTGTCTTCTCTAGCATATATATATATATATATATATATATATATATATATAGCATAAATATATATATATTTCTCAGCATAAATATATAAGTAAACAAATAAATGTCACATCAGAACTCCTGTCCAACAAGGTTGTATTGATTTTCCCTTGTCACTGTCTAAAATGTATTTAATAAAAACCAACCAATTTGAATCAAATTATGATCTTTTAATTTCCCCTAAGCATCCTCATTTGCACTGATAATTTGTTCCATAACTCCCCATACCATGCTTCCAGCGTGAGATTAGTTACTATCTTCCAGTTCCTTACAAATATATAAGCCTTGCCTTTGTAAGTAAAATAATCATCAATTCTTTCTTGTCTATCTCTAAATTCAACTTCATGGCATCCATTAGTAATGCTAACCTAGCATTGGGGCAATGTTTAGTCCTATAATATTACCAATTTCCTTAAATATCTTGTTCTAAAAATTCTCCAAACTTCACTTAAGCCTACTTCAGAGTGGGTTAAAGAAGCCAAAGTTCCGAAGTGAGTTTAAGTCCCCCCTCTCCCAATTGGGTGTCCCCATGCCCTCCTGGTAACTTCTGGAAGGGCATGGGGACACCCCCCCCCCCCAAAAAAAAACCCCAAGCCCTGAAAAGAAGGGAAAACTTATTATGCCATCATTAGTGTCAGGAGGCGGGAGAGGAGCGATTTGGCCCCCTTGTCTCCTAGAGCATCATTGGCACATGCCAGGAGGCCTCAAGAGAGGCCTGATGGAGCATAGTAAGTTTCCCTTCTTTTCAAGGCTTTTAGAGGGGGGAGGGGGTGGCTGACCTCTTTGGTGCTCTGGGCTTATTTAGCCCAAAGAACCAAGACGGGTTGTGGGGATAGACTCCTGTGACTGCAGAAACAGTCACAGGAGTCTGTCCCCACAGGGCCCACACCCCATTAGACCCGGGCCTTTCAGGGTTGATCTGCTTTGTCTCTAATTATTTCTCCTTTACCTGAGGTAATGTAACCTTATGTTATTACTGATTCCCGTTCAATGACAACACAACAATGTCTTGGGGGAGAGGTTGTGCTATTTTCAAGGTGGGGTTAAGAGTATGTTGGACATTCTGTGGTCAGAATAGAATTCTGACTTCCACAACAACCAAAAAGGTGAGTTTTGATGGTGGAAATCCAACTTATACCATCATAATTCACCAACAATGGTGCCATCCAAAATTCTGCACAAATATGTTTCCCTAAATGGAATTCCAACATAAAAGAGTCATGCAGTTGTTCCTTTTCTCATCAGGTATAAGAATATAAATAAGCATTCCTCATTCCTCCTAAGTCATAAAGGAGGAGGAGATGGTACAATGAGCTATAACTACCTTGACTTTTAAACAAAATTAGATTCAAATGTATTTGATGCTTTTGAGAACTCAGCCATTGAAGGAAGATCAGTAATGGCTTCCTTGATTCTTGATTCCAAAGTGCTATACTGAAACTGCTTTGTCACCCCCATAGGTGAGTCATGCAGCGACTGCAGAAATCCTTAGTGATAAAGTCCGCTTCCCATCTTTTCTGCGCACTGTGCCCAGTGATTCCTATCAGACCAAAGCCATGGCTCGATTAATCCACAGGTCTGGGTGGAACTGGATTGGAATCATAGCCACGGATGATGACTTTGGGCGCCTCGCTGTTGAGAGCTTTGGGTTGCAGGCCATGGCGAACAATGTCTGCATTGCATTTAAAGAGATGTTGCCAGCTTATCTCTCGGACAGCACCATCCATGGCAAAATTAATCAAGCCCTAGAGAAGATTGTCAAGGAAACCAGGGTAAATGTCATTGTTGTCTTTCTGAGGCAATTCCACGTAATGAGACTTTTCAGAAAAGCAATTGAGATGAACATAAATAAGACCTGGATTGCAAGTGATAACTGGTCAGCAGCTGTCAAGATTAGCACTCTTCCAAATATCAGTCGTCTGGGAAAAGTGGTCGGATTTACATTCAAAAGTGGCAACATGTCATCTTTCCACCAGTTCTTGAGCAATCTACATAAAACTCCGACTGGAAACTATACAATCTCGAGGGAATATGCCATGCTTATGTCAACATGTTCACATATAAATAACCAAGATCTGAGTAAATGCATTTCTAATTATTCTGGTGAGAAACTGCTAAAGAATCGCACTCAACCTAACAGCCAGCTATGGGATGAGGAATTTCTCATTGCCAACATTGAACCAGGATTTATCCATAGCACCATGCTCGCAGTATATGCCATTGCAAATGCTATTCGGAATCAGTGCAAGAACAGGAACTGCAAAGACCCATATGCCTTCGCCCCTTGGGAGGTAGGGTTTTTATCATTCTTCTACATTTCTTGTATGCATTTTGCCCATGCTCTGCATCTCCTCATGCCTTAAATTTCCATATACAAATGAATGGTCAAGAGAATACAGGTTGACTTTCAAAAAATATTTACATACCCTTTCTCTCAATAGCTTGCATTATATTTTTGAAATAAAATACGTGCTCCATGAAGTCATGCCGGCCACATGACTTTGGAGGTGTCTATGGACAATGTTGGCCCTTCAGCTTAGAAATGGAGATGAGCACCACACCCCAGAGTCAGACACGACTGGACTTAATGTCAGGGGAAAACCTTTACCTTTACCTATTTAACTTTACCCACTCCCCCACCTTCCCCCCCAAAAAACTATTAACACGTTGAAGCAAGACAAAAAATATTGCAAATAAAACCTATTCAAAGATAACCCTCAGATACTAAAATTTAGCTACAGCTTGAAATCTTTTACCATATTGGCCTCACTGACAATCAAGAGTATAGGCTATTACATTCTTTATCCTTTCTCCACCTCTAGCTCCCTACCTAGCATATTTTGTATTCTAGTTTTATTTGTAGAAGAACCGAAACTGAGATGAAGAATATTATCACATCACTATGCAGTTATACCATCATAGCAATGCTTGGCCCCACTTTGTGCTAGGCCTTATTGCATGCTGTTGTTGTTCCTCTCCAGGCATGTGCTGCAGGGTTGTTGGAAATATGAGGTTTTCACACTGGAAATAATCAGTTTATGATCCCCTTTCTCACAATAATTAGTACAGATATTTCATAGTACCTTCTTCAGTGAGTGAGCCATTAGTGAGCATAATGTGGATGTGGTCATGTTACTCCCCCCCCCCCCCACTTCAAGGATTTCCAAGGAAATCTTTGGCAGAGTATTTGGTGATTAGGTAGGAAGATTGCTCTTTTATTATATTTAAAACCCTCGTAACCCTCTGATTTTGTTAGCTGTTATATTGTCATAGTCTTTAGCATATCCTACAATTCTGTAATTGCAACACTATTATGGTTTGGCTACAAAAGGGTTTTTGTGTTAAAAATAGATGAACCAATTATAAAGCAAGAACAAGGCATAGGAGTTAGTAATTACGTCATTAATGCAAACAAAATAATAAAATATTTTTGTTAGGTAGAGCAGAAAAGGACACCATACTTTCTTTTGATTCAAGAGGCATCCAAGGTGAATCTAAGGTTAACTTCACCATTTAGGTCACTGAGGCAGAAAATCCCACCAATACTTTGGTTCATCTTTCAAAAGTAAAAAAAAAATAGAGTGAAGAGGAGGATAAGGAAGAAATTATTATTTTCTTTTCATAACACCCAAGATGCTGTCTGAGATCACCACTTCATCCAGCTAATCAGGCTGATCCTGACTAGAGCAATCTAAATGACACTAGTTTTCACATAAGTACCTAACAATGCTGACTCTAAATAATATGTCTGTTTACTTAGTTAATATATAGCCACTACTAGCATAATACTTAACAATCTCCTAGTAAAGGCCTATAATGGTTTTTGAGAGAATGCCTTTGATAGGGCGGGATAGATATTTCTAACTACTTCTCACCAATAACCTCCCTTAGCTTTCCTCAACCGTGAACTTTAGCTAGATATTTAAGAAGATCCCTCTTTCTGAGATCTAATCAAGTTTTGAATCTTTAAATAGGTCAAATATAACTGTCCAGAGTTTTTTCATTTTCACATTGAGTGGAGAAGACAAACACGAAAAATGTAAATAAATTGGAACTGATTTTAGCAGAGGTTTCTGGACAAGAATATTCTCTTTTGCACTATACCATGTTACTAAAATGTTGGGTTTTTGTTTTTTAAGTGGGCCATCAAAGCACACTGACTACATGTTAACCTCCAGTATTTCTTAGACTTCTTAGACTCAAGAAAAAATTCAGAGAGGGAAACAGAATATGTACTCATAAAGTCCAATTACTAGTCTCAACTTTACTAGACCTGTTGAATCAATTGGATTTATCTAACTGTTGATTTAGCACCCAGCAGATTTACTGGATGCTAAATCAACACAATTTGGGACTAGCTCCTGGATTTAGCATTAAGGCTATAAACGTAAAGTGTTAATACCTGTTTTGAGTTGAATTGCCCTTGTGTATCCCACTGAGTTTTGGATTCTGTTATAATGTATACACCCAGGTTTTTAATTTTTTTTAAAAAGAGCAACCAGTTACCAAAAAATTAAATTCAAACAGCTGCAGACACTCTTCTGCTCTGCCTATTATTCCTCTATGTGGGACTGTAGTTTTAAAGACTACTAACCTGAACAAAGCCATCAGTTCATTTTGATATAGGATTGGATTTATAGTGCTTTCCTACATCATGCTGAATTAGATGGATATGAGATTCCTGTTCAGCTGCCACTTCTAAAGTCCAGATAACCTATGCCAGACAAGATGGGTAGTTTTTCTCTTCCTTGCCTTTAAAAAAATCCCCACATTTATCCCAAGTGGCATGGCTAGAGCAAGCCTCAGTTTTCTCTACAGAATTATGAACTATGGATCCAACAGGTTCAGACACATCATCCTGCCTCAGATCCAAAATACCTAGTTTTAGGGCCTAACAGCAACAGGTATCAGCAGCAGAAACATCACATGTGACACATCTCAGTTTATGGGAATACAGGGCCCTGTCTAGAAGAGATAAAACAGAATTGAAAGAGTCATCAGTCATACTTACCCCTTCCAGCAAGTGGATTTGGGGGTTGTATTTGCTTTGTACACTCTCATTGGTGGACTTTAACCACACTGATTATGAAATGAAAACTGCAAAATTTAGTGGTGGTGTCCCCTTGATTGCCAGATAGTTGAGGAAAACAATGAGAGTAGCCATGGTTTCTAGGTGCATGTGAGAAAGGCCTAGATGAAGACAAATAAATTGAAGTTCAGTCCAGACTCCTGGCTCACTGTTAACTAGGGCTACTTATTGGAAACATGTGATCCCATTATGACAATAACTTAACTACTGATCTGTTTCAAGTGTATATATAAACAGAAGAAGTTCATTGCCATATGCCCTGTATAAGCCTTCTATTGGGGAGCATTGAACTACAACCGCTGACTGCTTGATTGTTTTGTACTGTTTTATACTGTTGTTATTATTATACTACTGTTAAATTGTATATTTGTTTTCTGATGTGGGCACCATGGGGTGCCAATTTGTTAGCCTTCCTGAGTCCCTCTTTGGAGGTTCAGATAGGACGGGATATAAAAGCCCCCCAAAAATAAAAAAATAAATCATAGCATTGAACTTCATCAGTAAAAGTTGTGTCAAGTTGCATTAATATTACAATATAGATTTACCCTCTGATCAGCACATCTTGTTCTGGTGTGTGATCAGTTACTTCTCTTTCCTGTCTAGAAAGAGAAATTCCTATTTTAGATCAGGGATGTGGTATACATCATCTTCTAGTTGTTGCTGATGTCATCTTCCAACAGTCATAACCCAATTTGCTTGCTGGCTAAGGTATTCTAGGAATCTGGAAACCTGCAACCCTCCAATGAACAATTCCCATCTTCCCTCTCCATATGCCCATGTTGGATGGAAGATTATGGAAGTAGAAACTCCTTCATCCCCACTGGCTATACTGACAGTGACTACATATGGAAAGAGGCACAATAACATCTGGAAGGTCATATATTTCCCATCCTTAATTTAGGGCCAACCTAACAGATAGGCCAATGCTGATTCAGAGTTGGATACCACTAACCTGTTCAGGGGTAAAATGCAAAGTCTGACTGGATAATATAAGCAAGTCCTCGGAGAAACCCCATCAATATAACCATAATTTAAGTTTATGCTCCAACTACAGAAGCTGAAGAAATTGAAAAGTCCAGGAGGAAACTGATTACACACCAGAACAAAATGTGTTGTTCAGAGGGCAAATCTATATTGTAGCATTAATGCAGCTTAACACAACTTTTACTGATGTAGTTCAATGCTATGAGATCATAGGTGTAGTTTTATAAAGTTTGTAACCTTTTCTACCAAATGGTATTCCTGTCTCTCCAAACTACAACACCCATGATGCAATAGATTTGGCTCATGGCAATTGAAGTGGTGGCAAACTGAATTCATTGCACCTATAGACAACTGGAATGCAAAAATCTGAAATGGTCAAACCAAGTATTTGTAGAAGAATTTGACCTAGGATCAAGAAATGCAACAGAAGAGTTGTAGATTACATTTTGTGAAGCCAACAGTTTGTTCATTGCAAACACAACATTCAGACAATCAAAGAAGCTACTGTATACATCAGGGGTCCACAAACTTTTTATACCAAGGGCCAGGCTACAGTCCCTCAAACTGTTGGAGGCCCGGATTATAATTTGAAAAAAAAAAAATTCCTATGCACACTGCACACATCTTATTTGTAGTACAAAAAACACTTTAAAACAATAGAATAATTAAATGAAAACTTATTAGTATTTGAGTGGAAAGTGTGGGCCTGCTTTTGGCTGATGAGATAGGATTGTTGTTGTGTGCTTTCAAGTCGTTTCAGACTTAAGTTGAGCCTGAGCGAGGGCCAGGTAAATGACCTTGGAGGGCCATATCTGGCCCCCGGGCCCTAGTTTGAGGACCCCTGGTATACATAGACATTATCTGAGGGCCAATACAGAAATCAGATAGGTTATATAATTTTAAGAAGAATATGGTGAAGCTCCATTCTCTTGCAAGAACAAGAACATAAGAAAATTGTGGTACAGACTATGAAATGCTAATATCAAAAATTAAAGTAAAGCTGAAGAATGCTAAGTCAACCATTGTGTCAATAAGCAACCAGAATAAAATTCCTTTAGATTTAAATATAGTGTAAAGAGGAGGTTGCACTCTTAAGTCTAATAGAGTGGGATCCAGAAGAAGCCTGGATTGGAACCAGGGGCATTTTGGGGCAGGGGGGGGGGGGGATGCAAAAAGAAAAAGAATCTGCAGCCAAAAAGAAAGAAAAGCCTCATTGGATGATAGATTAAATTTGTAGCTARATACAGATTAGAAATAAGAGTAAAAGAGGACATGAATAGGATCAGAATCCTGAATTCAACTCCTCAATGACTAGGGTGCAGTACAAAGAAAACAACTATAACAATAAATATTTATGGTTGTGAACCTGGCCGATGAAGAAAGCTGTTAAGAAAAGAATAAAACCATTTGAAATGTGATGTTGGATGAGAGTTCTGTATAGATACAGAACCCCAAGTTACAAACAAGAGAGGTTCTATAGGTTTGTTCTTAAGCTGAATTTATATGTAACTTGGAACAGGGACAATTTTAAGTGTAACTCCATCCATATACATATGTACATGCATACATACATACATACATGCTTTGGATAGCATAGGGAACACCCCTGTGGTGTTGGTGTTTGGTTTTTTTGCTGTTTGCTTCCCTGTTCAGAAGATTTCACCTCATTTTCTGTCCCTATGATAACTAGATTTTGGAAAATGTGGCTTGTTGCGGAAACAAGAATAGATGAGAAAGCTTCAGTGGAGACACCTTTTCCCCATGTTAACTCTTTTAGGAGTGAATTTCCTTTCCAAGGGGTAGATTTCTCTAACTTTCCACTGTCTCATACCTCATTCCTAACTATGAGTCATATGCAAGTCAGATGTTTGTAACTTGGGAACTGCTTGTATATACTTTGAACTGCCAAAAAGGCAAATGAATGAGTCCTATGACAAATCAAGCCTAATCTTTCCTTAGATGCCAAGATGACTAAGCAGAGAATAGTGTCCTTTGGACATATCATAATAAAGCATGACTCACTAGAAAAAACAATGTTGCCTGACAAGGTAGAAGGCAATAGGAAAAGAGGAAGTCCTCGCTACAAATGGACAGATTCGATCAAAGCCACAATTCTGAGTTTGCAAGACCTGAGCAGGCATTTGATGACAGAGTGACTTGGGTGGCCTCTCCTTCATAGGGTTGTAATAAGTTAAAGTCAACTTGACAGCAGTTAACAACAAAGCCTGCTTGTTGCATCAGAAAGTTGAACTTTGGCTTGATCTTATGAGGCAGCCATTCTTTTCTACTTTATATGGTTTGAGGGTTTTTTTTTTTGCTCTTTTATACCATTGCAGCTTTAGCCAGAAGTTTAAATCTATTAATATTGAGCTGATTCATACATTCAAATCCATCATCCAATGTTTTGTAATTCAATGACTCATAGCTGTACCTATGAGCAGTGCTGATCTGAAATGACAGCAAAGGTGTTTTTGTAATAAGCTGACAATTTCATATATACATAATTTGATTTGATATTGGAGTCAGCTTGTGGGGTAATATGGTATGCAAAGTCTCCCTCAATCAGCCTCTCTCAGTCTAAGAACAAAGTTTAAGAACAAATGGAGGCTACAGGGTTTTCTACAGGGCGTTCTGTTCTTTTGCCTTTAATAATTTCATTAAAGCATCTGTTTATAGGCAGCTAATGCCAAGTTAATCAGTGGTGGACAGTGGTTTCTCTGTCAGTGAGGCAAGTAGGTTACCCCATGTACTGAACCTATTTTATGGATAGTGCTTAACATCTTGGACAAGAAATAAAAGTGGAATAAAACAATAAATATAATAATAACATCTTGGATAACTCCTTTAAGATTTAAACTAAAATCTGGAACAAATCACAGCTCATGGTCCAATTAGTATTGAACAGCAACTCATAATTGCTTCGTGGACCTATGTGAGACCTTCAATGTTATTACACCAGGGCTTTAAAGCAACCAGCCCTGCATTTCTGCCATCTGCAGAATTCTGGGAAATGTAGTTTAGGGCAGGGTGTTTTGAATTCTCAGCTACAGAGGTTCTTGCCTTCCCAAACTACAATTCCCAGAATTTTTCAGGCAGTAGAAATGCAGGGCTGCCCATTTTAAAGCCCTGTTGCGATAACAGTCATGTATGCCATTGTGATCTTTCTACAGGAATAGTGAGATAAATAGTACATGAATCAATCAAGCCCAACAAGATGGGGACTTTGTTTAAGAAATATGGAACAAGTGAAGAGTGTATGAATTTGAACATGGATAGATAACCTTGAATCTACCTAAGCTCTTATTTATCAGTGGGGAAACAAGTTCACAATCAATTTTGAGGACTTTTCTTGTTCATAATGGAAACATGGCCTTGAATTTAAAAGGGGAATAGATTCTGTCCTTTCCAAGTATGGAGGGTTACATCTTGGTGTAATCCACATTAGCACAAAGATGAACTCCACTATATCAGAGTCTCTGTGGATGAAGTCATTATGGAAATGATTTCTGACTGCCTGAAGTGTGTGTATTCCAGATGATACATTTGCCCCAAAATTTCCTGAACTAGAGAAGACATTTTTTTAATAAAATGACCTGTTTATGTCAGTGGAATCTGTAGTTGCTGGACTAAAATTAGAGTTAGCCTTGAAATTACAACAAATTCCAATTGTTGCTATCTGATCTTCTTCCATAAATATCATTGATCTGCATCATTTTTCACTTTTCTCACTGCAGTTGCTGGAAGAACTTAAGGAGGTAAAGTTCACTGATGATGATAGAGAGGTCTATTTTGACTCTCATGGAGACATTAACACAGGCTACGATGTACTGCTTTGGAAAGAAATCGATGGACGGATTGTGATTACCAACATGGCAGAGTATGACCTAGAGAAGGATGACTTCATCTTTGAAAACAAAGAGGATGAAATTGAATTTTTGAATTTGAAGGTATCTAAAAGCCCATTAAAATTATATTCTCATAGGAGGTTCATAAAGGCTCTTAGTTTCAATCTTTAGTTTCATTGACAGTCAGGCATACTAAAAGCATATGGTGGGGAAAGGAATATACCAACAACTTTCATTTGATATGTGGATTGTTATTAGCCCAAAATTTTGTATATTTAGAAATCAACGAAGGATTCAAATGATTGCATTCTAACTTGCAGAATCTGCAGGTTGAATATGAACCCAAGTGGACATGTGTTGTACACTGCAGTTACAGCCCACATTTTTCCTAGACAGGGACTCAAGGTGACTTACAAAAGACAGATACTTACAATAAAAACACATATAAGAACTTATTACACAGGGGAGCCCCCCCCCCCATGCCATTTTACAAGCAAGTGTGGTGAAACAGCAGGTGCAAGGGGCAACTCTGTCACCCTGCGCAATGCTTCTGTGCGGCAATGCTTCCCACATAGCACACGGGGTGAGTCTCACCCAAACAGGGCAGAAGCATGCTGGCTGCACTGGAGCTAGCACAACACAGAAAGGTTCCCATGTTTGGGGGATGCATCCAATGGGACTTCCACCTTGGTTGGGAGCAGGGCCTCTGCTGGAAGTCACACGATGTCATGTGATAGCTTGCATGGGATTCCGTCCCCAAAGAAGGCTGGAAGCATCCTAGGGTGCTTATTTTGGTAAGTGTGATGAGGTATTTAGTTGAAACCATTACAAAGTTGACAGAGAAATGGACCAGAATGGCCCAGATAAAGCTGTTCAAACTAACCTGAAACTTCAGGATACTCTGAAGTACCTAGCAAATCCTCAAGCTTCCAAAGTCAGGTAGTATCTAGGTCTTTAGGCCCCATAAAAGATGTTTACAAATTATTTGAACAAGAATGGTCTCATATTATATAAAGGTAAATGTATCCTAGTGGCACCCCTGCCTCCCAAGACTGAAATGTTGCTCTGTGAGTGTTGCTGAGAGGGACAGTAATCTAAGCCTTTGTTTTAAGGAGTCCTTTCCTTAGTGGTACTCAAACTGTGAAACATCTATTCCAACCAGATTTACCTCGTGCCTACAATCATGCAGTTTTCAGATCCAGAAATTTTTGTAGCTAAAAATACGTTGTAGTAAGTTTTACATCTTGGGGCATCATTGTTGCTTTTTGTTTTATTTGTTAGATCCTGTTTTCAGTGCTTTTGATTTTATGTTAGTTTTCTATTTTCATGTTTCGTGTTTTCCTATTATTTTATGTACATCACATGAATAATTTACCCTAAATGGACAGCAGGATATTCTGTAAATAGGATATCAAGAGCAAGTAGACAGATATGGCTTGGGCATAATCTACTGTGTGACTGTGCAGATTATAGAGGCCAGATTACAGGATAAAATTATTTGTTTTTAAAATGGAAAATGCAACTAGCAGTCAGTTCTTGTTTTCCCCTTTCTTTGTCTTCCTGACCTTGCAGAATGTTCAGTCAAAATGCTCCAGAAAATGCAGACCTGGACAGGTGAAAAAAGTTTCTGCAAGTCCACATACCTGCTGCTATGAGTGTGTCAGCTGCCCTGAAAACTACTATACTAACCAGTCAGGTGTGGAAATTTGATACTAAATCAATGTTTTAGAATAATGGAGTGTGTACCATTTTTAAGACCAGAAAAGGGGTGGAGGAGGTGAACACGAAAGTCAGATTTCTGCATACCAGATATTTATGTGATTGTTCTAGACTTTGTATGAACTTCTGTGGCTAAAGAAGGCAAAATAAAATCTTAAAGACAGTATTCCTATAAGCAAAAAGGGCATAGATTGGCTTTCCTGAAGTATTTGGAAGTCCATACAGCTCACTATGCCACTCATCCCTCCCAAACAGCCTCTGGTATGTGGAATATTTGCTATGCTTACCCCTTATTATAACATCACTCGTGGCCCATGGATTGCACTTTGCATATGCCAACAAATGTGGTTGTTGACTTCCTTTGTATGCCAGTGTGGTTTTTTAAAGTTCGCTAAGGTTTTAGTCCAGTCTGCAAAGGATTATCCGAGGTACTATTCCCTATCCCCAAGCAGGTAAAGCACACTGAAGAGCTCCTTTTAAATTCAAAATAAAGCCATGGTGGTGGTGGTGGTGATGATAATGATTTTTATAACTGGTTTCCTTGGGACTAGTCATGTTTTCCAGGGCAAAATAAATTTTTTAACACAGGTCAGGATTGAATTTCTGTACCTTTTTCATTATACGTCTTTGGATAGTTAATCAAGAACTCTGTCTCTCTCCATGTAGATATGGATTACTGCATTTTATGCAACAATAGAACTCACTGGGCTCCTGTGAACAGCTCAACATGCTACAGGAAGATGGTTCAGTACCTCAACTGGAATGACTGGTTTGCTATTTTGTTAATGGTTCTCTCTGTCCTTGGAATTGTGTTGATTTGTGCCATTATCATAATATTTACTAGAAACGTGGACACTCCAGTTGTGAAGGCTTCGGGTGGCTTAACAGTCTGCTATGTTATCCTCCTCTGTCACTTCCTCACTTTTGTTAGCACTGGATTTTTTGTTGGCAAGCCCAGAGCCTACAAATGTAAAACCCGTCAGGCTCTCTTTGGCATCAGCTTTGCCCTCTGCATTTCATGCATTTTGATTAAGTCTCTGAAAATTTTGTTGGCCTTCAGTTTTGACCCCAAGTTGCAAAAGCTGCTCAAAAGCCTCTACAAACCTATACCCATTGTATCCTTTTGCACTGGGATTCAGGTCTTGATCTGTGTTGTTTGGATCACAGTTCGAAGCCCTTTTGTGGAGGAGAATTTCTCCATCCGGAAGATTATCATCGTGGAGTGTAATGAGGGTTCAGTTGTAGCTTTGGGAATCATGTTAGGGTACATCGCTCTATTGGCCTTCATTTGCTTCATCTGTGCCTTTAAAGGTAGGAAGCTTCCTGAGAACTACAATGAAGCAAAATTCATTACATTTGGCATGCTCATCTACTTCATTGCCTGGATTATATTTATCCCAGTCTACACCACCACCTTTGGCAAGTACTTGCCAGCTGTTGAAATCATTGTCATTTTAATATCCAACTATGGGATCCTGTGTTGTATGTTCCTTCCCAAGTGCTACATCATACTCTATAAGCAAGAGGCAAATACGAAATCAGCCTTTCTGAAAATGCTTTATAGCTATTCATCCAAAAGTGCAGGGAGCCTCAGCGTCAACCAAAGCTCTTTGGATTCAAAGAGTGAGACACCTCCAATGCCCAAAACTGAGACCTGTTGTAAAGCTAAGACTGAGAAAAACTGGGTGAATGGCAGCTGCCACTTCCAAGCATCTGGGTACAGGGAGATAAGATGGGAAATGCAAACCGTTAACATAGTAGGGCCAACAATACCTAGGAGAAGGCTTTCTAGCATATGATGATATAGCTTCAGGATGAGGGCACTGTTGGACCACAGTGTCTTGTCTATGCTTCATCTTTTCTCCTTTGATGTTTCCTAAACACTGTTGCGAGCACACCAAAAATGTAGGTCTGGGTAAAATGTGATACTGCCTCCCAGTAAACAGTGGTTTGCAAATTGAGAGCCTGCCAGGGGGTTGGATATCTACCCCCCCCATCTCCCCTTCCTCCAGGCTAGCATAAATTTTCTTTCAGTCCCCTTTGCCTGCATTGAGAAAGAGTTAGGGTTATGTGTGCCCCACAGTTTGTTGTGGTTAATGCTACTCTTGGTTCCTAAATTTGAATCCAGAACTTGAAGTGGGTTTGTTAGTCCTCTCAAGGAAAGAACTTTGTTAGCCTAACTCTTGCTATTGTTGTGTGCCTTCTAGTTGTTTCTGACTTATGGTGACTTTAAGATGAACCCATCATAGGATTTTCTCTGCATTGTTTGTTCAGAGAGGTTTGCTGTTGACTTCCTCTGAGACTGAGTGTGACTTGCGTAAGGTACCCCTGTGGGTTTCCATTACTGAGTGAAAATTCAAATTCGGGTCTTTAGAGTCATAGTCCAATACTAGATATGTCAACATAATTGCACTGTACTACATTTAGTTTGATTTTTTAAAAAACTCAAGCAAAGAAACAAGGAAAGAAAGTATATTCCTACGGCTGGATCCTGATTTGCAAACTGATTTTGGAAATAGTGTCCAAATGACAGGCATGCATGCATTGCAAATAATCAGATACAGGCCTATAGTAACCTGTGGTTCAGAATATCTCTCATACATCTTCTCTGCCACTGCATGTATATTTGCTTTCATCCAGATGTTTCAATAACAGTTCTTTCACAGCAATGATCAAAAACTGTACAACGCATAAATGTGGGCAGAAATAACCATGCCCTAAAATAAGTCCAAACTCTGATTTTGAATGCAATATGAACTGGCCAAGGGGAGGCTGAGCTGACACAAGGCCTGGTGAAGCTGGGTTGAATCCAAACTCATCACAGCCTCAGGGTGTTGAATATACACCTTGCGCTGGTGTGATTTTGGCCCAGGGTTATGGAGGAGGTATGGATGTGGTAAAACTGGCTCTTCCTTTGCCATATGTCTTTTCCATTCCATTGGTTCTTCCACTAGCAGATCATTGCTAGCTGAACGTTTCTGTCTCTGCTGAAAGATTCCTGAAACTTACTGGCAGAAAAAGATCTGATAGCTGATTAGTTTAGCTAGCAGAAGGAGGTATGCGCTAGCAGATGATGCATGTGCTTCATCTTACAACAGTGGTTCTCAACCTGTGGGTCTCCAGGGATTTTGTCCTATAACTCCCAGAAATCCCAGCCAGTTTAGGATTTCTGAGAGTTGAAAGCCAAAACATCTGGTTACCCACAGGTTGAGAACCACTGTCTTACAACAAAGACATCTTTGAGTTGCACTGATTTAAATGACCTTAACTCTACTTTGAATTGTGACAACTGAAGGTAAAGAAGATGTCCATTTGGCTTTTTCAAATGGGCACTTTAAGGGCACACTCTCAACAACAAAGTAATGCCCTAAATTCAGCGTCATAACACACACAGAATGAATCATAGATATTGAGTGCAAAGTAAAGCAAACAGTCCAATGTTTCATATACCTAGAGGCAATTCAATCTCATTATAAACAGTCATGAAGCAGGTTTTGCATTAGTAGTTGTACAATTAGGCCTGCAGCAGTATGTATTGATTTATTTCTAATATATTTACCCAGAAGTACAAAAATAGCATTTGGATATTAATCGTGAATTTTATTTTGTATGTGTAAATCCAGAATATTTGTACTATTTTTGAACAATCTAATGTCTTAATTTTACAGAAACCACATATATAACACATTAGAAAGCATCTGTGTGCCAAGATATATTTAAAATACTGAGTAAGTCATCTCTGTTTGAACAGAGGATTTCTGGATTGCATCTGTACTATCATGACTAGAATAGGTCTGTTTTTTCTCCAGCAGTAGCCCTGTATATGCAACAATAGTGTGAAGTAATGACCTCAGTCAAGATAATAAGAAAACCTATTTGAGTTTTTCAAGGAATCTTGCTGTAAGCCAAACTTTCTACCAGCATTCACAACTTGACACCCTCCACTTGATATGATGTACAATACCCAGCACTTGAGCCAATGAATCCAATAGCCATAATGGCTGGGGATGGTGGAAATGGCAATGTAATACTTTTAAAGGGTATTAGGTTGGGTCTATCTTCACTCTTTTTATTCAGACCTTGAAACATTGGATCTGAAAGTTAATTCATTAGTGATGAACATTAGAAATGCAAAGATTTGCACTGTACTTGACTTTATAATCTCTAATCCTTTGGAAAGGAGTATGCATGTGTGTGTATGTCTGTAAATATTTGTAAATATTGTTACCAATACCTCAGTGTTAAGTATTTTGCCATTGGAAGCTGGACTCTCAGACATCTGCCTGTGGTTTGTGGCTTCAAGTTTCTCTGAAAGTGACTGTTTCAGTTAAATATCTTTTTCTTCAGCAAATGGCAGTAATGTTGAAATGGGTGCTGTGATCATCATTATAAAAAGAAGAATACAGTTACACTGCTGTAAAAAATAAAGGTTTAAAATTAGGTTCTTCTGGGACACTTTTTATGAACATCTAAAAATGTAATTTGTTGTTTTGGAATGTTTTCCACTCACAGAACTGTAGCTTTAGAGTGACTATAGATGAAATATCCCTTCAACCCTGAGGAACAAAAGGCAGAACAGAGTCTTTAGAGTAGGATGTGTCATGGAGAGGAGCAAGAAGTAGATGATGGCGGCTTTCAAGGAGCTCTCCAAGGTTCTGAAACCCCACCCCAGAGGTACCTTTGGTAGCTCCTGTAAATTTCAGACTAACATTCAAGAACTGATTTTTATCTGCAACACTGGGTACAGGGAATAAAGAAGAGGCTGCATTGAAGGATCAAAGAAATGTATAGGGTCAAAAACTGGAGGAGGAGCATAGTGAAATTATCTGTTGACAAGTGAGATAAGTAAGACCCTACTTGAAAGCAAAAAGGGGGTCTCTCAGGAAGAGAAATGGGATATGGACTAGAGTCCAGGAGCAATGCAGCCATTATGATGATAAATGTATTACCCACCTCTCCCTGCAGCTTTTAACAAAACACTATTAAAATACATGCAACAAAGTACACGGAGTTAAAATATAAACTAAAATCCACTGATAAAATGCAGATTAAAATTCACTACTTAAAATTGACCAGGCAGGCCTGCCAGGATAGATAAGTCTTCAATTTTGTCTTAAATTCCGACAGCTGAATCTTTTCTGACAGGTCGTTCCACAGTCTTGGGGTGGCTGATGAAAAGGTCCTCTGAGTGATGGTTGCCAGTCAAGTTCTGGCAAACTGGAGTAGATTCTGAGGACACATGGACTCAGTTGTTCTAGATAGGATGAAGGTGATAAGAAGTAAGCATGAGCTTTACTATGACCAATGGAGGCTGTCTGTGCAAGGCAGAGCTCTGAGTTTCCAGCAACATAAATTGCAAGGAGAGCCACCTACAGGAAGCTGCCTGCTCCACAGTCAACCTCCACATTTGGATAGGGACAGGCTGCAGTGGAAGATGACTGAGTTATCTTGCTCATCTTTGCTTTGCTTCCTTATTTGCAGAGAAGCAATATTAAATACATTTGAAATGAGTACATTTCTCATTGGTGGAAATGAATGGAATTCAGTGTTCGTAGACTGCAGGTCCCATCTTTTCCACCACTTGCTATGCTGGTTAGGGATAATAATAATAATAATAATAATAATAATAATAATAATAATAATAATTATTATTATTATCTTTATTTGTACCCCGCTAGCGTCTCCCAAAGGACTCGATGTTCCAAAAGACAGACGCACTAAATAAAATCACAAAAGTTGTTTAATGATGCCCTCCTGTGGCCATGGGTAGTAGCTGCTATTGCTTTCGGCATGCTGTGTACCATTAAAAGGACCTTGTCATTTTCACTGGCCATCATTTCCCCCCTTTTTTCCTACAAACACATTTGGTCCAGACCGAAGGGAACACTAGAATTACATATCAGGTGGCATACAATGTCAATTTTCTACTATAATAGGCGGGTCCCTTTTAGAAAGATGCAGTGGGAGACTCAACTTGAACACCCATAAAAGGGGATCAGACACATTTGTAGAAGATAGTGCTATTGATGGCTACTATTTACAAAAATTATATACTATTTACAATAGCCCATTACCTGAGAAACATGAGTAAGAGGGTAAGATTGCCCTTATGTCCTGCTTGTGAGTTTCTGGTTGATCGCTCTGCAAACACAATCTTAAAGTTAGAAAGGCCTTTGGTCTGATCCAAAGCATTTCCTCTCTGGATGCTCGTAATGCACCTTCAGTGAAAGACAGACAGATAGACAGAAAGATTATATACAGCTCAAATGAAGTTTCAGAGTACAGACCTTTAGAAAGCTATATCAATTAGCACATGCATTTAGTATGTGAAACATAGGACAGGCCAGTGTAAAACTGGAGGATTTCAGATCAAGTCTCAACTACTACCTTTCTTCCAGCATTCTTGGAGTGGGGACAATCCTCTCTGTTTTCGAGAAACAGATAGGTTATTAATCATTGTTTGAAGAATTGAACTGCCCTTCCTAACTATCCCATACCTTCCAAATGAAAACCAGAACATGTATAGGTAAGTGACATAAGAGTGTGGTCCAGAAGCCAAAAGTTATCATTGAGGAAGAACACACAAGTTTGGAGGGGCTGCAGGCATTTGTGTTTACCTGAACCTACTGCAAAGGGCATCTTTCTGCTCCATCCTCTCCTCTCCCAATTGCTGAGTAAATTGAGTGCAAAGGTCCCTTCCAAATAGCCATATAACCCAGAATATCAAGGCAGATAATCCACAATATCTGCTTTGAGTTGGGTTATCTGAGTCCACACTGTCATATAATCCAGTTCAATGGGGATTTTATACAGCTGTGTGGAAGGGGCCTCAGTTGACAGCTATTAAAGCACACTGGCCACTTCCAGACTTTGTTATTATCTACTATTTTTACAGCCTGGCTGCTTGGCCATTTGTCTAGACAGATTTGATTGTGTACTTGTGGTGTCCAATAACATGGTCCTGTTTCTGGGTTATACATAGCTTTTTCCTATTAGCCACCTGCATGACCTTGGCTTTCATTATTTACATTCCCCAACAGCACTTCAATGTCTCCCCTCCAGCCAGTAGTAGGTAGTAAAAAAAAACCCTGGAGGTTCAGATATGCACCTTTCACATGTTTCATAAAGTATCTGTCACACAAGCAAAGTTTTTGGGGTAGGACTACCTCTGTCCAAGTCAGCACTACACAATGGAACAAGAACATACACTTTCAAACAGAACTTTGCAATTATTGTCACTTTTTACAGGCTGCCTGACCATCTGTCCAGACAGGTTTAGTGGTGTACAAGTGGGATAGAACAACAGGGTGCTGTTCCTAGATTATACATGGCTGTCCCTGATTGTTTTTCTTGTGAAAAGATGTACACATACAACATTGACTAAGGGGCCACAACTTTGTTCTGGCCAGAGAAAATGTGCCTTCCACATGTTTCATGAAGTTTCTGGCACATAAAGTTTTTGCCTTCTACTGTCACCCTCTTTTTAGGAACTGATCAATCAGGAACAAACATCTAAAACCTGGGAACAGACCCAGATAAAAAATGCCGTGGTTTCTGATTGCTGGGGCATACAGAAATGCGAAGATCCGGATACTCGTCTAAAAACCGCAATATTCCCGCACCTGCAAATCTCGTGGTTTTTTTGCCTTTTGTAGCAATTGCTTCCGGGTTTACAGAGAATGGTGTCTGGTCCCCCTCCTGATTGCTGCAGGAGCTCCTGGGATAAAGGTACTGTCAGGATAGGCCCACTGAAGCCAGAGATAGGTGGTGGAGGAGAGAGAAACTGGGGCCCCTTCCACACAGCTGTATAAAATCCCACATTCTCTGGTTTGAACTGGATTATATGGCAGCAGGCCCATAGCCAGGATTTTGATTTGGGGGGGGGGGTGTTGATTCGGGGGAGGGGGGCTGAGTCTGAGAGAAAGAGGGTCTACCCTAGCAAACCTTTTGTATCTTTACCCCAATACCTCCATGCATATGGGATATATTGAGCATGATCATGATATGAATAAACATAACAGTTGTAATAATGTACCAGTAAGGCCTTCTCGCGGACCACCATGAGAATTTCAGGGGGGGGGGGGGCTGAAGCCCCTCAAGCCCCCCCCCCTCCCCGGCTACAAGCCTGTATGGCAGTGTGGACTCAGATAACCCAGTTCAAAGCAGATTCTGTGGATTATTTTATCCGCCTTAATATTCTGGGTTATATGGCTGTGTGGAAGGACCCTGGGACATTTTAAAAGATGAATAAGTGGGACAACAGAGAAGATTAATTTGGACAGCCCCTTCCAAATCAAGACAACATGCTATCTGCACCTCTGAAGAAGAGAAACTCATTTTCCCTGGGCAATGATGTGAACAGCAGCATGTCTGTCATGGAATGGGAGCAACATAATCAAAACCATGGGCCCTTCCACACAGCCCTATATCCCAGAATATCAAGGCAGAAAATCCCGCATTATCTGCTTTAAACTGAGTTATCTGAGTCTACACTTAGATAATGTGGAATTTTCTGCCTTGATATTCAAGGACATAGGGCTGTGTGGAAGGGCTCTATATCCCTTCTCTACTTCCATATTTAAATTAACAGTGAAATCCTATTCACCCTTCCTCTAAAGTAAATGCCACTACTCTATATTGTGTGCTCCACATTGTAATCAAAACAGAGGGGATTCAGTGCAACAGTAAAAGAAAAAGGCAGGGGAAAGTGGCTTCTTTCTGAGGTAGATAAGGAATCACATAAAATCCCACATTCCAAAAGCAGCAGCAAGACAGTGGGTGGGATTGTTTCAGCTTGTGAACTGGAAAAAAGGTTGGCTAAAAGGAAACCATTAGAGATCAGGCCTCTGGTGGCCTAGGAAAGATGTGTTTTTAATGCATTTGCAAGGAGGAGGAGACCCAGACAACAAGGGGGAGTGAGGAAAAAGGCTGGCAAATGATCAAGGCAACTGGAAAGAGCTGTTGCTGTTCCCAGGCCTGAAAGAACAGACACAGAGTCAATAGAGGCAGAAAAGTGAAGGGCTGGAAGATACAACCTTCTGCAGTTTGGACACCCGCTGGCTGTAGGAACTGAAGGGTTTACTTACTGCTCCTGTCATGCTGGCTGCAAGTGGGGCGCGTATCCGTCTCCAGTTTGGGCGCCTCCTGGCTGAAGGGCAACTTGACTTCCCTCCACGATGGCCCCCTTTTGTATCCAGAAGCATGGGCCCCACATCCCTATTCTGTACTGGACAGAACTGGAACTCAAAGAACTCAGGTGAGTAGCTTGAAATAATTTTTAGCAGAAAGAGGAAAAGAAGGAATCTCCCTTGATTTGGAGAACTTCTCCCAAATGCCACCCATGTCTGCCGCAGAGCTGGGAGATACAACCAAACCCCACCAGCTTGGGCAGACAGGATGGTTCTGGAAATGTCATACTTTCATAAGAAACTTTTCAAAGTTTAGACTTATAAACCTCAGGGGCTACCCACTACCTAGCATGAAATTCCAAAATAAGTTTTCTTATCATTGTTGCTGTGTGTCTTCGAGTTGTTTCCAACTTACAGAGACCCTTAGGTGAACCTACCACAGGGCCTCTTGGCAAGATTTTTTCAGAGTGGGGCTTGCCATTTCTTTTCATGAAGGCTAAGGCAATGTAATTTGCCCAAGGTCTCCCAATGGGTTGCTATGACTGAGCAAGGATTTGTGCCCTGGTCTCTCAGAGCAAGTCACGGGCAAGTTGCACTCTCTCCCCTTCAGAGGAAGACAAAAGCACCCCACATCTGAACAAATCTCACCAAGGAACTTCTGTGGTAGAGTTGCCTTAGAGTCACCATAAGTTGGCACACAACAACATGATCAGAAATAGGGAACTGATCTTCCAAATGTTTTGGAAGACAGCTCCCAAAATCCCTTGCCACTGAGCACATAAATATACAACTTATTTTAAGAGCCAAAGTTTCTTTCTATGATAAGGTTTGGAGTCATCAACCAATGGCTATAATTCTGATCCATGGAGAAAAAGCAGATCACTGGGATGGTTTTCTTGCCACGTCATTTGACTTACAGTTTAATTCAGAACTCAAGAAAAACTTTCTTATATTGATTATTACTCCCAAGCCTGAATTTATTTGGTTATTCACAACAAAAATAGTGAACCAATTGTTGAATGATGAACCAGCACCTAAATACATTCCATTGACTGAGATCTTTTCTTTAACTTATACCCTCCCTTCTCCTTACACAGGATCTAAAGCAGGTTCCAAACAATAAAAAACATGGTACAATTTTTAATATTATTGATATAAATATTTGGCCTCCACAAAAAAAAAAAACACCACTATTAGATTGAAAGAACCGCAATTAAAACACTGTTAAAAATAAAGCAGATGAAAAGAACCATCCTCTTAAAAATTCTTTGTGTCATATAATTTATCAGGTAAATATCTACCTAAATTAAAATATCTTAATTAATGAGTTTACTGTGTTTGGGGCTGTGAGTATGATTTAAGTCTCCCTGCCATGTTTGCTGAATATCTCTGGTAGAGGACAGCCAAAAAGTACTTTTTCTAGATTAATCACAAAGGATGATGGATACCAGTTACTTAGAAAGTGAAATTATTTTTGTTCTAAAGATTTCACAATGCTTTCCAACAAAATCAGAATCCTTGTGGTTCCTACACTGTTGTGATAGTCCAGTATGAAAATATAAAGCAGTTTGAGGAGTGTTGTATGATGTGGGGAGCAGAGAAAGCTGTCGCCATCCCTAGAAAACAGCTGCCCTAGAGGTTCCTTGTCAGCTTGGAAGCAGATCAGCTTTCTCTCCTGCCAGAGGCAGGTTTGGCAGCAATCCACCCATCCTGTTGTTGCAACACACATGGTTATTGTTGCCATATTGCCACCTATGTTGATGCTGCCATCTACATGGAGCTACACTGGCCAATCGAGGGTTGTGGGAATCACTGGCATCGCTACGGTTGGAGTTACCTAAATGGGCCTCCTCCCATACTACACCATTGTAGCTAAAATTCCCACCAAAATGACCAAATTGGCCACTATAAAATAAATCCCTAATAGAAACAAAAGGAAAGTTCAAGCTTGTAGCACATGCAGACACAACCAAATGATTATAATTGTAATGTATATTGTAGTTCTCTCACACCAGGAGTCACTCCTGACAAGACAAAAAAAATGTAATTAGTAGGCATGGGTAACAACAGAAAAATTTGTTTCTAAAATCGATTCTTTTTTGGGGGTTTTTGCGTTTCGATTTTTAAAAGAATTCCAAATGTTTTCTTTTAAAAAGTTCGATATTTACGAAATTTCGTAAATTACAAAACAATACGAAACAATTACGAAACAATTACGAATCGATTCGTTAATGGCGGACGCGACCGCGCAATACGCTAAAAAACCTCCAAATGGGACAGGGGGAACTTCTGAAGCTTCCCTCTCCCTCTGTTGTTGACTGTTGGTGTGATATTTATAATTTTTTTTCACTGATTAAACAAACAACAACTATAAAACTTGCCCCAGACATGCGGAAATAATAACGAAACGATTTCAAACCGATAACGAAACAAATACAAAACGAATTCGAAACAATTACGAAATAAATTTAAAAATTCATTTCGTTTTTTAGTTGCTCCTGAATGGTTCGTTATCGCTTCGTTATAAAAAAAATAACGAATTTTTAACGAATTACGAAATTACAAAACAAAACCGCCCAGCCCTAGTAATTAGCTAGTAATGACAGCTCTGATCAGAGCACATGCACATCAGAAGGATCAAAAATTAAGAAATATAAGAGAGTATTGTTGAAGGCTTTTATGGCTGGACTCACTGGGTTGTTGTAGGTTTTTTAAGTCTATATATGGCCATGTTCAATCTAGAAGCATTTTCTCCTAATGTCTCACTTTCATCTATGGCAGGCATCCTCAGAAAACCTACAACAACTCAATATAAGAGAGCATTAGCCTTGAAAGTATATAAATTAGTACACGTAAGCAGAGCTTATGAAAAGTGTTGTTATATCTTTATTTGTATAATTTTTTAAAGAAAAAATCTGTTAAAACATTGCACAACAATTCTATAGACAGTTACTTTGGTGTCTGTCCATCTGATGGTGTCACCCAGTGTGGTTTTCATGCAGACACACACATACTAACACCACTGCCCAAAGGAAAACATGAAGGGGTTGCTGTACATTTCATAGTGCTTAGTTTTTAGTTGCATGAAAAGTAAAAAATTCTGAAATTTTCTATTCTGCACAACTATAGAAGGTTCAGGGGCCACATCCAGTTTTTAGCCTGGCAACCCTAAATGCAATATATGGAGTATAAACAAAGAGGGGAAGAAGTAGAACAACACTTTTATGCTGCAACGTTAACCCTAAACCTTCCCCTTTCCTCCACTGCTCTCAGTACACAAACTGATGTGATGCTTTGTCTACTGGATATTTAAGCTGAGAAGACGCACAAAGTGCCCGGTGGCCACAAACCTTCCACGTTTGACAAGAAAATTCTTCTGTGGACTGGGCGCTTCAAGAGAGAAGATGAGATTCCTCTGAGGATCCCGTAAGTATTTCATTTTATCCAGCAGTAAGTTATAATTAGGGGAGAAACAGCCACCACATTTAAAATTTTGTTATGATGGGTTTTTTTTTTCAAATTCAGGAGGAAAACAATGAAGCACACACTTGCACTGTGAAAGTTGTATTATCTCACTAGCTCAAGTCACTTGTCTCACTTATTTCTGTAAGTCTTGAGATTCAATTTAGAGGCAGGGTAAACTTTTCAGAAGCTTCAAGTGGTCCAACGGGAGGGCGGCAGCCAGATTGCTCACTGGAGCAGAGTACAGGGAGCACACAAGCCCCCTGCTATGTCAGTTCCACTGGCTGTCAGTCTGTTACCGAGTCTATAAAGCCCTAAATGGTTCCAGCCCAGCTTACCTGTCCAAACTTATCTCTCTATGAATCATCTCGAAGGTTAACATCTTCTGGGGAGGCCCTGCTCTTGATCCCACCTTCTTTGCAGGCATGACTGGTGGGAATGAGAATCAGAGCCTTTTCGGTGGTGGCCTTTGGGCTGTGTAACTCCCTCCCTAGCAAAATTAGATTACCTTCCTCCCTCCTGATCTTTAAAAAGAAATTAAAAATGTGAATGTGGAACTAAGCCTTTGGACAGTAATTCTCAGTGCAATACGTGAATTTGGAATAGCGTAATTTATGACTGGAATGGCTCCTGGGCTATGTTTTTAAATTGCGTCGTTCTAATAATGGGTTTTAAGATTGAGATGCTTTTATTATTTTTTTGTTTTTAATGGATATGTTTTGTTTTATTGTATGTATGTATCTGCAGAATAGAAACATGCCTTTTTGTAAGCCACTCTGAGTCCTCTACGTGGTGAGAAGGGCGGGGTATAAATACAGTAAATAAATAAATAAATAAATAAATAAATAAATAAGGATTTACTTGAAACTCTGAAGCATGTCTGCTTCCACCCCACTCCTCTACACAATTAAGTTTTTATTCAATTAACCCTGAACAGGATAGTGTCCTGTTTTGTTAGGAACTGTTTTTGAATAGTAAGAAACACACGCACGCAAACACGTGACCTGTGGCCTAAATCCAATTGCTAGTCCCAGACAGAGTCAACTTATTGAATGAAATGGATTAAAGATTGCAAGTGTTGACTTTCCATGCAATAGTTGATTTAAATAGGTCTGTTCTATTTGGAACTGACAAATGGAATCAAGCTTATTTCTTGAAGTTCAGAATGGCAAACTGTACAGCATTTCTAGAAGATGCACCTTTGGAGTTAAGACTAAGAATGCGTAGATTAAAGACGATTAAAGACAGTTGTTGGCTTTTATTCTTGAGTCACACTATGACTGTTAGTGATATTGATAAGCATAAGTCTACCTGCACTTGACTTTTTTTGGTTGGTATAGATGTGATATTTTCTTTCTTTTTGAACAGTGATCAAAACCCCTTCATTGGTGTTACTATAGAGTTGGTGCAAGCAAGCTCTCCCTTTTTATTAAGTGTATGGTAGAAAACAGGGCAGGAGGGTTAGAAAACCATTTTGCTATATCCCTGTAGCCAGACTAAAATGATTACATCATCTGGTAGGACATCAAGAGGATCTCAACTGGACAAATACCTGGCTGTGTCCCTATAGCCATTTTGCAACTGGCTACAGTGGTGATTCTCAATCTGTGGGTCCCCAGGTGTTTTGGCTCCCAGAAATCCCAGCCAGTTTACCAGCTGTTGGGATTTCTGGAAGCTGAAAGGCCAAAACATCTGGGGACCCATAGGTTGAGAACTACTAGGTAGAGAGACACAGCCAGGTGTTTGTCCAGTGCCCTCTTAATGTCCATAGAATGGCCTGGGGGGGGGGGGAATCAACTCTTCATTAAGTCAAGGGATCCGAGAATGGCTTAGTTCTGCATGTTGAACTATTACACTACACACTCATATAGGATGCCAACCTATGTTTCTCCTTTGTAAATGCATCCCAAGGTTTGTGCATATGTGTATTTGTGTATATATCTCAGTGTGGGATGGTGGGATTAAAAATCTCCATGTACTAATAGTTCTTTACAACAAAATAATAAAAACAACAACAACTGGGATTGCAACACATAGCTCTCCAGATACCCATCAGGAAAATGTAAGTTTCACTCAGAGAAAGACAGGATGTTGACATTTGACTGCACATTCAAAGTTTTGTTGGGGTGGGAGAAAAGGAATTAAATCAAAACAGACATTAAAAACAAGGGTTTGCTTTTTTAAAAAAAAGTAAATGTGTCTGAGTTTGTGGGAAAAAAGCAACTAGAAAACATTTATTACTGCTTTGATCAACCAAACGCTTATGAGAATGTTTAGGTTTTCCCTATCACGCTTCATGTTCTGTAGAAACAATATACAACTACAACAACAACATGGTATATACCAAAATAGTTTTGCAGATAAGCATATTTAATTTGAATACAGAATAAAGGCCAAATATATGTTTAATTGCATAGAGCAGTTTAGCAATGATACATAAAAGCATCATGGAACCATTCTTTTACTCTATTTTTTTAGCATGAGTGCCCATTGTTTACAATGGATCCTTGTTATTGACTGGGGTTTGGTTCCAGGATGCCACATGGATAACAAAGCCAGTGGATGCTCATGTCCCATTATACACAAAAGCATAGTAAAATCTTGTGCCTTATGTAAAATGAGAAAAGCAAAGTTTCTTCTTCCAAATGCCTTGAGCTCCAGAACCACATGAGATGCACATCATAGTCTCCATTGGTTTCTAGTTAGTTGGAACAGTAGTATCAGGATGTCCCATTGTCATATAACAGTAATTTCCAAGTTGTCCCCATTACCTGTCACTTCTGAATAGCAGAGGTTGTGGAACAAATATAGCCCATTTGATACTGTTGAACTGCAACTTTCATTGACTGACAGGAGTTGTAATGCAGCAATATCTGGAAGATGACATGTTTTCCAGCCTTGCTAATCAAAAGACCAAAGGATTAAAGGAACAGTAAGAAACAGTGCCAGGAAAGCCATCTGCATGTTAGCTTAAAAACAGATTTATCCGAGGACCCTTCCACACAGCCCTATATCCCAGAATATCAAGACAGAAAATCCCACATTATCTGAGTGTGGACTCAGATAACCCAGGTCAAAGCAGATATTGTGAGATTTTCTGCCTTGATATTCTGGGATATAGGGCTGTGTGGAAGGGCCTGGTTTTCTGGTGCCTGAGAATATCAGTTTATGGCATCTGTACTAGGACATGTATTCATGTACTAATCATCTAATTAATCAACTAATTAATTCCAGCGTTAATTTCTTTGAAAAATGTTTCTATCCTGTAGTTAAATATTACAAAAATGTTCTAAGCTCTTGTAACTTTTTCTGTTGCCCATTCATTACTGTTGTGACTGAAAAGAACTGTGTTTGTTTTGTCTCTTTGTGTTCCTGTTTTCATGAGAAGATCATCATCTGTAACATTCTGAACTTTCACACCAAAAATTGTTCTAGCACAGTATTTCCCATGACCTTAAAAAAAGTTAAATAGGGTTTCTTTCCTAACAAAACCAGTGAGAGTTATACCACTTTTATGGGCAGAATCAATTCCATTTATTTACTAGACATCTGAGTATCATGCAAAAGATAGGCCTGTCTTGAAACTCACTTCCCAATTTAAGTGTTTTGATCATCCACACCCCAATACAGAAAAAAAATGTTTATCAGCAAATGCCTTTGGAAACACAAATTTTGGAATTTGCTGTCTCAGAACCATCAGGATGGGAGCACAGCTGTGTGAACTTTGTAAGAGAATGACAGTGCGAGATCTCTTCCAACAAAGAATTATTTCCCACATCAAATTACAAATCCCAAGACACCAGAAGACAAAACCATGACTGTTAAAATTGTATCCAACTATTATTACTATGTAGCTTATCTACACAAAGAACTCCTCTTGAACTCCTCTGAGAGCTTATCAACACAAATAAACTCACATAAAATCCCGCACGGATTACCTCCATGGCACATGATGACTTTGGGGAAGTTTCCCAAGTCATTTGCCCTTATTTCTAACCTTGCTCCATTTTAAGCAAATTCAGAGAATGCTCTGAAGTTTACAGAAAATTCTGGCCTATCCGTGGGTTTTGCAGTCATCTGGACTGCTGAATCAAGTCTTTTTTAGCCCAATTCACTGTCCAAATCAACACCACCACTTTCTAATCAGCACAGGGAAGAGAATGGGTCATCTCTGTATCAACATCCTGGCTTCCTGGTGGTCAAGGAGGCCCCTTCCATTACCTGGTGATGGCAGCCACATCTGCTCATGTCGGAATGAAACACCCACATGATCAACAAGAAGGAGGCAGTCACTTTACTCCCTCCTTTCTGGTTGCATGGGTACCCCATTTTGTACCAGCAGACAGAAGTGTTATATCAAGATGCTCCTATATATAGGTCACAGATTCACTGGTCCTACTCTTATTTTCTCCTCAAAACTACTTTACTTACTTAGGTGGTCCCCTGTTTCCGAGTATGATGGCCTTCCAAATGTAGTGTCTTGGCAGTGGGTACGTAGATGACTGTGGAACCCTATTCTTGATCTGCATGTTCTCCTGCAGTGAGGACATCTATTTCTAGATGGGAGGTGGTCCCAGTCAAGGTTGGCTTCATGTTCTTTTGGCACGTTTCTCCCTTTTGCCCTTCATTCGTGCCTCTTTGAATTCTGCAACAGTGCTGGTCACAGCTGACTTCCAGTCAGAGCGCTCAACGGCCAGGGCTTCCCAGTTCTCGGTATCTATGCCACAGTTTTTAAGGTTAGCTTTAAGCAAATATTTAAATCTCTTTTCCTGCCCACCAATGTTCCGTTGTCCATTCTTGAGTTCGGAGTATTGTAACTGCTTTGGGAAATGGTGATCGGGCAGTTGGACAACATGGGCAGTCCAGCAGAGTTGATTGCATAGGAGCAAATGTCAGTGTGCTGGAAGAAGCAAGGACCACCAGCTCCTCAAAAATATACATCTGGGCACAATACCATGTGAATTGGGTAGTTAATGCTGCATCTCCACAATCCACACCTCACCATACAACCCCCCTGCCTTCCTGCTGATGAATTAATATTTCTGGCAGAAAATTCTATTTTCTATACAAGGAAGTATTTTTTCTGCATGGAAAAGGATGCTTTCTATACAAAGGTTTTCTGAATTTTGAATAGTCTTCAAAAGCTGCCTAGTTTTTGATATTTTTTTCTGCAGCAAGAAAAACGGGAAAATTATTTATTCTTGCCTGCAATATATAAAAATTGCATTCCCAGAGAACAAATTAGTTTCTCAGCAGTGAGCAATAACTTCCTAGATGTTTTTGGTATCTGTCAACCAAGTCTTCAGGCCTTGGTGCAGGAAAATGATGATGAATCAATGTGGTGCCATGGTTTTAGCACTGGAGTATGTCTCTGGAGACCAGAGTTAAAAATTTCCTTGGCCATGGAAACTCACTGTGACCTTTAGCAAGTTACATTCTCATAATCAGAGGAAGCCAAAAGTGAACCTTTCTAAACAAATTTTGCCAAGAAAGGTGGTAGAGTTGCCATAGGATCTTTGTAAGTTGGAAATCGCATGAAAGTACACAAGAGCAGCAACAATATATGTGGACATCATTTAGAGGAGGTCTTGATGCTTTTCAGACTGAGATAAAGTAAAATAAATTCAGACTCCCAAACTACAGTGCCTTGCTTCTAATTTTCCAAGTTTTGTAGAGTAATGTAGGAATTTGGAATTATAGCAGAATCAAAATAGTTCTGAAATATGTTGCAGATGTGCTTCTCCAAGTACTTAATACATCAGTTTGGCTTAGCGTATGACTTGAAACACTTATATGCCTTTTCTGATTAGTCATGGGAAGAGAATTTGCATTTTTGATTGCTAATGCAGCTATCTTTGGGGAGATCCCATTGTTTGGTAGGACTCATGGAATGGGTCAATCGTGTTTGCCTTAGCTTCAAATTTCATCCATTTAAATTTCTCTTTAAAACAAGGTAAAGATTTTTCCCTTGACATTAAGTCTAGCTGTGTCTGACTCTGTGAGGTGGTGCTCGTCTCCATTTCTAAGACGAAGAACCAGATTTGCCCATAGACATCTACCAGGTCATGTGGCCAGCATGATTCCATGGAGTGCTGTTACTTTCCTGCTGCAGCGGTAGCTATTGATCTACTCACATTTGCATATTTTTGAACTAAGTTGGCAGAAGCTGGGGCTAATGACGGAAGCTCACCCCACTCTGTGGATTTGAACCGTCAACCTCTCAGTCAGCAAGTTTTGCAGCTCAGTGGTTTAACTCACTGTGCCACCATGGCTCCCTCTTTAAAATATATAGGGACATTTGCAAGTAGAAATAACTGTGCTTATTTTCTGAGTGAACAATATTTATATGTACCAGTGATGCATATGCTGTGACACTGTTTGCAAGAAGGCATCTATTTAATTGAAACCCTTGGGAGTAAATTAATTGTATCCAATTTGCACAAGTTCTATAGTTGTCGTTCCTTTAAATTGTTTTATCTGCTTCTAAGTGATAAACGATTTCATTCATTTTTAGTATTTTAATTTATTAGTATTGTTAAATATTGTCTTTAAATGGAACTGCCAGAGATATAGAATGGGAGAGACAGACAGAATAAATTGATTGATTCAGTGACAAATGCAAGATACTCCACTTAGGCAGAAAAAATGAAATGCAAAGATACAGAATGGGGGGCTCCTGGCTCTACAGCAGTACATGTGAAAAAGATCTTGGAGTCCTCGTGGAAAACAAGTTAAACATGAGCCAACAATGTGATGTTGCAGCTAAAAAAGCCAATGGGATTTTGGCCTGCATCAATAGGAGCATAGTGTCTAGATCCAGGGAAGTCATGCTACCCCTCTATTCTGCCTTGGTTAGACCACAACTGGAATACTGTGTTCAGTTCTGGTCACCACAATTGAAGAGAGATATTGACAAGCTGGAATATGTCCAGAGGAGGGCCACTAAAATGATTAAGGGTCTGGAGAACAAGCCCTATGAGGAGCGGCTTAAGGAGCTGGGCATGTTTAGCCTGCAGAAGAGAAGACTGAGAGGAGACATGATAGCCATATATAAATATGTGAGGGGAAGTCATAGGGAGGAGGGAGCAAGCATGTTTTCTGCTGCCCTGGAGACTAAGATGCAGCGCAATGATTTCAAACTACAAGAAAGGAGATTCCACCTGAACATGAGGAAAAACTTCCTAATGGTTCAGCAGTGGAACTCTCTACCCCGAAGTGTGGTGGAGGCTCCTTCTATGAAGTGCTTTACACAGAGGCTGGATGGGTATCTGTTGGCAGTGCTTTGAACACAATTGTCCTGCTTCTTGGCAGGAGGTTGGACTGGATAGCCCATGAGGTCTCTTCCAACTCTATGATTCTATGATTCTATCTTTTTCCCACAAGATTGGCTAAGCGAACTGAGCTTTCCTAGGGATTTTTAGGCCAAAAAGATGTTGGTGTTAAACCTAACTAATGAAAAGGGGAGAGGGATGCATCTTGTTTTCCACAATCAAACAAGCTTTACTCACTGTACCCTGGACGTAAAATGCTGCTATGATGGGAGCAAGGCTTCCTGAACTGAGAACTAATTGGGAGGCAATGGAAAGATATGAAGATTAGAGCAAATAGGCTGAGCACTGTATAATGTGATAGATTTTCTATTCTCTGGTATTATTGAATTCTGTCCTTTCATTGAATGATTAAAATAAATTATATTTTAAACATTTAATTAAATTTAAATTCCATTGTTAATTGAATATTGGACACGTATCAACATCCCTGCCTGAGTTCCCCTGGGACTTGACAGATCCTGCACTCAGCAAAAAAATTACAAGGGATGGTAATAAGGTCTGTTTTGCAGCTTGTTGTTTCTCTGGTTTAAAGAACTGATCTGTGGCATCAGATCTGTTCCAATTAATGTGTCATGAAATATCATTAGCAGACTAAAGCCAACAACTTCAATGTTTTGTTTCACTTACTTTGAGTGACTTCCAGATTAATGGGTTTAATGTGCTTTGCCTGGTTTAGATTTGTTCATGTCTAAACGCATTAAGTCCTAATGCTATGAACTCCAGCTGCCTAATTTCCTTACCTGTGTGTGAGAGAAACTTTGATTCTTCTGTCCCCGTGTTCTCCTTCTTCAATTAGCATTTTTGAGGCAATGAAAAAGGTAGAGGCCAATTACAAAACCAAAACTTTATTGAGAATGTAACCTAAACAATAGGTAAAGGTAAAGTTTTTCCCCTGACATTAAGTCTAGTCATATCCGACTCTGGGGATTGGTGCTTATTTCCATTTCCAGCGTTGTCCATAGACACCTCCAAGGCCATGTGACCAGCATGACTGCATGGAGTGCTGTTTACCTTCCTGCCAGAGTGGTACCTATTGATCTACTTGGCTTTGCATGTTTTTGAACTACTAGGTTGGCAGAAGTGGGGGTGAACAGCAGGAGCTCACGACGCTCCCTGGATTCGAACCTGCTACCTTTCAGTCAGCAAGTTCAGCAGCTCAGCGCTTTAATGCCACGGGGGGGGGGGGGGGGGGCTCTGCCTTTTAAACCAAATTTCTGTAAAGTTTGAATTCTATGAAACACTTGGAAGTAGTTGCAAGTTTTTTGGGTTCTTCTGGAACATGGCCATACAGCCCGAAAATCTTACAACAACCCAGTGATTCCGGCCATGAAAGCCTTTGACAATACACTTGGAAGTAGTCCACCACCTCTGAATAAATCTTGCCTAGAAAATCATGTGATAGGTTTACCTTACGGTTGCTATAATTTATAACTAAATATACATAAATTTATATTATGTAGATGTCATAAAGAATTCTGGCCAATATACTCATGCTCCAAAGAAGATTGCTGTGAGCTAAGTTTTCAGTAGTGTTTTAAGCTAAAGAGTCAGAGTGGTATATCAATTTGAATATTAGTGTGATTCGCGATGCCAGGGTTTGAATCCTCACTCAGCCATGGAAACTCAGAGGGAGGCAAAGCAAATCTGCCATTGGAGAAATTTTGACAAGAAAACCCTGTGATCTTAAGGTCACCAAAAGTTGGAAATGACTTCAAGGCACACCAGTTTTAAGCCTAACATGGTTATCAAAGGCTGAAAACAAATGAAGATATCATTCAAATACATACTGTATTTCTGCTGCAAGGAAGTACATTAGAAATCATGTCAAGCTATCTCAACTGAACTGGGCCCAACCATATTTTTATTACAGGCCAGAGATGCTGGATGCTGCAAGGAACAAAGCTCGAGTCAAGGCCTGTTACATCATGATTGGACTTACAATTGTGGGTTGCTTTGTAGTGGTTGTCTCGGCTAAAAGAGTAAGTACTGCTTCATAGTGACTTCCTCTCCATGCTGGTGGGGGAATTTTGAAAGTTGTGATCTATACATTTTATTTTTTTAAGCACAGACAGCACAGGATTCATATCTTAAAGTAAGCAGTATTATGACCAGAGCTAGTGAAAGTTACTTGTTTGCACTAGACCTCTCACGACTCCCTAGCAAATTTGGCCACTGCCCAAAATAAGGCATTCTCAAGCTGTAGCTCTAAAAAAGGGATGTTTTCCAAACTGTGGTTCGGGTATACTGACATGACCACATTGCTTCTCTTCAGCAGAGGAATTTGACTAACCCTTCTGCAGTCCTTAACACAAGAAAGGGCCATCTAAGGGTACATCTATGCTATAGAAGGGAAGCCACTTCGAGTCTTCTTAGTAGAGAGAAAAAGCGGGGTATAAACATAATAATAGATTTAATGCAGTCTGACACTAACTGCTGTGGTTAAATGCTATAGAATCACAGATGTATTTTTAGCCTCTTTCCTCTAGATCAGTGTTTCTCAACCTTCCTAATGCTGCGACCCCTTAATACAGCTCCTTATGTTGTGGTGACCCCCAACCATAACATTCTTTTTTGTTGCTACTTCAGAACTGTTATTTTGCTACTGTTATGAATCGTAATGTAAATATCTGATATGGAGGATGTCTTTTAATTCACTGGATCACATTGGGCACAAATACCTGATATGCCCAAATAGAGGGGGTCGGGGGAGGGGATTGATTTTGTCATTTGGGAGTTGTAGTTGCAGGATTTATAGTTCACCTACAGTCAAAGATCATTCTGAACTCCACCAACGATGGAATTGAACCAGACTTGGCACACAGAACTCCCATTACAGAAAATACTGGAAGGGTTTGGAGTTGAGTTTTGAGTTTTGAGTTTTGGAGTTGTAGTTCACCTACATCCAGAGAGCACTGTGGATTCAAACAATGATGGATCTGGACCAAACTTGGCACAAATACTCAATATGCCCAAATGTGAACACTGGAGTTTGGGGGAAATAGACTTTGACATTTGGGAGTTGTAGTTGCTGGGATGTATAGTTCACCTACAATCAAAGAGCATTCTGAACCCCATCAATTATAGAATTGGGCCAAACTTCCCACAGAGACCTCCATGACCAACAGAAAATACTGGAGGGATTTGGAATGAATTGACCGTGATTTAGGGGAGATGTAGTTCACCTACATCCAGAGAGCACTGTGAACACAAACAACTATGCCAAAGGGATTCCTAAGACCATCAGAAATACCTGTTTTCTGATGGTCTTTGATGACCCCTCTGAAACCCTCGCGACCCCCCTGGGGTCTTGACCCCCAGGTCGAGAAACATTGCTCTCGATGTCATGGGTTCCTATAGGACAGCCAGTATAGCCATTGGTGATGATTGCTGGGAGTCATAATCCAACACCTGGAGAGGCTGATTGAGAGATGATGGGACATTTACCAATGCCAACTTACCTTGATTTCCTAGAATATAAGGAAATATCTTTTCAAGGCAAAGCAAGACAGCCGACTTGCCATCTGTTTGTGTATTTTGTGTACAATCCTGCCTTCAAAGAGTTCAGGGACCATGAACAGTCTTTTCCAGTTATCCTCACATTTCTCAGCTGGAGAGCAGCAGGCTTAAAGTGTGTTTTCTGCAATTTGAACCCCATCTTCCTCCAACTCTTTTAGCTACTGTACAACACTGACCCTATACATAGACAAATCTGCCCCCTTAATCTTTTCAAGTATGCTACGCTAGGAACATTGCCATACAACTGCATTGTGTGTAGAATAATACCGTTTTGCCACTCTTGGCTTTGAGATCAAAACTGTGTGACTGTAAAGTGTTTGCTCTATTTTTGCAGGCTGTTGAACGCCACGAGTCCCTTACAAGCTGGAACTTAGCAAAAAAAGCCAAATGGCGTCAGGAGGCTGCATCAGAGACAGAGACAAAGGCTAAATAGTCATGTGTGCTGTTGAAATTGGAGGTGTGCTTTGAAGAAAGAAATGTTTTCCAGCAAAATGGATGAAATTCTACTCCTGGTGAAAAGAATAAGGAGAAATTAAATGCAATTTATTAATAGCAACCTTTGTTTACGCTAGTGAGAGAGGATTGTTTTCATGTCACAAGTAGCCAATAAAAGGGACTAGAATATGAGTGTTTGGTCTAACAGACTTCATTTGCTAACAATTTGATTAATAACTATGAAGACATTAGTGGGGCAAATAACATCTAGTACAGTGGTTCTCAACCTTCCTAATGCCGCGACCCCTTAAAACAGCTCCTTATGTTGTGGTGACCCCCAGCCATAACATTTTTATTGCTATTTCATAACGATCATGTTGCTACTGTTATGAATCATAATGTAAATATCGGATATGCAGGATGCATTTTCATTCCCTGGACCAAATTTGGCACGAGTACCCAATACGCCCAAATTTGAATATTGGTGGGGTTGAGGGGGAATTGTTTTTGTCATTTCGGAGTTGTAGTTGCTGGGATTTATAGTTCACATACAATCAAAGAGCATTCTGAGCTCCACCAACAATGGAATTGAACCAAACTTGGCACACAACTTCTAAGAACAGAAAATGCCAGAAGGGTCTGGTGCACACTGACCTTGATTTTGGGAGTTGTAGTTCACCTACATCCAGAGAGCACTGTGGACTCAAACAATGATGGATCTGGACCAAACTTGGCACAAATACTCAATATGCCCAAATGTGAACACTGGTGGTCTTTGGGGAAAATAAACCTTCAACATTTGTGAGTTGTAGTTGCTGGGATTTATAGTTCACCTACAATCAAACAGCATTCTGAATCCAAATAAGAGAATTAGGCCAAACTTCTCACACAGAACCCCCATGACCAACAGAAAATACTGTGTTTTCTGATGGTCTTTGGCAACCCCTCTGACATCCCCTCATGACCCTCCCCTCCAGGGGTCCTGATCCCTAAGTTGAGAAATACTCGATCTAGTATAACTGACAAACTGAGTTCTGATAGAACAGGCAGATGGTATTAGTTCTTCAAAGGGGAAAAAATAGAAATATGTGTTTTAATAATGATGAACTATTCAATTTCTGAAATAAAAATCAGGACACATGCAAGCCACATCTATCTTATACTATAACTCAAGCAAATGTTTGTAATGAGTATCAGGTAAACAAAATGTCTTTGATTTTACAGGGTCTTTGCCCCTGTCTGGGATGTACCAAAAGCACCTATGAGCTAAGTTCCTTCTATGTTATGAGCATATGGAGGATTTATTTTTTACACACACTCCTGTACTAACTGCATGCAACACTAGCAAGTGGGATTAAAAAAATTAAATGGTGGTTCAAAGAATTTGCACATTTTATCTAATTCTGTTTCAAAAACTGCATTACTTCTGAAGACATACTGTAAGTACTAAATTGAGGAGACACATGCCACACTTTTGTAAAATGCCTTTATTTGTTTTGTATTGTAATAGTTGTTATATTTGAAGTAGTAACATTCCTTAATATTGCATACTGTTCGTATTTGTAGGTTTGTTCAGTTAAAGCCTTCAGATGCAACAAATTACAGAGTCATTTGCAAACACAACAAAAAATAAGTAAGAAACATTCTTAAAGTATATGTTAATCTTTTGTTCGTTTCGTAAGATGTATTTTATTTTCCAAATAAATTTAAGGGGCTTTGAAGTATATTGTAAAAAAGTAAATAAGGCTCAATCAAATAAAAGCAAGTGAGATAATGTAAAAGTAATTATCATTTTCTTTTAAGACATTAACCCATCTAAAAATGTTTTCTGAATGTAAACCTGTTTGAGAAAAAAAAAGCTCAGCATGGTTTTGTATCTGAAATACATACTTGGCATGGTTGCATAGATCAAAGTCATGTCACGGGCAGGCAACTATGTAAGAATCTGACAACCTGTGCTAGGAAAACATGAATTAAGTTTAACACTTAAAACCTTTTCAAAAATCCAATCATCTAGCTTGGTTTTCATTACTTTGCTGTAGACTCCTATACAGATTGTTGATGCCATGCATACTAAGAAGAGTAACCTGTTTCTGTAAGTCTGCAAGTCTTCTCTAACTTATATGTTAAGAGAATTTGATGGTAAATCAAATACTGTTTTTAAAGTTTAAAAAGTAACCACATCAACATTACATTATAAGAAAATGAGCATTCTGAAGCTTTTGTTTTCATGATACCATTCAGAATATTTACATACTTTAAAAATTCAGCTTATTTTTTATATATTTCAAAAGCTTATCCAAAATGGCTTGTGGAAACAAGGATTGGTGAGAAAGCTTCAGCTGAGACCCCCTTTTCCCATAACTGTTTCAGGACTGAATTTCATTTCTGAGGGAGAGATTTCTCTCACTTCCTATTGTCTCACCCCATTCTTAACTATGAGTCATATATAAGTCAGATGTTTGTAACTCAGGAACTGCCTGTACAACTAATGCTTAGATTTCCCCCAAATGAAAGTATTTAGATATCATCACCCATTAGGATAGTCAAATCAAGAGCAGGCACAACTGGTAATTTCTCTAAAACAACAATGGAATACCCTGTCAACCCTGAATGTTTTTGTTCTACTAAATTCATTGTGATCATTCCAATTTTCATCAAGCTATATCTGCAGCGAACTACATAAAATCTATTATTAAGAGGTAAACCATGTATTACCACAATATATAAATAAATAAGGAGGGCAGGTAATTATTAACACCACTGTGCTTTTGTGTATTCCTTCACTTAAAAAAAAATCTGACTGCTAGAACTTGAGGATGAATTTTCCTTAGTTATATCTCCGTATTTATTAATGCATAAGCTATGGTTTGTTATTCATCCTTCAAAGTCAAGCTTAAACTTCATAAATTTTAGTTTGTGGAAAACAAAAAGCAGCTCTTTCGACACTTCTGTAAAAACTAAGTCCATGTTTCACAGCTAAATATAAAAAGCAAGGGCCCTACAGCCACAACTCATTTGAGACTGAACCAGGCGAAATCTGAACTCTGATTGGGAGCTCATTCCCTTGCTGATCCACTCTCCTTGTGCTGATCACGCACTGGGAATATACTGGATTACATATTATAATATCCAGAATTTACCAGCGTATCGCCAGCTAGTGTTCTCTACACTAGAACAGACCCGCACAGATCTGAGATTTCAAAAATCAGTAATTTTGAACTTTTTGCAGATACAAGATAATTTGCTCCTTTCAAACATTTCAGAGTGCATCATTTTTTAAATAGCTGTACAAAACCCTGCTACTATTACACACAACTTTTTTTAAAAGTTACACATCTCAAGACAATTTTTGTAAGCAAAATTAATCAGAGTACGTTAATTGTGCTACCAAAAAAATGGGGGGAGAAGGAGAAACAAAGGAAGGATAAAAAAGGATCAACAACGTGGCCTTAAAAAAAAATCCTGAATATTATATAAACTTAAACATTTTGCATACATTATCAAAGATAACTCTATATACAAGACCTTACTACAGTATATACAACAAAATCATTTTATTTTTTCCTAGAACTATCAGAAAAAGTGTTTTCTCAATCCAGGACTATTATAAAGTCAGAGCAAGAAATGTTTTAGTAGCCGGTTTCAAAAGAAACTCATTTGTTTTCTTTTTATAGACAAATCCTGCAGCCAAAGTCAGTTGCAATGCATTAGTGTATTTGGTCAAAACAGAATACAGGAACTGCATGAATAAAACCAATCATCAGTGTTTCAAGAAAGAGGGATATTGCAATTTTACACACTTTGGTAGCATTTATGTTAAACATAGAAATCTCTACTCAAAGTCCTTGGCATGCAACTACAGAAATCTTCCATTACTCTCACAAGAATCAAATGGTCACTACAAATAGTAAACACATCCCTCAATTCATAATCTGGTTTGCAACAGACCAGGGAAAACAGCAGCTCTTGCCTTTCACAGCAATCTGACAGAGAAAAACCACACGTCTGCAACTTGAACATAATTAATTCTCTTACTGCAAATGAAATTGCTGTCAAAGGCACAGCTATAATGGCTAATGGAAAAGGTGGCAACCTCATTTGCAATACTGCTGAAGAAATTAAGAAAGAGAAGGATCCTTCCTTGTATAGTTTTGCAGCAAGGCCCTACATAAATTATAAATTTGAACTAGCAACTATCTCTTTTCACACAGCGGAAAAATGTTTTTTGTCTATATTTAATGTCACGTCATGTACAAGCAGTGCACCCCAACGTGTTATGCTTTTAAATATAAATATATTTCAACAGTGTATTGCAAAATTTCACGCATAAAACTATACTTTCACTATTTAAATAAATAATTTTCACATTCTATGTTTAGCGTTTACTAGGAGCTCATATGCATTACCCTTCAATTCTGAAATGCCTATTTTTTTGCTCCTTGGTAAAGAGGTAGATTTAGTATAGACTGGGCTCATGAACCCTACTGCCAAAATTCAAAGTATCAACAGTTGTATATGCATAATGATGCACTAATGTCTGACTGAGGTCATTTCTTCAAGCTTTGTAACATTTTTTAGCTGTGATTAGTCAGTATTTTTGGACACAAGACAATGGAAATGCACATATAAAAAGAATGGAAACACAGAAGTGCAGGAGCTGCTTCTTTGTCTGTCTTCAGCAAACTCTTTCCTCCTTTCCCGAGGCTGGCCAGCTACAACTGGAATCCTTCCATTGGCGCCTCCTGTTGCTGAAACAGAAACTGCTGCTCATTTTCATCCACTTGTGGTACAATATTTGCATCCTCCTCTTCCACACCAAAATAATGTTCAATCAAATCGAAAGCTTTTTGGTAGATTTCTTGGTTTTCATGACTTTGAAGGATTTCAATTTTATCTAGTCCTGAATTAATGAGAGAATGCACACAACTTAAAATCTGTATTCAATCAGGAACAAGTAATAATGCATTGAATTGGCTTTACTATCTGTCTCTCCTCACAAAAAAGGAAATAGGAATAAACGCCAAATATATTCTGTATTTGTTGGACATTAGGCTTCAATCCAAAACTGACTTATGCCAAAAATTCTAGCAATTTTAGCAAGACTACTCAAGAGGATTGTGGGTTTTTTTTATTTCTTTGAATACAAAATATCAATCTAACAGGCAGCTAAAGCTTTAATGGCCGCCTGCATAAAAAGAAAATGCATGAAAAACCAACCACTATAAATAGCCAAATTCTTAAATCTGAATTATTAGCGTGCTTAGTATCACGAGGCTACCACCTTTTCATGAATTACAATGAACACATTGGTTCTTGCTGCCACACTTCACTGAAAGTAGCAACCAGCCTTTGGAACTGCAGAAGTCTAAACTAGATCCCTGCAGATATCAGGCACAAAAAAGGGGGACTGTTTGATCAACTGTGGAATAAGCAAACTTGCAACTCCATGACAAACTTTCCTACTGGGGAGGCTGCTGCGTGCTTCTTAGGCTGCTCCTAGGAAAAAAATGCTAGCAACAGCTTTCCTTACAATAGCCCTACTGATCACTGCTACAACAGCAACTTAAGACTTTAGTAGTTGCATTTCACAATATCAATTTACTTTTAGCATTAATAACAGAGCTTCTTACCATATGCTTCCTCTATTCGGGCACAGTAAGGATTAACACCAATTCCGTTTTGTTTAGATTCTTGTTCTCCATGTCGCAGAATGTTTTCAAGTCCATTCAAGGCCACCTGGACTATTTTAGAATCCATCACAGTCAGAAGATCACAAAGAGGCTTGGTACAACCTAATGCAACCAAGTAACTTTGGTGGGATGGGATAAAAGGAGGCAGAAAGAGAGGTTATTAAAATATACTCATTTAATCCAAGCCCCAATTTGATCCTTTTCTTTGCTCCTTTTTGGATATCAGTGTTCCCTCCATGTTATTGTGTGATCCTAATTAATCAGGGATCACTTGACAGTAGGATGTCCTGCAGGTATGTAGACATATGATGACTTATACCAATTTCTCAAACTCTGCTTCTCCAGATGTTAGGGACTTCAGCTTCCACAATTCCTATCAGCTGGTAAGATGGCTGGGATTTCTGAGAGCTGAAGTCCAAAACACCTGGAGGAGCAGTTTCAGAAACACTGACTTTTGAGTACAGTAGAAGTGCTAGCTAGACAAGAAAAAAGAACTAGAGTTGACCTGAATCTACCATCTGCCCACTGAACTTATGGTAATCTTTCAATAGGACAATGTGCATGATGCATTGAGCTTCACCTCTGTACATTGTCATTAAGAACTACAAACTATAGTAATACAGTCACCAGTCCAGAAGATTTTTTAACTGGCTTAAGCAACCTTTAAAAAAAAAAACTAGTTTAGCAAATGAAAAAAATATCTCAGTATCTTCACTAGCATTATACCTTTTAACCAATTTCAACTTATTACCTAATTTGTTCAGGAGTCCCCCCAGACGTTGCATTAGTGATGGCCCATGCTGCTTCCTTTATAGTACGAAATTCAGCTTTCTGAAGAATTTCAATCAACACTGGAAATATATTTGCATCTATAACAGCCTAGGAGGGGAAAATAAATGTAAACAACACTGACATCTACCTTAGGTCAATCAACCTTAACTGAAATGTAGATTTTGGTTTTCATGGTTATGACAAAAAAAAACCCCCCTCAAAAACAACTTTCTTGAATTGGTGAAATAAGATTAGCAAGTGGTTACTTCTCCAAGAAGACTGGAAAGTTCAAAGTGGGCTTGATGGACCTATGAGTAAAAGTCAGCATACACTGACACAGTAATAAAGGCTAGTGCCAAACTAGACAATGAGGTATCAAATGTTCTCCTCCAGACCTTGGTGCAAAACTAACACAAAGCCTTAGCCATACTATATTGGTTCCATTTTGGAGGATGTGAAAGAACTTTGTAAAACTACAAGAAACCACTTTGCTGACTTTTAAGTGAGCCATTAAAAGCCACCTAACACAACACACCTTACCATCCCATCCTTACAAAACGCAGTACCAGATGAGCCAGTTTTCACAGGTCATAGTGGAATAATTGCAGTATGGGCCAGCTACTAACAAACAACATGGTTACCCTTACTGACAACCATTTGCATAAGAAAGCCCTGAGGAACTGGGAACCCATTTTCACGTAAAGATACCTTTTTTCACGTGTCAATCAGACCCCTGGCAGATTAAATGTATTTCTCAAAGATAATATAATACAAAGGCAATGCGAGATAAAATGCATAACTCTGGAAAACCAATTATGTATTTTAAAAAACGAAAGAAGTATTTATTTCAAGTAGGAAAAGACCACATTTTTGAGTCAGCGTCCTTCAGGGTCTCCCAACCTGGGCATAGATGTAGGAAGTCTATGACTTAATTCATGCTGGGAAAGCCTTAAAAAAAAAACACCCCCAAATGTGGAAGGCATAACAAAGCTGCCACTATTGTCCTTTACTGAATGGGTGTTTCAACAGGCCAGAAGTGGTGCTATAGTGCCAGGTGTATAAATCAAACCAAGTTCTTTGGTTCTTCAATACCTTTATTGTAAAGATGATTTCATAACACAAAGATGTTGGTTTTTTTTTAACAGTCCACATTAACAAAGAAGCTTCAAGTATACAAAATATGGCTTGTTCCCACTTGAAGCCCTCACTTTGCCAACCTCTTCAAGATGTAGGAACAGAAGTAGCACCACAATGCTGAGTTATGAAGGACAGGAAGTACAAACATATTACCTGTATTTGGGCTCTATTTCCTGCAGTAATATTAGAAACTGTCCAGCATGCTTCTTTTCGAACAGATTCCTTGGGACTACTCAGCAAATGTAAGAGACAGGGTAATGCAGAGCAATTTAGAATTACCTAAAATAATTTGAAAGATGAAAAGTTCTGCCTAAACAATGTAAAATAAAGCACAGTCCATATATCTAAGAGAAATATTTACATATTCACACATACAGTATTTTTCCAGTCATATTTACAGATTCTTTCATGTTATTTTAAAGCAGCTACATGCAATTGTTACCTGCAATTGAAGCAGATACTTGGAATCAAAAAAATTACACAACTGTTAACTTCCTCTTTAAAATTTGATTTAGCAAGTCTACTACAGTTAGGACCAACACTGGTCCTAACTTTTTATCCAGTGTCCAACATTTTATCTAGTGTCTGTATAGAAATAAGATGCAATTTTATAGTGTTACAAAAATTGAATTGCCTATGAAATTAATGAGATAGCCATAAGTTGCCAAGCAGCTCAAAGGCACAAACAAACACAATAAGGACACTAATTATTCAATCTTATGCTACTGTATTAAAAACACTGGGGGACAGAAGACACAGTTCACATGCTAAAGAGTACCTCAGCTCAAAATATCATTTGAAATATGGAGAAGACAAAGTCAGATCTTTATTACTATCACAATTCTAAAGAAATAGCAGGACAGAATGTTTATTTGACTTTTCAAAAAGAATATAGATTGGGCAACATGCAAAACAGGAAGTTCTAGCTTTAAAAGGATTCCCATCATTTAGAGAGTAGGAGGGAAGCACAAGGACAGATGGAGATCAAGTCACTACATAATGTAGACATCTTCTAGCTTAAAAATTATATTTTAATCAGATACTAAATCTTTAATTAACACATAATCAATGAACACTTAATGGCAGGCTTTTCAGTATAGTTAGAATGCTGAGGGGATTTGAGTCTTTGGTCAAAATCACCTTGTTATATAAATGTGCAATTAATTTGCTGTCCTCTAATTTCAAATTCAGTAAAACGGGGGAAGTATTACATCACTTCAATAATCTCTTTTCATAGTTTCAGAACTGTCTTTTTAGGTGTAGAAATATAATCACATTTTCCTCAGCTGTACACCAGCTTGGTAAACAAAGGCACTGGAATCAATGTAGTTTTGAGTAACATAGCCAATGCTTTTAGATTTCAACAGAACAATGCCTACTAGTTTGGTCTCTGTCTCTCTCAAACAACATTACCAACAATAAGAATAAAAAATGTGGTCACTGAAGTTTTGAAAATTAAAGAACTCTTACCTGTGTTTGGATATCATCACCAGTCACAATATTTCCAACTGCTCTTAAGGCAGGTGATACCACTTTGTAGTCATTGTGCCTTAGAAAAAGTAAAACAATATGGTTCAAATTTTTGTATTATGGTTAGAAAACTGATGCATTGTTCTTGGGACAATTATCACTTTACACAACCAAACGGGTTTGCTTGTGTGTAGTATTGCTATTAAGCACATATATTATATGCTAGAAGTGTTCATTATAGATACTGCAAAATACCTCTGAAAGGTAATGTATCATACTGGAGAAGTGAGGCTGAACTGAGGGAAATACTGGCTGCCTTACTTTTCAGTTTCCTCAGAAAGTTCCCTGAAATGCCTGAACACAAACTGTGGAAATATTTTACTGTCTATGAACATTTTCATCTTGCATAAAAAAGCATTACATCATGGCACTGGGCAAACTGGGGTATGAAAGCTTTTTTTAGCCACCTTAGAATTTGGCAGAACATCTATTGACCAAAGACGTAACATACATTGGCATCATTTGATAGAACAACCTGACAGCCAAGTGCTCTGCTCTGGTTGCCTGGAGAGCAGCTGGTACAAAGAATGCTCTTTCAACAGAAGTCATTTTGTTATTGGGGTAGAAAGCTGTTCCTCAAAGCATTAACATGCTTCCTGCAACTAAGGGTAGCAGTTTACCTTCAAGGTTTACATTTGTTTCTTAATTTTGAGGGGGGTTAGAAATGTTGTTTTGAATTAGAAATAGCAGTAATAGTATTAAGACATGGATATTTTGTTGGTTACTTTTTTGATAAAGGAGGACCGGGAACTATTCAAAATAAAGATTCAACCTCATGTGTTTGTGGCTTTGAGTATTTGCATATTGTGCAACTACAAATCCTGGAAATCACATGGCTTCAAAAATATCACAAAGTCACTCCATACAAGCAGTTTAAAATATCTGGATAAGAGGTAAACAGAACGTACATCAGAAGTTCTACCAATCTTCGGCAGACTCCAGAATCAATAACTGCTTGGATTTTATCATTTGGTCCATCTGAAAGGTAAGAGAGGGCCCAGCAAGCATCGGCTAATACATCTGGGTCACTGCTAAATAATAGTCGTGACAGAACACCTAAGCAAGGACGAACCTTAAGAATGTAAAGGAAGAGAGAGTCATTGTCAGCAATGTCCTCTTTTTAGAAGTTTCACTTTTACTATTTTCTAAAGAGCTAAAACGACATAAATATATCTTCAATTAACTGAATGCAATCATAATTTTTACAAATCCTGTGCAACATTTACAATGCAATAAAAATGTGAACCTTTAGACTTTAAGATGAAGTATACCTAAATCCACAACACAATTACTCCACAGCCCATATGTTGACTTCAATAGGAGTACCCATGAGTAAATGGAGTGTAAATTATACGCCCAGTGCCAATTCAAGGAAGAAAACTGAAAATTTGGGAATGCTATGCAGCATCCCTACCAAGTGCCAGTTAGACTAAATCCATTGTCTTGATAATTTTCTCCTTTGACAGTGAAGATCAAATCTGAGGAATTTGAATAAAATCCTAAAAATGAGGTCCGCTTTACAAATGCAATCAATTTCTGATCAAAAATGAATGAACCAACTAAGACTTTGGAAAATTGGCTTTATATCAGTGTTTATGTATGTGCTAAGTCAAAGCACAGTATACATTTTCATTACTATTGCATTTTTGCAGAGTGAAACATAGAGCTTACCTTGCTGAAATCTGGAGGTGGATTCTTGCCTCTACAGAGGTTTGAGAGTGCCCACACTGCATTTCTAGTTGTCGTGAGTCTGTTACAATGTGTTAGCAGTCTGCCAAGATATTAAATTGAAACAGATTTTTTCTTTCCTTCATGTAAGAAAACCCTCACTTCGTGTCACAAGGAAATGGCTAATTTTCTTTATGCTACTAAAATTTTATTACTATTTGATTTAAAAACAGAGCTCATAATAGCAAATGACTGTTTTTGCTTGCATGGCCTCATCTGTATGTGTGCGTGTGAAGTGACCCCTTTAAAGTTATTAATCACTTGTAAATGTTGCAAAAGTTTAAATATGCACACAATTTAATTTACTGTCAGGCATTATCAATACTTACTGCAAGAGTGGGGGAAGTATTCCACAGCTGAGCACATAATCCCTACATTCTGCATTGTCTCCAGCAATATTACCAAGAGCCCACACTGCCTTAGAAACAAAGAGAGAAATCCATCTTATATTTTTCTACAAAGCTCTTGATCCACACCATCTGCACCCCTTGTACACTACCCTCCTCACATAATGAAACTAGCACTTTTTGTCAAATAAATTAAAGGTATAAGAGCAAAAAAGTATAAGGTGATGCTAGTACATAATGAACTCTGTCAATATGAAACAATGAAAAACACACTGTGGTTCATTCTTTAAACCTGCTGGAATATGACAGCATGGCTCAGTAGTCAGACAGAAAACTGACACAGTCATATACCAACACAGAATGTAAGTCTACAGATGGCACAGGAGCAGGCACTGAAATAATGAAACATGCAATTGTATACTATTACCAGGAATAACTACAATTTACCATAGGTACAAAGGTCTCATTAAAAATCACCTCAAGTTAGTAATCAATATTATATCCTAAGCCATCAGTATAATAGTCCAACATATGCCTAATCTAATTAGAGTGATTCCAATGACCAGTGACTAAAACTTTATGAACAATGATATAAGCAGTGCTGCTGATACCGAATAAGAACCATATTGTTAATACAGCAAAATCTTCGACTTTGTTTATCGCTCAGTAAATGTCCTTCCACACAGCCATATAACCCAGAATATCATGGCAGAAAATCCTACAATATCTGCTTTGAACTGGGTTATCTGAGTCCACACTACTATATATTCCAGTTCAAAGCAGAAAATGTGGAATTTTATTCAGCTGTGTGGAAGGGGCCTAAGTTGCTAATAATAAAATAACATTCATGGAGAGGTCAACAGCTGAGATTTCAATAAGGTTTGCTTCCAAGTAAACAAGCATAGAGGCCTAAATGAACAAAATAACATTTCTAAAACATGTAAGGGAATAAACTGGCCTCATGTGAGTATAAGATTACATTTTGCTTAAGTGTTATGTCAACGAGGCAGGGGCTTATGAACTATTTCCTACCCTCTACTCCTTTCTCATGGCTACAAGGAGGATCTGAAAGCTGTTTCCATAATAAACTAGCTATCCAATATGTCATAACCCAGACAAACCTCAGTTAACTATTATTTAAAGGAAACTTCAGCCTCCAAGTGTGCCAAATAACAGCTCTTACAATCTCTTATCATGGTCATGCTGGTTGGGGCTTTTGGGAATTGACAGCAAGATTCCCAACTCCTAATTCAGACAAACAAGTCAGCTGTGTACCAGAGTTTACAATTCCAGGTATTTTCCATAAATTTAACACATTTCCAGTTAAATGAAACAAATGTTTCAGATATGGACATAACAATAAACAGTTCACCATAAAATCTTTTCCATTTGACTGTTCTGGATGAAAAGGAAAGAAATAGGCTTGCACACATAGTATTGAACCCAAATTTAAAGTTATGTTCAAGACAGATTTGCATGTTGGCACTAGACTTCTTACAACGATATCTCAATTTTTCTGCTGTTCTTTAAAGTTTAAATCAATCACATTGACAAAGGTCCACAAAAAGTTACCTGCTCCTGGACATCTTCATGTTCAGAATTCAATAACTTAATGAAAATTGGGACAGCTCCAGTCTCAATCACTACTTTGGTGTGCAAAAATGTTCCAGATGCTATATTTGTAAGAGCCCATGCTGCTTCAAACTAGGAGGCAAAAAAAGTTAGATAAAACACCGTGCAATATACTCTATATATTTATTTTTAAATAGTTTACAACTCATTTATACACTTTGCATTGTTTGAGAGGAAAACCGTCTGCAAAACACCATCATCTCCCAACACATGGATCTGAACTCTTGAGAGTTTTGATGTTTCCTAAATAATAACATATTATAGTGTGAACTCACCTGAAGGGTGCAATTGTCATTTGTTTCTAGAAATTTCACAAATCTTTGCACAACTCCTGGTCTTTGTATGACTTCATCTATTGGAGGATTGGGTTCTGAAAATAAAAGTTTATTCAACTTATGAAAACAGAACTTACGTCAAAGTTGAATTCAGATAAAAGTTTAAGCACAGTAAAACTACAAAGCATTATAAGATCTAGTGTGGCACAGTTGCAAGAAATGTTGGATCTGTTATGAAAAAATCCAAGTTTAACGTCACATTAACCTACATAACCCATTGAACCGTTTTAAGCAAGTTGTTCTTAACCTAACTTGCCTTAGAGAAACACAAGAAGTTAAATGTTACAAAGCATTCCCTTAACAAGGTTAAATATAACATATATTCTGTACTTTTTCAAGTTCACCAGCTGAAAAATAGCCATTTATGTTATTGTATGTCTTACTGTTTATATGCAGTTGAGGTCTAAAAATGTAAGAGCCCAGTGGGATTGGATGAAAGAACCATCTTAACCAGCATGCTGTTTCTTGCAACTAGAAAGATACTTCCAGGAAGCCGATAAGAAAACTGTTCTCCATCTCTGCCCCTCACACTGCCTGTAAACATGGATTGCTTATCACGGCTAACAAGCACAGCTAAACCTTTCACTAAAGTATCTAATCCTCCTTTAATGTAATCTAAGTGTGCATCCATACTGTAGAATTAATGCAGTGTGACAACACTAACAATCATAGCTCAATGCTATGGAACCATGGGACATGTAGTTTTATAAGGTCTTTAGGCTCCTCTGACGAATTGTGTCGGTACCTTACCAAACTACAACTCTCAGGATCTCATATAGCACTGAGCAAGGACATTTAAAGTGGTTTAAAACTGCACTAATTCTATAGAGAAGATGCACCCTAAGACAGTGGTAAAAACGTTTGCTGTCTAGATGCTTTGGACTACAAATTCAATAATCTTCATTTCTTGGTTAAGAGTTTACAGCACAATCTTATTTGGGAATGTAAGCCCTTTGGGGTTGAGTTTGGCCTTCCAAGAATCTCAATACTGCTCGCCCAAGTTGCCCAAGCCATACCCTATTTCTCACGATACTATGGTGTGGTGATTTTAAAGCTTTTATATTGATTTTTTTCACTGAACATTTAGAGCTTTTGATGAAAATATGTTAGCATTTCTGGAACTGTACCCACTACCCCTTGATTGCGGCTTCTAAGAACGTTCAAGAAATTGAATTTGGCCCCAGGGTTGCAAAGTGTTCCTGCCTTTGCTATATATTTACAGAGAAATAAATACCAGTGAACTGAACAGGGCTCAGTGCCACACAGTAGTTATTGGACTCAGTCTTAGTTGTTATTTTATCAGCTAAAGCATTTAATCCTAGAATAAACTGCGAAGAGGTATGCATCTCATAGAATTGTTCATTGTCTTAAATAACAAAGTTCTTCATAACAAAGCAGTTTAGCATTGTCAACACATTCCAAATGCTTACTGTCCTTGAAAATAAGGACAGCGAGTCCTGTCCCTAAAAGAAATTAGACAATAAATGTAATATTATTCTCAAACAGTTAGCGGCCTCTTTCCAAACATAGTTCAGTATAACCTTTGTAGTCAGCTCTCTTCTTAAATATCATTTCACAAGTATTGATGCAAAGAAATTTACCACAGTAACAGAATACTCATTTTCTTCTCAAAGTTGAAAGCAAATACCATAGAGGATATTTAATATCAAGTCATTTCACAACTTACACTAGATCAGGGAAGAACAATCCAACACAAGAGATGTATGCACTTAGCATGATACCATTCAGTTTGTTTTTGTGTATGGGAGTGGTTTTTACAAAGTGAGTTTTGACACTCAGCCATTATTGCAGTATCAATGTGACCAATCATGTGAGAAAAAACCCGATGAAACAATGCAACAAACTGTTTTAAATACAGATCTCTTTTTTCCAAAGTGAATGTGTGGAAATAACACACAAAACATCCATTTAAAAAGACACATCACACAGTGTCCATTTACCTTTTGAAAGCAGTTTTCTAAATCTCTGGGTTGCAGCAAGCTGTTGGTTGGGATCATCAGAGAAAATCATCTGTACCATGTCACATGTAATTACATCTTCCTAAAAATGAAAAGTCATTGTCACTGTCTGAATTTTTATCATTTTCATCAACATATTTCCAGTCAAGTTGGTGTTTTTACCTCAGGAATAGGTACAGTAGAGCTCACGTCAGGATCCTGGATTGGACTTTCTTGCATTGACTCTTCATTAACCAGCAGAGCAACATTTCTGCGTTTAAATAACTAAAAAAGAAGAAGAAAGAACTCACATCAAGAGTTGTGTGTATACGTAACAAAATTCTGTTTGCAATTTGTTTATTTGAACAATGCAAGTAAATATTGTGGTTCATTATATATGCCGAAACCAGCCTGAGTACTGACAACCCTCCCCGCAATCCCAAATTGGTTTTTAGGCAGCACAGATTACAGTATTTTAGAAGGGAGGTATTTATTTTTCGTGCCAGAAGCAAACTGAGAATACAGTTATAATATATAAAAAACAACATCAAAGTTAAAAACTTGGTATTATACTAAATTGTATTGTCAAAGGCTTTCATGGCCGGAATCACTGGGTTGTTTTAAGTCGGGCTGTATGGTCATGTTCCAGAAGCATTATCTCCTGATGTTTCACCTGCATCTATGGCAGGCATCCTCAGAGGCTGTGAGATCTGACCTCACAACTTCTGAGGATGCCTGCCATAGATGCAGGTGAAACATCAGGAGAGAGAGTGGAGTGAGTTTCTCATCTGGTATCAGCCACTGATGGAGGGTCCAGGTCTTAGCTTGCCACTTCTGGACTCTCGCTTGCTGGAGTGTTCTGTGTTCCTGCAAGTAGATCTTAGGAAGCTGTTTCTTGAAGTTGGCTGATATCCAAACAGAGGATGGGACAGAGATATCAATGCCTTGATCCTTTCTTTACTGGCTGCTACTTCCTGGAGAGTATTAGGTGGCGTATTACCAGCAAAACAGTATAATTTCTCCAATGGCGTAGGGCAGGGGTCCCCAAACTAAGGCCCGGGGGCCGGATTCGGCCCTCCAAGGTAATTTACCCGGCCCTCGCTCAGGGTCAACCTAAGTGTGAAATGACTTGAAAGCACACAACAACAATAACATTCCTATCTCATCAGCCAAAAGCAGGTCCACACTTCCCATTGAAATACTAATAAGTTTATATTTGTTTAAATTGTTCTTCATTTTAATTATTGTATTGTTTTTAAGTGTTTTTGCACTACAAATAAGATGTGTGCTGTGCATAAGAATTCATTCATGTTTTTTTCAAATTATAATCCGGCCCTCAAACAATTTGAGGGACTGTTACCTGGCCCCCTGTTTAAAAAGTTTGAGGACCCCTGGCGTAGGGTATAGACGTCTTCACTGTATCTGTTTGTGATCCCCAGGTTGTGCCAGTCAGTTTTCATATGATACTATTTCTACAATGCACTTTTTGCTTGATTGTAGGTCAGAGCACAGTCCAGAGTAACTCCTAGGTATTTTGGTGTGCTACAGTGCTCCAGTGGGATTCCTAATACGTCCGATATATTTGGGAGAAAACTGCTGTCTTTACAAGTATGATCAAATCTCTCAATATTTATTATACAACAAATGCTATATACATCACTATACCAGATGCTGCTAACATAATATTCAGAGGAAATTGGTTGGCTACTGGTAAATAAAATGCTGGATTTCATGAATCTGACCTTGATTCAGTAACACAACCCTTAGATAAATATCCTCCTACTCTAAAAACAAACTTTCTACATTAAAAAGGAGCTAAAGTCGCTGATTCAAAATAGTCAGATACTGTTAACACTATATACAAAAGTTGAGAAATATTTAAACCAAAACTCAAATAAAAACTAGCAGGTAAGGGCTCAGAAACAATTATGATTATACATTTTAAAATGTATGATTACAAAATTTTGCCAACAGTTGTTAGTTTAGCAGGCCACATGCACTCAGCCATATCTGTGCGTATGCGCCTTTAAGGTTGCCTGTTGACTTATAGCGACCCAACACATTTCATTCATCTTATGCAAAGATACTCAGAAATGGTTTTGCCAGTTCCATCCTCTGAAATGTAGCCTACAGCAGACATTCATATGTAAGTGCACAAAGCATTCTCCTAACCTGCTTTAATAAAGTCTCTCCTACGTATGTTTACTGAGAAATGAGCCCACTGATTTAATTGAAGCTTACTTCCAGATATGGGACTGTGGTCTGAACCTTAAAGACTTACTTGCTCTTCTCTTTTCTGTTTCCGTAGCTGAATACCTTCCTCTTCTCTTCGTCGTCGCATTTCTTGTGGATTGAGGGCATTGTTCTTATAACTTTTCATTCTGTAATGATCTTTTTCTGGGCTTGCCATGGTATCTAGTAAAAAGAACAAGGAAGATTACACCAAACCTTTTCTTTCTTGGATTGCTAGTAAGTTTGAGAAAACAAGAGAAAATAAGTGATAGGTGAATAAATACAGTGGTTTCTCAGTATCTGCTGGGGTTTGGATCCAGGATACCCTACGGATAGAATACGAAAACCTGTGGATGTTCAAGTCTCATTACATACAATGATATATACATTATTTACAATTTTGGGTAAAAGTATGATAGCTGGGATCCAGTGCTGGTAGTGTTACGCTGGTTATGTAATGCAGCTCTGAATTAGAGAAGGGAACATGTGCGCGAGAGAGCACACCGGGTGAGAGATGCAGCTGTGGCAGGATACCACTGAAGTAATGTAACACAGGTGGGACAGGATAACATTGAAGTAATATAACAGTTACTGGATTTGATTTATTTTTCACTAAGGCTCATATTCCCCACTACCCCCTTTTATCCTTCCTTCCGATGCAACAATGTTTTTGAATATGTTTGTATAGGATCTCTGGACAGGCTACATCAGTATGCTTGGCTGTTTCCCCTCCTCCTTTCCAGCGAACTACCTTGTCAACTCTATCGCAGTTGCATCTCTCACTGTGTGCGGTCTCTTGCACACATGGTGCTGTGTCTCGCGCATGTGTTCCCTTCTCTAATTCAGAGCCTCGTTACACAATCAGCATAGTGCTACCAGCGCTGGGTCCCAGCTATCACACTTTTACCTAATTTTTCTATAAAACAGCTAAATCAAGATCTGCTTTAAGGATTTTTCTGTATTTTCAGGTTGTGGATGGTGGAATCCATGAATGCAGAATCTGTCAATATGGAGGACTGATTTTATGAATATTTACTGTGAATGTATAAACATTCACAGTAAATGTTAATTTCAGAAGGAAAAAAACTTTCCACAATTCCATTCACTATATGGACTAAAGACTAGATGCATTCTTATCAATTCATTTTTCTCCTGAAATACAGGAGGCATGTATTCACTCTACTATTATTCTTTAACATAGTACTTTTCATATACAGAGAACTTCAGTCTTTATGTTTCTTTTTGCAATAACTATTATGCAATTTGAAAACTAGCCTTTCCATTAGTACAACAAATTGAACACTTGGACGTTTACAAAATTACATCATAGGGATTTGATAAAAAAAATGAAAGAAAATGGATTTGATAAAAAATAAAATGCCCATGCAAACAACTCTTACAGCATGATCACATGCCTAGTTAAAATGAAAATATTTCCCACGGCCTTAATTTCAGACAAACAGTTTTTTTATTTAACAAAACAATCCATCCAATTAGCATAAAAGAAACTGGCAGCCACACCTCAAAACAAGAAACATCAACAATAGGAGAAACACACAATAAAATGCAGCTGGTTATAGAAGCTTCAAAACTTAAAAGGTAAATACTATCACGTGCTGCAATTAATTGCATACAAACATCAGGGAAGGAAAAGGATTGTGGTGCAAATACTCTGTAGAATTAATGTAGTTTGGTGCCATTTAATCTGCCACTGCTCACTGCTATGGAATCCTGGGAGTTGTACTTTTAAAAGGTCTTTAGCCTTTGCTGCCTCAACAAGGTACAAATCTCATGATTCCACAGCACTGAGCAGTTAACATGGTGTCAAGCTACAGTGTATATGCACTCTATATTCCCTTGGAGCAAGTCCTACTTGCACATGTAGCTACTAGCAACAGGAGGACTTGTGTAGCAGGTTTGTCAAGGAAGGTTTCAAACCTGATTTTACAATGCAACACCTTGTGTAGGAAAATACAAACAGCTTAAAGCACATTTTGCACATTCTTCCCTATATAAATGCAAATCATTTAGTACTGCTTATATTATCGAGAACATTATGGTCAGCACATTATGACCTTGCTCTCAACTTTATTATTTTGTCAATGTAAACATTCAAGTGATGGTTCTGGCATGTACGACTGTGGTCAAAACAAGGTAAAACAGGCCAGCCTGATCCTATGCCTTTAAGCAGTAGTTTGATGCACCCTTCATCTGGAAGTTTAGCAGAGCCAGGCCTGGAGGGTCTTTGGATGAAAGACCACCAATTACCAGGTTCTCTATCTGAAAGAAGGAGCTAACAAGACCAATTCTAAGTATTCCTTGTCTAAGAAAACACAATGAAGTACTCATGGGGTTGCCACAATCCAGAATCTTATTGGTTTTGAGTGGGCTATGTCTTAGGGTGCATCTACACCAGGCATGGGCAAACTTCGGCCCTCCAGGTGTTTTGATCTTCAACTTCCACAATTCCAACAGCTGGTACTAATGCCTGATCTACAATGTAGTTTGAGACCATTTTAGCCACCACGATTCAGTGCTATGAGTTGTCATTTTACAGATTTATAGCCTTTTCTGTGAAAAAGAGCTGGAGTCTCACTAAAGTACAATTTTATTTTATTTTATTTTTTAACCCAGTGGTTTTCAACCTGGGGTCCCCAGATGTTTTTGGCCTTCAATTCCCAGAAATCCTAACATCTGGTAAACTGGCTGGGATTTCAGGGAGTTGTAGGCCAAAAACATCTGGGGACCCCAGGTTGAGAACCACTGTTTTAACCTATTTTATCCCGCCTTTCTCTACCCCGAAGGGGGATCAAGATGGCTTTACATATAGGCAACTATTCAACACTTTGGGACAACATACACTTAAAATACATTTAACTTAAAATTTAAAATTAAAATTAATGCACATTAAACCATATCAAAACATTCCATTCACTGGATTGTTGTAGGTTTTTCGGGCTATATGGCCATGTTCTAGAAGCATTCTCTCCTGACGTTTTGCCTGCATCTATGGCAAGCATCCTCAGAGGTTGTGAGGTCACAACCTCTCAGGATGCTTGCCGCAGATGCAGGAAAAACGTCAGGAGAGAATGCTTCTAGACATGGCCATACACTTGGAAAAGACCAGACGCAGGGCTTTTTCTATTTCTGCCCCTGCCTTGTGGAATTCCTTGCTGCCCTACATGAGAGCCATGCGTGACTTAGGGCCTTTTACTCTCGCACTTAAGACCTGGCTTTTTACTAGAGCATTCGATCTCTGTTAATTTTTAATTTTTGTATGTATGTATTTTATCTTTTATAATTTAGCTCTAAATCACTTAGAGCATTCTCGGATGGAGGGCGATTAATAAGTTATTAAATGATGATGATGATTAAAATCAAAGCCATGGGCTCCTTTGATAAGAGTCTCTGGGTGCAGCTACATTTATGCAGTTTGACATCACTTGAACTGCCATGGCTCAAGACTATAGAATCCTGCGAGTTTTAGTTTTACGAGGTTTATCAATTCTTCTCTTGCAATGAGTGCTGGAGCCTCACCGGTATTCCAGGTGCAGCCATGGCTCAGTGCTATGGAATCCTGGGATGTATAGTTTGGGGAGATGCCAGCACTCTTAGGCAGGGAAGGCCTGATAAAACTACGACTCCCACGATCCCGCAGCATTGAGCCATCGCAGTCAAAGTGTTGCCAAGCTGCGTTAATTCTGCAGTGCAGATGCACCCAATCCAGGGCAGTTGTCAATTCAGATGAAGCAGAAGGCCGGGGCCAGGTCTGCAGGCTTCCCTTCTTTACACCGCTAAGACAGCGAGGGAGAGAACCTGCAATGAAAGGTGGTACATCTCTGCCTCCACAACTCCCTCCATTGAAAGCGGGAGCCAAGGCCCTCGGGGGCCGGAAGAGGGCGAAAGAGACGTCAACACAGCCTTTGCGGGCCAGTCTCGCTGCCCAGCGCCGCTCCAGGCCAGCCGCGAGGCCTCCTTCGGGCCCAGTGGCCTGACTCTCCCTCCCCTCAGGCTCACTCACCCATCTGGGCCACCCCAGCCCGGCAGTGCCGCTTCGCCCCTCCGAGTTGTCAGCTTCGCAATCCAAGATGGCGGACCCAAGCCCACCGAAACTCTGGCGTGGCCCCGCCCCTTTTCCCAGCAGCCCCCTGCGCACCACAGAGGCAGGTAATTTTGGACGGGAAAGAGTGACACGCCGCGATCGATTTCCGGGTGAAGTTGAAATATACAACCCTTTCTCCCTGAAAACAACATCACCATCATATTTATTTATACGCGAAAGGGACTCAAAGCAGGTTAACATAAAAACGCTAGAACAGCTTTTAAAATATACAAATATTAAAACAGAATTAAATATAAACAGTATTGGGTTGTTATAGGTCTTTCGGGCTATATGGTCATGTTCTAGAAGCATTCTCTCCTGACGTCTCGCCTGCATCTATGACAGGCATCCTCAGAGACTGTGAGGTCATAACCTCTGAGGATGCCTGCCATAGATGCAGGCGAAACGTCAGGAGAGAATGCGTCTAGAACATGGCCATATATCCCGAAATACCTACAACAACCCAGTGATTCCGGCCATGGAGGCCTTCAACAATACAATAAACAGTATTAAAAGATTCAGTTAAAACCATTCCAAAATATGTGATGCATATTCAGAGCTAAAGCCACAGCAACACTATTATTATTATACTTATTTATAATCTACTCAAAAAGGTAAAAAAAACCCCAAAAAAACAGGCAAGGGCAAACTTCTGTCCTCCAGTGTTTTGGACTTTAACTCCCACAATTCCTAACAGCCAACCAGCCAGGCTTTGAAGCTGCAAGATCATTAAATGCTAATCAAAGTGGCCAATTGCAACATTCACACCTGCCTCCAGCAGACAAGAGTTCTTTCTCCCACCCTGGACATTCCACAGATATATAAACCACACTTGCCTAGTTTCTTTTGAGAATGCTTGCCATAGATGTGGACGAAATGTCAGGAGAGAATGCTTCTGGAACATGGCCACATAGCCTGGAAAACTCACAGCAACCCAGTGATCTGAACATGAAAGCCTTTGACAACACACTAACTCACACTCCCTGTATATGGGTGCATTCTACACTATATAATGAAGGCAGTTTGGCAGCACTTTAACTACTATGGCTATGAAATCGTGAAAGTTATTGTTTGTTGAGGCACTCTTTGGCAGAGAAGGCTAACGTCCTTGCAAAGTGACTTGCAGGATTCCAAAACATTGGACCATGGTATTTACTTACTTTACTTAGGCAATCCCTCGTTGTCTGAGTAGGATAGTCTTCCAGGATCAGTATACTGGTGGTGGGTCTGTAGGTGACTATGGAGCCCTTTTCTTGATCCGCTCCGTCTCCTGCAGTGAGGGCATCAGTTTCCAGGTGGGAGGTGGTTCCGGTCGGGGTTGGCTTGACGGGCCTTCCTCTTGGTGCGTTTCTCTCTTTTGCCCTCCATTTGTGCCTCTTCAAATTCTGCAGCACTGCTGGTCACAGCTGACCTCCAGCTGGAGCACTCAAGGGCCAGGGCTTCCCAGTTCTCAGTGTCTATGCCAGTTTTGCCCATCTTTAAATCTCTTTTCCTGTCCACCAACATTTCGTTTTCTGTTCGTGAGTTCGGAGTAGAGCAACTGCTTTGAGAGACGGTGGTCGGGCATCCGGACAACATGGCCAGTCCAGCAGAGTTGAAGGTGGAGGAGCATCCCTTCAATGTTGATGGTCTTTGCTTCTTCCAGCACGCTGACATTTGTCCGCTTGTCTACCCAAGTGATGTGCAGGATTTTCCAGAGGCAGCGCTGATGGAATCGTTCCAGGAGTTGTATGTGACATCTGTAGACAGTCCACGTCTCGCAGGCATATAGCAGGGTTGGGAGGACAATAGCTTTATAAACAAGCACCTTGGTCTCCCTCTGGATGTCCCAGTCCTCCAACACTCTCTGCTTCATTCAGAAAAATGCTGCACTCGCAGAGCTCAGGCGGCGTTGAATTTCAGTGTCAATGTTGATTTTGGTAGAGAGGTGGCTGCCAAGGAAGCGGAAATGGTCAACATTTTCTAAAACATTTAAAGTGGTGTCAAACAGCATTATAACTAGAGTAGATGCTCGGTGACACCTCTGCTGCTTTGTGGTACACAAGCGCTGTATAAATTTACCTTCAGGCTAGGTCTAGAAAGGTACATATGAAACATAAGTGAATTTCATTTTTAGACATGGGATTCATTTCCAGAATTTCTAATTATGAACATATAAGCAAAAATAGTTATTCCAAAAATCCAGAAAACTTTGGGTCACAAGCTTTTCGGATAAGAAATACCCAGCTTGTACTCTTAAAGTCCATGAAGAGGAAACTTCTTCCAATGAAGAACGCTATCAGGTGTTGGTAAGAGAAACTGGAAGGTGCTTGTCGTATTTTGAACTACGGAGGGAACGCAGGGACAAATAGGAAAGAATAGCATTGAGCTCCCTTTTTCTAGTGTCACGGGAGAAAGCAGAAGGGAGCACGCATGCGCAGTGGTTCCCGCTGGCCTGTATATAGGTTTCACTTCTTTCCGCCCGCTCTCCAGTTTGAGTTCTCAGAGTTGCGCATGCGTGGCGAGTGGGGAGCCGGGTGCCTGGTCTTCAAGCGGAGGGCGTGCAGCGGAGGAAGATGGAGCGGGCGGCCTGCAGGGACCGGAAGGGAGCCCCCCGCCTTCTCGCCGCCCGCCCCTCCCCTCCGGCCTGTGGTGAGTGGAAGACTCTCCCCCCAGATACACACCCCTTAGGCGCATCCCCACGTGACGCCAGACCTGCGAATCCCTCAGGTTGGGCGAGGAGGGCAGACTACTCAGGTGTTGCAGAAAGACTCCCCTTGACAAGTCTGTAGGCCAGGCATGGGCAAACTTGGGCCCTCCAGCTGTTTTTGGACTTGAGCTCCTACAATTCCTAGAAAGGAGGGAAAAGGAAGGGGCCTGAGCAGGCATGTAGCGGGGGGGGGGGGGGGGGGGGGGCTTGAGGGGCTTCAGCCCTCCCCCCCGAAATTCTCATGGTGGTTCGCGAAAAGGCCTTACTGGTGCATTATTTAAACTGTTATGTTTATTCATATCATGATCTGATCACCATACTCAATATATCCCATATGCATGGGGGTAATGATACAAAAGGTTTTCTAGGCTAGACCCTCTTTCACTCAGACACAGCTCCCCCCGAAACCCCCCCCCCTGAAAAAAATTCACCCCCCCCCCGAAACGAAATCTTGGCTACGGGCCTGGGTCTGAGGGTTTTAGGAATTGTGGGAGTTGGAGTCCAAAACACCTAGTTTGCCCATTCCTGCTCTAGGTGCATCTCCATTTAGAATTAACACAGTTTGATGCCACTTTAACTGCCATAACTCATGGCTATGGAATCCTGGTAGCTGTAATTTAATGAGGCACCAGCATTCATCGCCAGAGAAAGATAAAGGCCTGGCCAAACTATTAACTCCCAGGATTCCATAGCATTGAGCCAGAGCAGGACACCAAACAGCATTCATTCATTCTCCAGAGTAGATGCACACTTGTATGAATGTCTTGTGGAAAATCAGCTGCACTGCTAAAATCCTTGCCTTGCAATCTGTAAGGCAATGGTTCTCAACCTGTGCGTCCCCAGATGTTTTGGCTTTCAACTCCCAGAAATCCTAACAGTTGGTAAACTGGCTGGGATTTCTGCGAGTTGTAGGTCAAAATACCAGGGAACCCACTGGTTGAGAAACACTGCTGTAAGGGAACTGTCCCATCATCTTAAGTCCCCCTCTACTGCTGCCATTTCCCCACATATACATACACACACATATTCATACCCATTTTACACATACACATATTGTCAAGACTCAGGTCCGGCGGTAGAACAAAGCAGCTAAGCAGGAGCTAATTGAGGTTGTTTAATGTCTCTTTAACAAAACAAAAGACCTCTTAACTTCAGAGTCATAAATTAAGGAGCTTGCAGTCAGCAGAACGTAAACAAAATAGCTTCAGTCAGCACAAGGAAAAGGCAGTCTTAAACACAGACAGTCAGTTTGGCTTCAGCATTCAAATGTAGTCCAAAACAACAGCTATAACTCAGCAAACGACACTCCGTATGGAGAGCGGTCCAACGAAGATCCAGGGGCAAGGCAGAGGCGTAGTCAGACGGTCCAGGAGTCAGAACAAGGCATACATACAAGGCAGGATCCGACAGGGATGATTCCACAGGCAGGAACACGAAGCTGTAAACAAAGCTCACGGCAAGAGTAAACACAAAGCACACAGCATGCGACACTTTGAACTCTGCGATTAGATGGCTCTCAAACTGCTCCTTAAATTCCATCTGAATCGCTGGAGTTACTTCCAGCTGGATCCAATTCTTCAGGTGAATCGATGCCACGCCACTGCAGCCATTCAGCATTTCGGGTCTCATCCTGCAAGTTAACATCATTAAAACCCTGGAATTCATCGCTAGATGTAGGGGCGTTAAAAACATCCATCACTTCTTGAACTTTAGCCCAGTCTAGCTCTTCGTCTTCGCTGTCAAAGTCTGTACAATCAGCTATGTCTTTCGGACGTTTGGCAACAGACCCCACATCGCTATTAGAGCTGCTGGCTACTCTTTTTACACCCCTGTAACTCTCTAGCTCCATCTCCTCTTGAGTAAAGCCCATAAAATCCTCTTCATCAGTAGTCTCCAAAAACAAATCCCTGATCCTTTTCAGCTGTTGCTGATCCTCATCATTCTCTAAGCCACGTTTTCTCCTACTACTGGTAGTAGGTGCATCAGGCAGACGCTGAGTCTCAACACTATCCCCCCCCTCCAAGGCCTCCCCCTCCTCAGGCGGAGCCACAGGGCGCGAGAGACGCTCAGACAGGAGAGGGCGAGACTCAGAGGTGGCGAGCTTGAGCATAGAGCGATGGAACACAGGATGCACTTTCAAAGAAGAAGGGAGACGCAAACGAAAAGCCACAGGCGAAATTTGCTTGACGATAGGATAGGGTCCCACATAACGAGGCGCAAACTTGCCCCCAGAAGGCTTGAGATGCTTGGAAGAGAGCCAAACCAAATCCCCCTCCTTGAGCTCAGCACCCTCCTGCCGATGCTTATCAGCCTGTGCTTTTTGAGCATCCTTAGCTTCCACAAGAATACGCCGGGCAACATCATGCAAAGCAAGAAATTCGTTAGAACGGTACACAGGGTCCGTGGAAACAATGTCATGCACCGGAGCCGACCCCCACCTAGGCTGCATACCATAAACCAACTCAAAAGGGGAATGGCGACTGACGGCATGGGTAGCATTGTTGTAGGCGAATTCAGCCACAGGAAGCCACTGCACCCAATCCCCAGCTTGCTGTAAACAAAAACAACGCAAATACTGTTCCAAAAGGCCATTCACACGTTCCGTCTGGCCATCAGTCTGCGGATGAAAAGCAGAAGAGATATTGAGCTTCGTGCCCATCTGGGCCTGGAACTGCTTCCAGAATCGCGACACGAACTGAGGGGCGCGATCTGAAATTATAGTGTCCGGAGCCCCATGTAACTTAAACACATGCTTCATAAAGAGCTGGGCCAACCCAGGTGCTGTGCGAACTTTCGCACACGGAACAAAATGAGCCATTTTAGAAAACAAGTCCACTACTACCCAAATACAGGCGTATCCCCGTGCCCTGGGGAGATCAGTAATGAAGTCCATAGAAATGACCTGCCAAGGTCTCTCAGGCACCGGCAAAGGGGATAACAGGCCACTAGGCCTTCCAGGAGCATGTTTACATTGCTGGCAGACGGCACAACTGTCACAGTACTGTAAAATGTCCTGCCTCATTTTTGGCCACCAAAAATTTCTAGTGATTAGTTGCACGGTCTTAAACCTCCCAAAATGACCTGCAGCCGGTTCATCATGGTGGGATCTAAGAATCTCAAGGCGTAAACTACCTGCAGGAACGTAGAGCTGCTCTCTGCGCAACAAAATCCCACCCTCATTGCGAAGATTAGGGAGTACAGACTTCTGGCCATTTGCTAACAAGGTGAGCTGTTCTTGAGTCCAAATGTCCTCAGCTTGCGCTGCTTTGACCTGGTCACAAAGATCACCCGCACCCTCCATTAAATTGAGAGCCGCTGTAGGTAACACAGTCTGCAGGACGGGTGCCACATCAGTCTTATATTCAGATTTCCGAGACAAAGCATCCGCCCTCAAGTTCATTTTCCCCTCAATGAACTCAACACGAAAATCAAAACGACTAAAAAAAATAGCCCAACGAATTTGGCGCTGGTTCAATTTGCGAGCGGTTAGCAAATGTTCTAGGTTACGGTGATCAGACCGCACCACCACCTGGTGCCTGGCACCTTCGAGCCAGTGCCTCCAAACCTCGAAGGCAACCTTAATCGCCAGTAACTCCTTCTCCCAAATTGTATAGTTCTGTTCACAGGGAGACAATTGGCGAGAGTAAAAGCCACAAGGCCGAAGGATACCCTTGGAGTCTAACTGGGACAGGACAGCTCCCAACACGTAGTTGGAGGCATCAGCTTCAACCACAAAAGGACGGTCCACATCTGGTTGACACAGGACTCTCCCATCAGCGAAACTGCATTTGATGGTCTCGAATGCTCTCTGAGCCTCCTTAGTCCATACGAATGGGTGGTCCTTTTTCAGGAGGCGAGTCAGCGGCACGGTGATTTCTGCATAATGGGGAATAAAGTCTCGATAATAATTAGCAAAACCTAGGAAACGTTGCACATCTTTCTTTGAGGCGAGTTCCTTCCAGGACTGGACAGCGTCCACCTTATGCGGGTCCATTTTCACCTCCCGCCCAGAGACTATGTGTCCCAGAAACTCCACCTCCGGGACATGAAAAACACACTTAGAAGCCTTGGCGAACAGACCGTGTTTCCGAAGCCTCTGCAGCACCGTCCTCACATGTTCTCGATGCTGCCGAAGGTCCTTTGAGTAGATCAAGATGTCATCGAGATAACAAACCATGAATTTATCTAATAAATCTCTAAACACATCGTTCATTAAGCGTTGAAACACAGCTGGCGAATTACATAATCCGAAAGGCATGATTAAATATTCGTAAGCCCCGAGATAAGTGTTGAAGGCGGTCTTCCACTCGTAGCCTTCCTTAATCCGGAGCAAATTATAGGCGCCCCTTAAATCCAACTTCGAAAAAACAGATGCGCCCTGAACACGAGACAATAACTCAGGAATCAAAGGCAACGGATAACGGTCCCGGATGGTAAACTTATTCAAAATACGATAATCACAAACTAAACGTAAATCACCCGTCTTCTTGGACACGAAGAACACTGGAGCCGCCGTGGGAGAACTGGACGGACGGATGAACCCTTTGGCCAGATTCTCCTCAATGTAGTCCTTCAAGGCCTGGCGTTCTGGAAGAGACAAAGCGTAAAGCCTGCCCGCAGGCAACTTGGCGTCCTCCATCAACTTTATCTGGCAGTCATAAGGCCTATGGGGTGGAAGATTGTCAGCCTGTACCTTGCTAAACACATCATAAAAGTCTTTATAGCATTCAGGAACACCTTCCACATCCGTTGGACTTACTGCCAACGTTCCACATACAGGTGGTGCTAAGGTAATGGTCTTGGCTTGCCAGTCTATTCTGGGATTAATCTTGGACAGCCAGTCCATGCCTAGGATGATGGTATACCTAGGCAAGTTAATCACATCCCAGGAAAACCGACCCTCTATACCTTGAGCCTCCCACCTCAGGGGCCCAGTCTCCATAGTAACAGACCGGTGGCCCACTAGAGCACCATCTGCTCCTTCCACCCACTCTGGCTGGCGCTTCCTTTGTAACACAATATGATGGTCCATAGCGAAGCTTGTGTCCATATAAGACCCGGTTGCCCCAGAGTCCACTAGGGCCCAAGTGGAGAACCTATTGCCTTGGTTAGAACAGAGTTCAATGGGTAAAAACACATGGTCTTTACACCGGGGCCACTGAACCGCTGGCCCTAATGTGCTTGCCCCAGTGCACATTAGGGCTGGCCTTTTCCCTGCTCCCTGGGAGCCTTGGCCGGACAACTGCGGGCGAAATGGCCCCCCGCTCCGCAATACAAACATAAATTGAGCTGACGCCGTCTCTGCTTCTCCTCCCTGGATAACCGGCGTTGACTCCCCAGCTGCATGGGCTCCTCGGAATCCAGACTGGAACAGACAGCAGCGGCGGTGACTTGAGGGGAGGGGGTAGACTGGAACTGCGGCTGGAAATAGCCCTCCTTCCTCAGCATGTTCTGTCTCCTCTCCAGTCGAAGAGCCGTTTTAGTCAAAGCCTCCCAGGTGTCAGGAGGTTCAAAGCGTGCCAATTCGATTTTTAAAGCTGGAGCAAGCCCTGCTGTGAAGCAAGTCATAAAAGCTTTCTCGCCCCAGTCCAAGTGCTGTTTCAGATGGTTGAAACGATTCAAATAGTCCAACACACATTCTTTCCCTTGCCGGATAGCATGTAACTCACGGCTGGCATTCTCTTCCTGGAGAGGGTCTCCAAACATCTCCTTAAGAGCGTCCAAAAAGCCAGCATAATTGCGCAGTAAGGGGCTATTGCTATTAACCAGATTTACTGCCCACTTACCCGCTCGGCCAGACAGCAAACTGATCACAAAAGCCACTTTGCTTTCATCTGTAGCATAAGCAGTTGCAGGCACTTGCTTAAAATAAACTTCGGTCTGCATCAAAAACAGTGGCAAACCATCTTTATCTCCGATAAAGCGCTCAGGGACGATAGCACGAGCCGTGCGCGGCCCGCCAGCCAGTCCTCCCCCACGGAGTTCATCAAACTGCGCTTTTATTTATTTATTTATTTATTTATTTACTCCATTTGTATACCGCATTTATCAGCCTGGAGCGGCGACTCGGAAAGTCCCCCCAAGCCGTTGGATGAGAGGAGGGGAACGGGGCGAATCTCGCAACCGAGGGGAAAGGAAAGGCCGTCTGCAGGCATGTAGCGGGGGGGGGGGGGGGGGGGGGCTTGAGGGGCTTCAGCCCCCTCCCCGAAATTCTCATGGTGGTTCGCGAAAAGGCCTTACTGGTGCATTATTTAAACTGTTATGTTTATTCATATCATGATCTGATCACCATACTCAATATATCCCATATGCATGGGGGTAATGATACAAAAGGTTTGCTAGGCTAGACCCTCTTTCACTCAGACTCAGCCCCCCCCAAACTCAGCCCCCCCAAAACCCCCCTGAAAAAAATTCACCCCCCCCCGAAATCGAAATCCTGGCTACGGGCCTGGGTCTGAGGGTTTTAGGAATTGTGGGAGTTGGAGTCCAAAACACCTAGTTTGCCCATTCCTGCTCTAGGTGCATCTCCATTTAGAATTAACACAGTTTGATGCCACTTTAACTGCCATAACTCATGGCTATGGAATCCTGGTAGCTGTAATTTAATGAGGCACCAGCATTCATCGCCAGAGAAAGATAAAGGCCTGGCCAAACTATTAACTCCCAGGATTCCATAGCATTGAGCCAGAGCAGGACACCAAACAGCATTCATTCATTCTCCAGAGTAGATGCACACTTGTATGAATGTCTTGTGGAAAATCAGCTGCACTGCTAAAATCCTTGCCTTGCAATCTGTAAGGCAATGGTTCTCAACCTGTGCGTCCCCAGATGTTTTGGCTTTCAACTCCCAGAAATCCTAACAGTTGGTAAACTGGCTGGGATTTCTGCGAGTTGTAGGTCAAAATACCAGGGAACCCACTGGTTGAGAAACACTGCTGTAAGGGAACTGTCCCATCATCTTAAGTCCCCCTCTACTGCTGCCATTTCCCCACATATACATACACACACATATTCATACCCATTTTACACATACACATATACTTACCTATATATATACACACGTGTATACATATATGCATACACATATACCTGTATACACACATATACACATGTTACACATGTATACACACATTCACGTATATACATATGCATACACATATGCCTATTATATATACACACACTCATGGAGAGAAGACAGCCCTTGTGGTTGTTAACTGCTTTATGACAACTTATGGACACCCCATGAATGCAAGACCGACAAACCACCCAATCAGAGGCCCACCTTAGAGCTTGCAGACTCAGAGCTGTGGTTTCCTTGATGGAGTCCATGTATCTGGAATGCAGCCTTCCTCTTTTCCACATTCATTGTTACTATGTTCCTTCAAGTTATTTCCAACTTATGGCGACCCTAATGGGTTTTCTGGGCCACGTTGGTGCAGCGGGTTAAACTGCTAAGCTGCTGAACTGCTGACCGGAAGGTTGGCGGTTCGAATCCATGGGACAGGGTGAGCTCCCGTTGTAAGCCCCCACTTCTGTCAATCTAGCAGTTCAAAAATATGCAAATGTGAGTAGATCAATAGGTAACCAACGATGCTCCATGCACCACATGACCTTGAAGGCGTCTACGGACAGTGCTGGCTCTTCAGCTTAGAAATGGAGATGAGCACCACCCTCAACTAGAGTTGGACTCAATTAGACTTCATGTCAAGGGGAAACCTTGACCTTTATTCAGGGGGTTTCTGGTGTTAAGAGAGAGACTCATCTAAAAGATGTTGAGGTTTCCAAGGTGGAGCAGAAATTGAACTCTGGTCTGCAAACTCATAGCCCAGTACTCATACCACTATACCACACTGCCTCTCACCTTTTGTCTTTCCAAGCATTATTGTATTTTCTAGCAAGTCATTATCTCCCCATGATATGGCAAAGTTTGACAGTCTCCATTTAGGCATCTTGACTTCAGGCTTCATTTGCTCTAGAACCCATTTACTGGTCTTTTTAGCAGTCCACAGTATCTGAAGACCTCTTCTTCTGCACCACATTTAAAGTAAGTGGTTATCTTCCTATCAGCTTTCTTCACTGTGTTTATAGCTTCGGACTTTCCTTTAGCTTCTGAGTACATCAAGGGCTGAAAGTCCTTTTGGCTTGAGCCCATTTGAATCATTAGCCACAACAGTACACATAGTTGTCCTCAGCTGCATTACATTCTCTCAGACTCAGAAGTCGGAGTCTCAGCCTAAAAAGAAGGCAAAGGCAATCCCCATCTGACCAAATCTTGCCAAAACAGTCTCCTGCTAAGTTCCCATAAGTCAGAAAGTACTTGAAGGCACAAAAGGCCATTCCTTTTTGTTTCATTATAGTTAAAATTAATTGATTTGTAAAAATAATAATAGTATAACAGGGTCTTCCAACAAAAATAGATGAGATGCATATAATTTTGACAGAAGCATTTCTTTGTGAGAGAACTCCATTCAGGTTTTTTTTCAGTCAGTGCTAAATAATATGATGCGGTCATGTAGGTATGTGATGGGGGATTGTTGAATGATAGATCTTATAATTTATCCTGAATACTTTCCCTTCATACAGAAAATGGTCAGCAGCTCTATGAATGCCCAATATGTCAGCTCATTTGCACAGATTACCCAGTTTTACAGGAACACGTTGAACTCCATTTGGAGGAATGCAGCTTTTTAGAAGGTAACTATAAAAGGATTTGTTAAAAGGTAATGTTTCTTTTTCTGCTGATTGAAAATGTTTGTTAGGATTGACAAGGTGTTGGATCCTACACAAGTATATGCTTTCTTGATTTTTTCACTGTCATGCCAAACAAAGAGAAAAGTCTTCATGTAATTATAATAACAATCATCATATTTATATGCCGCCTTTCTCACTAAAGGGACCCAAAGCGGTTCACAACATCAAAGCACATTGAATCTAAAATGTAATTGTTATGTACCTTCAATTTGTTTCAGATTTAAGGTGATTCTTAGTCACAAGTTTAGGGAAGGGGGCAGGAAAATGACGTTGGAGGCTTAGTTTGGGGACCCCTGGTTTAAAATATTTGTTGTAGGAGGCACCCAGGAGTGAAAAGCTGAATATCCTAAAATAGGTTGCTAATGAGTCTAATGAGTGAGAAACCTCAGCTCTGACCCCAAAAAGGAGAGAAATCTCCCCTTCCTCTGTTTATACTCCAGTTTAATCTGCAGTGGTTACAAACATTTTTTTGGGGGGTGGGGGTCCTCTGTGGAAATAATTTCAAATGTTTGGGGGAAATGAGGAGGGTCTACGAGCTAAGGAGTTCATGGTACAGATTGAGTATCTCTTGTGTCCTGAGCGGGAGTTAGCGCTTTCCCTTCTCCACCAGATAGCCCTCTACTTATCCATAGGTCATATAAAAATCTATAATAAAAATCTATAACCCCAAAACCTGCCCTTGACATATACATGACTGTGACTCTCATAAATAAATGGTCATTGTTTAAGAAATAAAACCAGAAAATGTGGTTTGAGTCTGTCATTGAGCAACCACTAATTTAAACTGAATTAAATCAATCAGGTTTGCCTGGGTCATGCAAAAGTAATGTACATTACTGCAGTTCTATGAATTAGCATGATATGTGCTGTTTATTCCTGAGTAAACATGAATTTGATTATACTGCATACTTAGAACAGTTCAATTTACTGAGATGTGTTGGAATATTTGGGGGATAATTTGATGTATCTAACATGGCCCCTTGGTAGTGCAGCAGGTTAAACCGCTGAGCTGCTAAACTTGCTGACAGTTTGAATCCGGGAAGTGGGGTGAGCTCCTGCTGTTAGGCCCTGTTTCTGCTAACCTGGCAGTTTGAAAACATGCAAATGTGAGTAGATTGATAGGTACCGCTTCTGCGGGAATATAACGGCACTCCATGCAGTCGTGACCTTCAAGGTGTCTAGAGACAACACTGGCTTTTCGGCTTAGAAATGGAGGTGAGCACCACCCCCCAGAGTCGGACACAACTAGACTTAGTGTCAGGAGAAACCTTTACCTTTATCTTAACATTTTCCAAGGTGGTGAATTGTTTCTATTTTTTGTAATGTGGCTTAACCATAGGAAGAAACTTGGGTGACTTGGAATTGGCACAGCAGCTGCAGTACGAGGAAGACAGGCAAAGAAAAGAAGAAACAACAAGACAAGAAAGAGAAGAGTTTCAAAAGCTACAGGTAAGGTATTGGTGATCTTACAGTACACATTTCTGCCACTGTACTTTATTGATGCATTTAGATCAGGGGTCCTCAAACTAAGGCCCGGTGGCCGGATACGGCCCTCCAAGGTAATTTACCCGGCCCTCACTCAGGGTCAACCTAAGTCTGAAACGACTTGAAAGCACGAAACAACAACAACAATCCTATCTCATCAGCCAAAGCAGGCCCACACTTCCTATAATAAGTTTATATTTGTTAAAATTGTTCTTCATTTTAATTATTGTATTGTTTTTAAGTGTTTTTGCACTAAAAATAAGATATGTACAGTGTGCATAGGAATTCATTCATGTCTTTTTCAAATTATAATCCGGCCCTCCAACAGTTTGAGGGGCTGTGACCTGGCCCTGTTTTAAAAGTTTGAGGATCCCTGATTTAGATAAAAAAACACATAAAATATATAGTAAATGTGCACACTTGTATGCATACAGAAGTAGTTTTGTTTAGCATTTAATATGAACGGATTGAGCAGAGAGACTTTTTCCTTTTATCAAGACCTATTTTATAAACTGCTGTACTCCAGTTTCGTTTCTTCGGCATTTCATCAGTGGCAGTTCTTCTTGCTGTATACTTGTTTATATGCACAAGGCTAAATTGATTGCAATCAAACATCCTGTTTGGTTTCATTTAATGCACATAAGTATTTCCTGTCCCATTTATCTGTGTACAGCTGTTATGCTCAATTCCTGCTGCTGACTCTTCAGAAAATGATAGTAAGTTCTCCATTCGCAACCCTCCCACATTTCCCACTGTCTTCCCCCCCCCCCCACACACACACCTTTTCACCAAAGAGTCATTACAGCTTTTGCCCACAAGGTGGAATCACTACACAATACCTCTGTTTGGATGCACCCAAGTCTTCCTTTTTGAGCAATGGACTACTCAGCCTAGTAAAGTGCCATCCACTGGGTAATAGTAATTCTATTATTACAACCAATAGCCCAGATAAAGTATTTGGTTATTTCTACTGCTTTTGATAACATTTGCCTTTAGTCTCAAGCATTGTGTTTCTCTTTGACAGAAACAATATGGTTTGGATGGCTCTGGGGGATACAAGCAGCAGTCACTAAAGAACATGGAAAAGGATGTAGCTTTGGGAAGAATGCAACCATCTGAATATCACGTGAAGAAAGTTGATATGATGGAATCTTTGGCTTTGGGCATTGATGATGGAAAGACAAGGACTTCAGGTCAATAACTATAACATGGATTTACTCAAAGGCCAAAATGAGATGTCAAAAATAATTATGGTTCAATGTGAGATGGACAGCTGTTGGTGTTATGGGGTCACATTGTTCTCCAGGGTGCATAGAAGGCTGTATAAATCCCCAAAATATTTAATTTCCTCTTCACCCTTACTTGATCATTCATTAATCTGCTCTAGTTGCAGATTCCTTGCAACTAGAATGGGGTGAATTGCAGTCTGCCAGAGGTTATTGCATAACAACTCTGGTCAGCCTTCACAGTTTGTTGTGATGGGAGTTCCACTTTCAGATTTGGCGCTTTCTGACGGCACCAAATCTTCATTTTATAACTGAAGCAAAGAATCCTGAGACCTGACAATAGGTCCACACACAGACCTGTCAGTCCCGTGAAATGGTCCCTCGCCATTTTCACAGTGGATCAAGATGGAGGGTGGGTGTGATACATCTGACGAAAGTGCTTTTTATTTTAATTCACTCCCAATTTATGCTGGACCTCATATACGCTGATGTGACTATCTTAATGTCAACACAAGCAGATTTGCATGTGTGCATATGAGGTCCAGCATATAATGGAGTGACTTAAAAAAACACTTGTGTTGGATCTCTCTCTTCCCCCAATTGTCAATTCAAGCTCTCTTTAATATTATAAAGTTGAAAAAGACTTTAAGAGAATTCTAATTACTTTCTTATTCTGCTTCCTTTGAGCCACTTGCGTGTTTGTGGCTCCATGTTTTGACAGCTCAGTCAGCTGTTTCAGGCTTTTAAAAAGCACACGTGCACTGGAGCAGTCCACACAGGGGGAATGAAGCACATTTTTAGCGTGACTGCAAGGCTATACAGTCATGCAAAGGTGCACATTTTCATGTGGAATCAGGTTTTAAGTGCACCTTTTTAACACTTGTTTTTCAGCTGTTAACCCGATTCCACCCGCACTTTGGCTAAACATTGTTTAGCCCCCCCCCCCCAATTTATTTTTTATTTAGTTACCATATTTATACCTCGCCTTTCTCACCCTGGAGGGGACTCAAGGCGGTTTTACAACAGGCAGCAGTTTGATGCCATACATGCATGTATCAAATAAACAATTACAATTAAAACCAAATTATCAAACATCAATTAAAATCACGTCATCCAAAACATAATCCAGGGCCATTCCATTTGTCAATCACATTAATTTATGGTGTCTTATTGCACTGCTCCAATTATTTGTCAAAAGCTTGGTCCCAAAGCCATGTCTTAATTTTTTCCTGAAGGTCAGGAGAGAAGGGGTTGATCAGATTTCATTGGGGAGGGATTTCCACAGAAGTAACCTGGTTACTTATGGGTTTTTGGCCAAGTAGAAGGGCTCCCAGTCTTATTTGGAGCAAATCCGGGACTATTTGCTCAAAGTATTGAAATGCACTCATAGCTGAGGAGTGCTCTCGTGTCTCCCAAGTTAATGTCTTAACAAGTTATCCAGTAAATTACGCTGGCTCTGTGTTCCCTCCAGAATTGGAGGAATTTCTTGCTGCTTAGAATATTTGTTCCATTCCTCTTCATCATGTAATCCAGGCATCCTCAAACTGTGGCCCTCCAGCTGTTTGGGCCTTCAACTTCCAGAATTCCTGACAATTGAACTAGCTTGTTAGGGCTTCTGGGAGTTGGAGGGCCAAACAGCTGGAGGGCCACAGTTTGAGGATGCCTAATGTAAGCTGTGTGACGACTATTGTATTATAACCAGTATCTCTTTCTTCTCCCCCCACCCCCACCCCTTCCTCCACTTTCTTTTCAAATTCTAGGAATTATTGAAGCATTATCCCAGTACTACCAGAATGAATGTAAAGACATAAAACATGTGTGGCTTTCCGCAGGAGTGGATCACTTCCACTTTTGTTCTGGAGATAAAGGCTGGGGTTGTGGTTACAGGAATTTTCAAATGTTGCTTTCTTCTCTCTTGAGAAACAGTGTCTATAAAGACTGCTTAAAAGGTTTGTATTTTAAAGCACTGCACTGCCAGTGTCACATTTGCCAGATTAAAGAATTATTGATAATGTACTCTGTTGTTGGCATATACTGCAGTCTCATCTTTATCTTTGTGTAGTGTGATCTGAATAATAAGCAGATTTAAAGCAAGGTTCAATTGACTAGCTTTGTTAATTCATAAGTGATACGATATTAGTGAACCAAACTTAAGGTAACAATAGAGTAGTACTATTGCACCTCAAGGGCTAACTTGACAGTCATTCAGGACAGTTAATGATCTACTTTTTCTAAGCTTGTGATGATAAAAGATAAGGTTTATGACTCCATGATTTGGGAGGGAGGAATGGAAGGAAGTGGTAGAGCAGTGGTTCTCAACCTGTGGGTCCCCAGGTGTTTTGGCCTGCAACTCCCAGAAATCCCATCCAGTTTATCAGCTGTTAGGATTTCTGGAAGTCGAAGGCCAAAACATCTGGGGACCCACAGGTTGAGAACCACTGGTAGAGGGAGAGAGTTTTTTTAAAAAAATTACAATACCTCTATTGAAAGAAAGAACTAGAGAAGACAGGAAACGCCTGTGCTGAGCTGTGTCGCTTTAGGCTGCCAGCAGATGCTCATATGTACAAGTTCCCCAACAAACACACCTAGTTTTCTGTGGGAAGAAAGTAACCATAGATTGTAGAACCAGTTTTGCTAGAACATGGCTTTCAAATTTGTGTGATGAAACATTGCATGAACATTATATGTACCATTTTGATGTGTAAATTGTCCAATTAGTCCATTTCACCCAGGGCTGTGTACTCTGGCTTCAATCTCATTAATAAAATGACACAGGCCATTTTTTGTGCCTGCAGTGAGGTGTGGGGGACAGTGATTTTTTTATTATTTTTGTTTGCTGTGGTTCGTGGCTGAAATTAAACTGCACTGTGCCAAGCATGATGGCTACTATGCTTTTTATCAATAGAAATATTTGTACAGCTTCAAGATTGACAATTACAGTCTTAACATAAATTACTTGAGTGCCAGTCTCATTAGATTAAATGACACCAATGTCTGAATAGATATTTGTAGGACAACAGCGTTATTCAATACTTCCAGGGTAGGTGCACACTTCTTTTCTTGGAATATGTTTCCTCTTACATGATAGAAAGAGTCTTCCCTCCTCCCATCCATCTCTGCCCAAATGCAGCTTTTCTAAATTACCAATAATTAGTTTTCTGTTGCTTTCAGTTCTTATAACAACTTGATTCAAGGCAAGGGGTTTAGAAACATTTGATGATTCGTTAATGGCATCTATAAGAATGGCACTGTTCAGTCCTTTTGAGCCACTTCAGGCTTGATCATAGTATGAAAAATTAATGATTGGAGCTTGTTGCCTCCAGGACAACTGCCACAATTCAGATCTCAGTGATGGCTGTTGATCCTTCAAAGCTATGCTTCACAAATGTGTCCATTGCCCCCCTCTCTTTTTTTGTTTGTTTTTGTTTTTAGAGAACTCATCCATTCCTTGTATTCCAAAAATTCAGTCATTGATTGAAGAAGCCTGGAAGGAAGGTTTTGATCCGCAAGGAGCTTCTCATTTCAACAGCAGATTACATGGTACTAGGGCATGGATAGGAGCATGTGAAATTTATTCCCTGTTAACTTCTCTAAGGCTAAAGTAAGTGTGTTATTTTAAGGGAAATGAGTTTCTGGAAACCTCCTTGTTCTTATTCTTGTAATCTTTCATTTCACAACAAAGAAAATGAAAAATCATAGCTTTATACATGCTCGGCTGTTCTGCATGTGAAGAATAGCTGCTACTGGCAATAGCAAAATTTTCACTTGTGAATCCATTTTTTCTTTTCAAGAACTACATTTTAATTTAAGGTTGGTAAGAATAATTAAACTGATAAAAGCAATTTAACAAAAATATTAGAACAAGTGGAAAAACTGTTCTCAAATGTAACTTCAAGAGACAAGATTGCCTGTATTTAGAGGCAGTCTTAGAGGCACCAAGGCCACAAGCTAAGAGAAGGTTTTCTTTGACTATAAACAAATGAGAAATGGCTTTCATGGGTTATGTATTTGAGATATTATCAAAATTAGCAACCTAAGACACACCTAGATTGCTTTAAAATAAATTAAAAATCTCCATGTACCATCTTACAGGTCTCAAATCATTGACTTTCACCAGCCAACTGGCCCTTCAGGAACACATCCTCGTTTGCTTGAGTGGGTATTGAATTATTATTCTTCAGAAAAGGAGAACAATGCAAAAGTAGTGTGTTCCTCCCGGCCACCTATCTACCTCCAGCACCAAGGTTGGTTTCAGCTTCCCACTTTGTTCTTTTATTAAACATACCTGGATGTAAGATTAAATTCCTGATCTATATCCATTTCCTTGTTATGTACCATATGAGTTCATATATCATTACAGAGGTGGGGAAGAACCTATAATCCTTTGATGTGGTTAAAGGCATTAATGAATGAATCCTTGTTTTGGGATTCCCCATCAAGCAGTTGTGTCTGCTGCTCTCTTATTTCAATAAGAGCCTCTAAAACTTAGTTTGACCTTTAGTGAAGCCATGTATCCAGTTAACAACAGAACATGTTATGTTGTTGAAAGTAGCTTAATGTGTCCACTTCTGAAAACAGATCCTGTAAGAATGAAAGCCGTGTAATTGTGATTATAGTAGTACAGGCATGTAGCCGGTGGTCCGCGAGAAGGCCTTACTGGTACATTATTTAAACTGTTATGTTTATTCATATCATGATCTGATCACCATGCTTAATATATCCCATATGCATGGGGTATTGGGGTAACGATACAAAAGGTTTGCTAGGGTAGACCCTCTTTCACTCAGACTCAGCCCCCCCCCCCCCCCCGAAACAAAATCCTGGCTACGGGCCTGTAGTAGTAGGTAATGTTACAGATTAGTATGCTATCCCTTGCTTCCCATTTTCTTGAGCGTAGGTTGAAGAGAATCCCTCTTATTTTTTTATTTCTTTATTTACCATATTTATATAATATAAATATTATATTTATATTCTCAGCCCCGAGGGGACTCAAGGTGGCCTTACAACAGGGAACAATTGGGTGCCATACATACAATTGTCAAGTAAACAATTACAATTAAAAACCAAACAATTAAAACATGAATTATTAAAACATCAATTAAATTAAAACATCCGTTATAATCATGCTATACAAAACATAATCCAGGGTTGTTCCATTTTTTAGCAGGATCATCTTTTAAGGAAACAACTAACTATGTGTCGATTTTTACTCAGTATATCCATATCATGTTTTTTCTTGTAAGTGTTCTAAATACAGGCAGACCCCAAATTACTTACATCCAATTTACATATGACTCATAGTTACAGATAGGGGTGAGACAACAGGAAGTGAGAGAAATCTCATCCTAGGAAGGGAAATTCACTCCTGAAAGAGTTGTCATGGGGAAAAGGTGTCTCTATCATCCATTCTTGTTTCCACAACAAGCCAGTTTTTTAAAAATCCAATTATCACAGGGACAGAAAGTGAGGCGAAATCTTCTGAACAAGGGTACAAACAGCAAAACAAGGACCACAGGAGTGTTAACCCTCCCCTGTGTTATCAAAAGTTAAAGATATAAATACACACACACACACATACATATATATGGCTGGAGTTAGACTTTAAAATGTTAACGTTTATATTAATGTTTTTAACTCCATGTTTTAATGTTGTTACATTGTAATGATCTAATTGATAGTTATATGTTTTGGGGGCATTAAATTTTGACACAATATGTTGGAAACAGTTTTGAGTCCCCTGTGGGTGAGAAAAGCGGTATACAAGTGAAGGAAATAAATCAATAAATAATAAAAAGTATGTATCCTGACTTACATACAAATTCAATTTAAGAACAAACCTACTGAGCCGACCTTGTTCGTAACTTGGGACTGCCTGTACATGCATGCATCTATCTGTCTGTCTATCTATCTATCATCTATCTATCTATCTATCTATCTATCTATCTATCTATCTATCTAACATCTTCTGGGCAATATAATTTTTGCAATAAATGCTTTTTGTTATGTTTTCTGTGTGGGGCAGCAGACGAATAATGCAAAATTATCTTGTAGTAGTATGCTCCTGTATGCTCCTGTTCCTTGTTGTTAAAAAGTGATAAAATCTGGCAAAGAGGGCAGAAGGCAAGAACCATCTGCTGGAGGAGAGTAGTTATGCAGAGAATATGAATTTCAAACACTTTTAGAAACTAGTGTAGTTGGATAGGATATATAACTTCACGCTTCCCACTCACAAAGTATTGCATCACCTTCACTACCAGAATAACGTGTCATGTTGAACCTGTCTGTGCAACATTTTAGGGCTTCATTAAGAGATTTATAGTTAAAGCACCATATAAAAATGAATGCATCCTCTGACACAATTTGTTTCCTCTTAGGCCACAGTCGTACTATTATTGGAATAGAAGAAAGGAAGAACAAGAGCTTGTGTCTACTAATATTTGATCCTGGCTCCCCCTCACAAGAAATGCAAAAACTCTTAAAAGGCATTGATGGGAACAATCTCAGATCGCTTCGAAGATTTGTAGGAAGTTTAAAACATAAACAGTATCAAATAGTAGCCGTAGATGGCGTGCTGTCATTGGAGGAGAAAACTGTAAGTATGCTAGAAAAGAAGCTCCTAACTAAATGGTGTGAGGAAATATAATAATGCTCCATTCTAACTCTCTTTACTGTCCATTCATAAGGCTTGCAGGAAGGCTTCACAAGTTTTCACAGCTCAGAGGATTCCTTGAAACCCCAAAGAATCCCATTGAAGAAAGTTGCAGAAGAGGTTTCTGGACTGTTTACATAGGCTCTTGAGCAATGTACATGCAATCTTTTTAATCATTTCAAAATAAATGTTGGGGGAAAACAAAGTCTCTGAGTGTGATTTCTCTCTGATACTAGATTATGAAGACTAGAATCTCAGTGCCCCAAATTACCATAATGGGGAATGCAAATTCCAACAATTTGAGGAACGGGTTTTTCAGCTCCTGGGAACTAGTTTAGATCGTGCCAAAGCTACTACTGAACATGTTTTTAAAACATGAACTAAACATATCCTGGTTTAGAACAATACAACAGCTCCTGGAAGCCTTTGAGAATCAAACAATCAACTTCTCCAATAGAAATTTTATTTTCATTGGAAAATTCCCATGGGACAAGTAGATAGCAAAAACTGCAATGGGGGTTGCAAGCAGAAGTATATATGAAAGAAGTATATATGAAAGATAACAGTACAACGATGCTTTCTTTGTTTCAGAAGGCTGAAACACTACAAACCCATTAGGGACTTTTTTTTTCTATAACCCAGATATCTACCCCATAACTGAGTCCTACTACATACAAAATAGCTAGAGGTACGAATGTAGTTTTAATTATAGCAATTTTTAAAAATGAAAATGCACTTTAAAGTTATTCTGGCAACAACAACAAAAATGAAAATATCCCCTCACAAAACTGAGACATGAGGCCTGAAGATGAGGAATTCTTGGAAATGACACTGTGAGTCACTTTAGGAGTCTTTCTGGCTGAACGGTGGGGTGTAAAAGCTCCAAATCACTTCCCAACCTTTGGTCCTCCAGATGTTCGGGACTTCAGCTCCCTGTATTCCTGACTGTTGGCCAATCTGGTTGGGGTTTCTAGGAGTTAAAAGTGCAAAACACCTGGAAGACTCAAGTGTGGGAACCACTGTTCTAAATAAATAGTTGGGACACCAGTTCTTTTTTACCCCAGCAGCTGGAAATGTAGGTAGTTCACAGTTGACTGAAGTCTCATTCTCCTTTCATTTTGTTTTGATAACTAATTTCAATAATCACCAGTTTCATAGCATTCAAGCTGAACTTGTAAACCAGTGGCTCTCAACCTTCCTAATGCCTTGACCGCTTAATACAGTTCCTCATGTTGTGGTGACCCCCAGCCATAAAATTATTTTCGTTGCTACTTCATAAATGTAATTGTGCTACTGTTATGAATCCTAATGTAAATATCTGATACAGAGGATGTATTTTCATTCACTGGACCAAATTTGGCATAAATACCCGATATGCCCAAATTTAAATACTGGTGGGGTGGGGGGGGGGGGGATGATATTTGTTGTCTTGGAGTTCCGTCTGGAGGGGGACTGGATAACAGAGTTTTATGGAGTATGCTGAAGCTAGGGGACGGAGAACAGGGATTTTATGTGGGATCGGAAGTCCCGGCTGCATTGTGGGGCGACAATCAATTATTATTTACATTCTAATAATAATACCAAGAACATTCGGTCACTTCCACATTTATCCTGTGGTCAAACCTCTAATTTGTATTATACTGAGGGCAGAGGTGTGATCGTTGTGTCCACCCTGCCTCGATAAGCATTTAACTTCTTTATAGTAGTCCTCTTTCCTGCTAGCCATGTCATTCTTTTCTCTCTTTGTTCTGTCATTCTTTCTCTCTCTGTGAGAGCAACCTAGCCTCCTTTTCCCTGATTCCCTCTTTCATCTTCCCTTCTTTTTCCTCTCTCCTTCTTTCCTTCCTTCCTTCCTTCCCTCCCATCTTTCCTTCTCTTCCTTCTCTATCTCTTTCCTTCCTTCCCCCTTTTTCTTTCTCTTCTTGTCTCTTTTCTTCCTTCTCTCTTTCCTTCTTTCCTTTCCCTCCCTCTTTCCTTCCTTTTCTCCCTCTTCCTCTCTTTTTTTCTTTCTTTTCTCCTTCTTAATCTCTCTCCCTCCTTCTCCCCCTCTTTTCTAATCTCTTCTTCCTTCCTTCCTTCCTTCTCCCCTCTTTTCTAATCTCTCTCCTTCTCTCCCTTCTTTGTTCCTTTCCCTACTCTTTTTCCCATGCTTCCTTCTCCCTCTTTCTTTCTTTCTTTCTCCTTCCTCTTTTCTTCTCTCTTTTTTTTTTCTTTTCTTCCTTCTTCCTTCCCTCCTTCCCTTCCCTTTCCCTTCCTTTTGTTGTACTCCGTTTATACTTTCTTCCTTGTCCTTTTATTGTTCTTTCCCTTAGTTTCTCTCCCTTTTGTTTCTTTCCCTATCCGTTCCTCTGTTTTTACGTTCGTTGTCAGGTCGCTTTGGGGCTTAGATTCCCAGAGGCCTACTATGGCCTCGATCGAGCGTAACTCTTTAGCCGCCCTGTATCCCCATACTCAGCAGCAGAGTAGCATAGCGCAAGGGCAGATGTCTTCACTGTGTCTGGTTGTGATCCCCAGGTTGTGCCAGTCAGCTTTCGTATGATATTATTTCTAGCACCCACTTTTTGCTTGATATTCAGGCAGTGCTTCTTGTAGGTCAGAGCACGGTCCAGAGTGACTCCCAGGTATTTGGGTGCGCTGCAATGCTCCAGTGGGATTCCTTCCCAGGTAATCCTCAGAGCTCAGGATGCTTGTCCTTTCTTAAAGTGTTTTAGATGGGTTGGGGATCAGCTGGTTTTCCCTGTAATAGGCAGTAAGAGCAGCTAGAGCTTCGGAAAGCTTCTACTGGTGGGGTGGGATGGGGGGGATTGATTTTGTCATTTGGGAGTTCTATTTGTTTTAATTTATATACCAAACTTGGCACAAATAATATCCCAAATGTGAACACTGGTGGAGTTTGGGGAAAATAGACCTTGACATTTGGGAGTTATAGTTGCTGGGATTTATAGTTCACCTACAATCAAAGAGCACTCTGAACCCAGCCCACAATGGATCTGCACCAAACATGGCACACTACCTACATGGCCAATATTGAATACTGGTGGGGATGGGGGAGCTGTTTTTGAATTCTGGTTTTAGTTCAACAACACCAAAAAGGATGAGAAGAGCAGGCGGAGAGATCTTCAGCCTTCTCTGCCAAAAGGGTTCCTAAGACCATCAGAAATACGTGTTTTCTGATGATCTTTGGTGACCCCTCTGAAACCCCCCAGGTTGAGAAACTCTGCTGTAAACCAAGAAGGTTGAGGAGTGAGGCATTGTTGTCCTTTGACAGGTAATTGGAACTTTGTCCCCTGCTCTTTGTGATCAGTCCACTGTCAACTTTAATGAGCCACATACATCTTGGGGTACATCTACACTGGAATTAATGCACTTTAATGCACTTTAACTGTCATGACTCATGCTATTGAATTATGGATCATATTTAGTTTTCTTTGCCAAAGAGCAATGGTGCTTGCCAAACTACCACTCACAGGATTCCATAACATTGAGTCATGGCAGTTATAGTAGTGTCAAACTGCATTAATTCTATAATGTAGAATATGCACCTTTATTATTTTTTTCCATACAGCAGGCCTATAGGTCTATCTTGGTAAGGGCAGTGCACCAACTATTGCTTTCAGACACTTCTTATAACATAGATTTTTGGGTAAACAAATGCAAAACTGGTTGGTGAGGATGAGCTTTTAGCAACGCAACATAGTGTGAATGGGGCATTGAAGGGTGTACACTGTTCCTTGACTCTTAGTCTTCATTATGAGATGTACAGACTGGTGTGGATCAAAGCTGCTGATAGGAGTCTGTGTTTGTACTTTTCAGACACAACTGCATTTTTTCCAGGTCCCTCCGTCTTGAAAGGAATGCACTATATTCTAATGACACCATTACTGATAGAAAATCCATTTTTCATTTCTTTAGCTCTAGATCATTCTTCCCATCTGCGTTTGTCCTGCTGAATTGCTGATGTGTTTACAAGGAGACATAATCAATCTAATCGCTTAGATACATTCAGAAACTATGTCATCTCCATTTGCTAGCAAAAGCAGCTGCTTGAGTGTTTACTGTGGCTAACACTATAATTAAAATTAGATGATGTTTTGCTTTTTGTTAAAATGATAGGCTACATCTCCCTTTTTCTTTTAATACCTGCACTAATAAAAACGAACTTGCTTTCAACCATCCTTGGGAAAGATGCTATTTCAAGTAGCACATCCTATTTCCCTTGGATTGGCCTTTTATGCCCTTAGCCCCAGTCTGTTATTTTGGGCTGGAGGGAGAAGAACATGAAGGGCCTTCTACATATGGCTAAAAAACCAGGAGTAACCAGGTTAGAAAGGTGGGTCGCTAAACGTTTAACCAAAGTGCATGCGGAATCGGAAAGCATGTTAAAAGGGTGTGCTTAAAACTCGATTCTGCCTGAAAAATGTGCATCTTTGCATGGCTGTGTATGCCTGTAGTCATGCAAAACATCCTTTCCTTCCCCCTGTGTGGACTACTCCAGTGCATGTGTGCTTTTTAAAAGCCCATAACAGCAGGTCATCTGATCAAGCTGTCTAAACATGGAGCCACGGTCACACAGGTGGCTCAAGGGAAGCACAAGTGGAAAACAATTAGAAATCTCTGAAAGTCTTTCTTTTAAACTTCTTAATATTAAAGAGAGCTTGAATTAACAATAAGGTGATGAGAGGGAAAGATCTGACAAAAGTTTTTTTTTAAAAAAAAAATCACTTTGTTATGCGCTGGACCTCATATGTGCACATGCGAATCTGCTTGGTTTACATTAAGATATTTGCATGTGTTCATACGAGATCTAGCACATAATTAAGTGATTTTTTAAAATAATAATAATAATTTCTGTTTTTGTTAACTATCTAGTTTACCTATTGCATAGTTTGCTAGGCCTCCATGAAGTTGCTTTGTTTATGGTTGGGCAATGGTGTTTTTAATTGAAGATAATAATTGATGTAACCCAAATTTTGTTTTGCACTCACTCTGCCTCATTTGGAGATCTTTACAATCCAGATTATATCTTCAATTTGTAATTACAACATGTTGGTCCTACTGCTTCTGACTTGTCTTCCACAATCACAGAAAATCAGTTTTTTAAAAAGAAATAAGGCTAAATCCATCTGAAAGTAGCTTTTGTGTCCACTACCAGCATTATATTTGAGAGTTTACTTCAATGAAAGGGAAAGGAGATAAAGAAACAATATAATGGAAAAGTAGCCCAAGCCAACTGTTGAGTTGCTAAGTTACTATTGCCTGCTTCAAAACAATGTAGGAAAGAGGCTGACTCACAGATGAGCAGGGATGATTCACACACTAGAACTGATATATTTCATGTTATGTAACGAAAAGACAGCAGGGTCCAAAAAAGGCAAAGCTCTTTGAAAGTTGTATGATGTATTGTTATTTGCAAATGCAATATAGCTCAGAGCACTGTGCCGAAAAAGTGCTGCTAAACAAGCAATCCCAACTAATACTGTGACCAAAAAACCTAATAAACCCATTACATTCTTGAGCATCTTAAACTGTGTACTATTACCACTCCACCCTTGGTAGGTAGTTCGGTATTATACACAATGTTATTAAATGGGATTCCTTTATAGGCATGTACAGCCTACCTTTACATTGCAAAATGCTCTGAATGACCTAGTTGTAAGTTATTTCCCTCAGTAAGGCTTTTGATAGAGGTCACTTGCCTTTTTTGTGCCATGTGGAGACTGGGGCCCCTTCCACACAGCTGAATAAAACCCCATATTATCTACTTTGAACTGGAATACATGACAGTATGGACTCCAATAACCCAGTTCAAAGCATTGTAGATTCCAATAACCCAGTCTAACATGGGATTTTCTGCCTTGATATTCTGGATTATAAGGCTGTGTGGAAGGGTCCTAAGGATCCTTCCAGACATACCATATATCCCAGGATCTGATCCCAGGTTTTCTGCTTTAAACTGAATTATATGAGTCAGATAATCTGGGATAAATAGAAAACCTGGGATCAGATCCTAGGATATACGGCCTATCTAGAAGGTCCCTGAAACAAAGTACAATAACATTTTAACTCCAGGATGTCCCAGTCTTTTATGAAGCCACATCTCAGTCCCCACACAGTCAAAAGAGAGTGATCTCTGCTTACGTCAGAGGAGCAACAGAAACATCTGACAGAAAATATATGCCTGAGACCTCAATACCATCTTTTCCTTTATTTGATTTTTAAACATCTTTTGCTGGAGGAAGGAGCTAATGGCACATCAAGTGTCCAATTTTGTTGACCAATAACATAATTGTGCTTTTGTGCATTTTATTTTGATTTGATGTATGGCTGACACAGCTACTCCCAAAATGTTAAGAGGACATAATATGCACTGTTTTCAAAATACCTTTCTTATTTAGGAAATAATGATATATGATTGTGTCCATCTTTAGATTCTCTTTCAGACTTTAGGGGAGAGATAAGTAGTAAATCTCTTTCAACAGCATTTAAACCTAAATGCAGGTGTTAATCCTAGCTAGAGACCAGTGAAGCAATGGGAACTTGGGAACTCTATACTTGCATAACTTCTTTTATTCATTCAGTCTGTTGGGACTGAGGCCTAAGTTAATTTGTAAAATTTACATAAGATTTCACATTTGTTATTGCAACATTTGCTGGCTAATACTGGAAAGGCAAGAGATGCTGAAGTCCAGATCAGTAACAGTAATTGGAGGAACAGAGCTTTATCTTCCATCTTGGCTGAGTAGATCAAAATCCTCTTTTAGCAGTGAACCTGTCTAATGAGTCAAAGACCAGAAGATTAAGATGAAAAGAGGAGCCATTCAACAAGGAGACACAGGTGTTGCCTCACAGAGGTTAAACATGAACTAAGCAGCTTTACAGATATTACTGTCCTAAACCTTATTAAATGAGATTCTGATCCAGAGCAGGTGAAGAGTTTACTGTCAATCTCACAAGTAAGAATAATCTCATGCTACTAGATGTGCATGCCAGCACAGGCTCTCGTGAGTTTCCAATGGAGTTTGGATCTGCATTTGGAAGGGGGGTGGGGGTCTGTCTTGGGGTTGTATCTTTAAAGAAGAGATTGAGGCAGTAGGGTGAACCTGCCAGGCCAAATAAATAAATAAATAAAAAACAACAACAAACTTCCCTGTGACTCCAGAGAGGATTCAAACAAACAAGATTGTATATACAAATAAGGAAATTCCAGTTAAAACTAGGAAAGATTGGCTGATGGTCTAAGCTATTTGGCAGCAGAACATGTTGTCTTGGAAGGTAACAAGTTTCTCTTTCTTGCAGGTGTTAAAATATTGGCCAATAAATGCCTTATGGAATGCTGTAACTATGTACCTTGCACAGGCGGGGCATAGGTTAAGATGACCTTTGAATTCCCTTGTCAGTTCTGATTCTACTTGCCAAAAGGGGCATATCAATTGAAGGGTGTGTATGTGACCTGCTTTGTAATGTTATCTAAAATGTTGCAAAACAAATCTTGAATGCCTGCAGCACCAAGTGTGCCAAAACAGCATAGGGCAGTATAACTTTTGACACCATTTTGAAAGTGCTGAGAACCTAACTGGAACTGGGAAGCTGTCCTGTGATCCAGTTCCAGAATTTATTTTTTATTTTATTCTTTCAGCTCCTCCAGAACTCATGAGGGAAGAGCAGGGAAAAACGTTTCAGATTGGCTCTAATTACTTCTTTCACTATGGTTAGTAGCAAGATCATTGTATTAGTAATTTTTTCAGCACCCTGAAATAGCTATGCAACCTAACATGCAGAAACACAAGCACTAGGCTTTGTACAGACATCTGGTTGGCCATTACGAGAGAAGAAGGCTGAGTAGGTAGGCTCTTCATCTGATCTAGTACAACTAATGATGTTTCTCTGCTATATTTCAAAATAATATAGCAGAGATGTTGTTCACCGCTTTGAGTCGCCTGAGGGCTGAGAAAAGCGGTATATAAAATAAATAAATAAATAAATAAATAAATAAAATAATAGCCTGGACCATTTAAGTGTTAGGAGCTAAAACTCAGAGGCAACTGCAGTATGTTAACCCTAGCAAAAAGAAGTTGTTTAACTGATGCCACCCCTTTAAGTCACATATGAGATTGAAGTCTCATATGTGAGACTTGGGGGTGCGGAGAGGACCACCATGTTTATCATTTCCTTTGCATATAGACATTTTCTGTACAGTTGCCTTAATAGGTCCTATGTTAGGTGCAGGTTATATTAGTGTTTATGCCTTGTATGCTGTGACACTAGCAGGCCCAGGCCAACCACTGGGTGTGTGGGAGGAAGAAGAGAGAGCAAATGGCAGGAAGAGGAGGAATGCGGCATAACAAATTGGACAAAATATTCCCTGACAAAAACTGCCAAAACAAGTCCGTTTAATAGCAAAATAGTGCAGCACAGCTTGCTCTGATACATTTTAATGCAGCCAAAGCCTCTAAGATTTAGATGAATAACTAGATAGAGAATTAAAGTTCCCGTTTCCCAGTCGACATGAAAAAGGGAAATGAAACTATTCAGTTCCTTAAACTTACTTTCCCCGGAAAATCTACAAGCAGTTTTCAAACTTGTCAATTCCATTCTTGCAAATGATTTAAGGTGCTTCCATACTATAGAATCAATACAGTAGTAATACAATGCCCATTCAATACCCCACCACGACGTCTCAGCCCATCTGCTGTCTGAAGGGGGGGGGGGGCATCGCAAAGGCTCGTCTACTCTATAGGATCAATGTAGCTTTTTAACTGCCATGGCTCAATGCTATGGTATCCTGGGAGTTGAATTTTGGTGAGGCACTAGCCCTCTTTGGCAGAGAAGGCAGAAGACCTTACGAATCTACAACTTATGATTCCATACCATTGACCCACAGCAATCTGAGTGATGTCAAAGTGCTTTAATCCTATGGTGTGGATACACAATTGGGGAGGGATAAAACACTGCATTGATTAGGAAATGCCAGAAAAGAAATCCTGACCAAAAAAAAAGGTCTGCTGCCTATATTGCATACCAGGCATGGACAAACTCTGACCCTCCAGGTGTATTGGACTCCAACTCCCACAATTCCTAACAGTCACTGGGCTGTTCGGAATTGTGGGAGTTGGAGTCCAAAACACCTGGAGAGCCAAAGTTTGTCCATGCCTGTTGTATACAGGACACAGTGATGCATCACTGTCAACACAACACAGGCATCAGCCCTTCTTTGAAGAGCATTGCCGTGTATACAATACAATCATCAGGTCTTTTTAAAGGAACATCACCACCTTTGCAATACAGGTGCCAGTCCTTTTTTGAAGGACCATCATCACGTGTACAATACAGGCCTCAGTCCTTTTTCGGAAGAGCATCATCACGTATACAATACTGACGTCAGTCCTTTTTTGAGGAGCATCACTATGTAAGCAATGTAGGCCTCAGTCTTTTTTTGAGGTTTTCAGATTAGGCGGCTGGATGGGTCGGTAGATGGCAAACTTGCTGGAATAAAGCGCAAGGGCCCACTTTGGGACGGTGAAGAACCCGGGGATGAGGCGGAAAAGGAAGGCCAGCTTGGGCATGGCTTCGGTGAGGAGGGCCCGGATGGAGATGTAGTTGAAGACCTCTTTGCCGTCGACATCCCGGAAGCCGTACTGGCGGGCCAGGTCCGGGCTGAGGAGGACCTTGCCGGAATGGCGCATGACGTCGGGGTCGGAGGCCAGGGCCACGATGCACTTCCCGCTCACTTCGGGGGACTCGGCCATGGTGCTCAGCCTCTCCCTCAGGACCTGGTAGAAAGGCTGCGTGCCCTCCTTGGACTCCTTCTCCAGGATCTCGGTGCGGACCAGGCCCGGCCACAGCGCCACGCAGGCCACGCCGAAGGGCCTCAGCTCCACGGCGCAGTCGGCGGCCATCCTGTCACAGGCGGCTTTGCCCACGCCGTAAGGCACGTCGAACATGTAGCGCATCCCACCGGGCGAGGAGATGACGACGATGAGGCCCTTCCCGGCGGGGACCATGAGGCGGGCGGCGTAGACGGCGCAGAGGTAGTGGCCCCTCAGCCCGGCGTTGTTGACCTGGTCCCAGAGGGCGGTGGCGCTCTCCCAGAAAGGCAGGCCCATCTCCCCGGCGATGGCGGTCACCCCGGAGAAGGCGTTGTTGACCAGCACGTCCAACCGGCCCGCCTGTTCGGCCCGCACGCGCTCGAACAGCGCCGCCACCTCCTCCTCGCGCGAGGAGTCGCACACCGCCGCCACGCACTTCCCGCCGCGGGACCGGGCCTCGGCCGCCGCGCGCTCCAGCGCCTCCCGGCCTCGCGCCGTGATGTACACCGTGGCGCCGGCCGCGCACAGCTGCAGCGCGATGCCCTTCCCGATGCCCCGCGAGGCGCCCGTCACCACGCAGACGTGGCCCGCCAGCGGACGCGCCTCAGAGGCCATCTCTGCACCTCTGCGCCCTCCCTCCTTGGCCACCCGCTTATATGCTTCTGCCAGAGGCGGAGCCGCGCGCGCCCTTCTGGCCCCACAGGCGCCGCCAAGGCTTCAGGAGGGAGCCGGGCCAAGCACAAGCAGGCACGCGCATGCGCGCCACGCGGCCAATGGCTCGACGTAGCCTCCAAACAGCCTGGCCAAGCAGCTGTGTTGCCAAGCAGCAGCAATCTCACGCATGCGCACAACACAACCTGTCAACCGTCAGCTCCTTCATTTAGGAGGGAGCAAACAAGCGCATGCGCATAATACCCTGTCAATTCACCGCTCCTTGCTTTAGGAGGTAGTCCTGCCGCATAATACACAACGCCAGGACTGGGCAAACTTCGTCCCTCCTCCAGGTGTTTTGGACTTCAACTCCCACAATTCCGGCTGTTAGGAATTGTGGGAGTTGAAGTCCAAAACACCTGGAGGAGGGACGAAGTTTGCCCAGGCCTGCACTACACTGTCAACTGTCCGCTCGTGTAGAGGTAAACGCGCGCATGCGCACAACACTGCCTTTGGAGCCTTGCAGCAGGAGTCAAAGCACGCAGGACCTATCTCATCTATTTAGCCTAGTGGTGCATCTATTTATTATTTATTTATTTACTATATTCAATGCCTTATATTCACAAACCAAATCATAAATCAAACAACATATATCTAAGCATAAATTCTATAGGAAAAAATTCACCCTAAGATAAGAGGCCATTTAAACATGATAACACAAAAATTAAAAACACCTAATAAAAACATTAAAGGGTTGCTGTAGGTTTTCCGGGCTGTATGGCCATGTTCTAGCAGCATTCTCTCCTGACGTTTTGCCTGCATCTGTGGCAGGCATCCTCAGAGATTGTGAGGTTTGTTGGAAACTAGGAAAATTGGGTTTATATATCTGGGGAAAGTCCAGGGTGGGACAAACCCGTTTGTTGGAGCTAAGTGTGAATGTTTCAGTTGTTCCCCTTGATTAGCATTTGATTGCCTGACAGCTTTTAGGTGTGGCTTGTTCCTGCCTGGGGGAATCCTTTGTTGAGAGGTGATTAGGTGTTTCTGGTTGTTTCTTGTCTGAAGTTCCCTTGTGTTTGAGTTTTGTTCTTTATTTACTGTTATAATTTTAGAGTTTTTAAATACTGGTAGCCAGATTCATTTTCATATCAACAGGATACCAAAATCCACAGATGCTCAAGTTCCATTATATACAATAGCATATGGCAGCAAAACATACAACAAACCCATACTTTCCAATAATCTACATGTTGGTCAGTATGCCACCTGTTACAGCACCCCACACTCGCTGCCAATATGTTTCTGAGCCCAGTTCAAGGTGCTGGTTGTGATCTTTAAAGCCCTAAATCAGGGGTCCTCAAACTAAGGCCCAGGAGCCGGATATGGCCCTCCAAGGTCATTTACCTGGCCCTCGCTCAGAGTTAACCTAAGTCTGAAACTACTCAAAAGCACACAACAACAACAACAACAACAACAACAACAACAACAACCATTCTATCTCAGCCAAAAGCAGGCCCACACTTCCCATTGAAATACTAATATGTTTATATTTGTTAAAATTGTTCTTCGTTTTAATTATTGTATTGTTTTTAAGTGTTTTTTGCACTACAAATAAGTTATGTGCAGTGTGCATAGGAATTCATTCATGGTTTTTTTTTTTCAAATTATAATCTGGCCCTCCAACAATTTGAGGGACTGTGACCTGGCCCTCTGTTTAAAACGTTTGAGGACCCCTGACCTAAATGGTTCAGGCCCAACTTACCTATCAGACTGCATTGCCTCTTATCAACCTGCCTGATCATTAAGATCTTCTGGAGAGACCCTTCTCTTGCTGCCACCACCGTCACAAATATGAGATAGAGGGCCTTCTCAGTAGCCACCCCGGCCCTTTGGAACTCCCTCCCCATTGAGATTAAAACAGCCCCTTCCCTGATATCTTTCAAGAACCAGTTGAAGACCTACCTGTTCAAGCAAGCTTTTGACAAATTCAATTGTTAATGACAGCAAGGTTGATTTGTACTGAACTTAATGAAATATGCTATTTAATTGATTCTCCACAATAACTGTAATTAGTTTTACATATTTTTCATGCTTAATATTTATTTATATCTTATTTCTGGATGTCATTATGCTTTGTGTGATTTTTGTCTTGTATTTTATGTTAAATGTGCTTTGATTTTTATTGTATGATGTTGTGAACTGCTTTGGGTACTGTTAGGGAGAAAAGTGGGATATAAATAAAGATTTTTATTGTTATTATTATAAATACGGGAGCCTCCACTTTATCCCATCACTTTGACATCAAAGTTACTACCACTGTTAAATTACCATAACTAGCTCCAATTGCCTGAACTCAGCCACTCCATAGCATTCTCAGAGGTGTGTGCATATATCATGAGAACAACTCATTCAGCAGAAATATAACATATAGTTAAAGAATATCCTTGTTTTCCAATGTGCTTTGAATCCAGGACCAAAATCCTGGATGCCCAAGTCCCATGACAAACATAGGCCTCTTAAAATGGCACCCCTTATTGTAATAAAATGACAAAATCAAAGCTAGCTTGTTGGATGTTTTAAAGTATTTTCAAGCTGTGGGTACAGAATCCAACTGTATATCTAATGTATATCTAATGGTTGCATAGAAGGAGGAAGTCCTTTTCACATCACATCTGCTGATCAACCCTCTTCTAGGCAGCCTTTATAGTAGGTACTTTTACAGGCTCCATTGCACAATTGCCTCACCTAAACGCTGAAGGAATGTACGGGAGCCTCTTCTTGAGAGTATTTTTTATTTGGAGAGGAAGAGGAAGAGGGTGTTGCTTTGTTTGGCCGTTAATTGAAGAAGAGCTATGGTTTGATTCACACCATCAAAAAGGCAGTGGTAGTTGTTTGTTGAGTAGGGCGTGCACACATTGGTCCAAACCTAGTAGACAGCCTAATAGGAAGAAATCCAAATACTGGGGATATGCCGTTTCCTTGTCCGCAACACACATTTGTGAAGGATGATGCCTAAGCAAGCAGGAGGAGACATAGATTTGTCTTAACTCATTACATTTGGATTCCACCCTTCCTCCAGGTAATGCGGAGCAGTAAACAACACAGAGATATCTTTTCTTTATATCTTTCCCATGAGTCTATGAGGTGGATTCAGATGCAGTCTTACAGTCCAAAGTTACTCATTCAACTTGATGACTGAAGAACTTGAACTGAGGTCCAAGGGCAAGATGAAGCATATCTAATTGACAGGAATGATATTAAACTGCAACCTCATCACGCTATGGCTCTTTTTTTTCTAAAATGAAAACAAGAGTGCTATAATGTTATTTATGTTCTGCACTAGTCTCAGTTGCATCTGAGAGACTAGACCTCTCACAATTGGTTTCTAAACAGTATACTTTCTATTAATGAAATATTAATTGTGATGCTCCCTTCCCAGGCCTTCGTGTATAAGATAACTCGTTCGTTCATATAACAGGACCATTATAGCTCCCTCATGTCAGTACTGAGAATCCATCACATAATCATAGTGGTTCATTAGAATCATGCTGTAAAATATATAGGATATGCTCTTGGCCTCAAGAGTGCTGGATCTAGTTTGGGGCTATGTGCAGCACTTTGGATAGCTCCCCAGACCTTTAAGCTCAAGGAACTGATATGCTCTACCATAGAGCACAGATCCTTAATAACAAGATCACTATGCTAGCTTTTGTATTGGATCTTTGTATTTTCATCTTTGTACCATGTGTTTTGGTGTATGTATTTTTAGTAGTGATAAACTACTACCAGACTGCTGATTGGATAGTATAAATACACTCGAGCCTTGTTAGATCACATTAGCCCATTTAACAACTTTGGCCATACAATCAACTCACACATCTGTGAACCTTCGTGTTGTTTTGATATTAATTTGGATGTTTTATATTCAAGTTCCATATTAGTTATAATTTCCAATTGATTATGTTTTATTTGAATTATAGTTGTTATGCTTAAGTTACTCTTTATGTGAAGTTATTTTGGGTTATTATATTTGTATTTACTGTTACTGAGGCATTGAATGTTTGCCTTTTTGTTTGTTGGAATCTGCCCTGAGTTCCCCAGGGAAGATAAGGCAGAATATAAATAAAGTTATTATTATTATTATTATTATTATTATTATTATTAAGAATAATCAATACAGCATCAATAGAATACAAATCAAAACTCGTGGTTTGAAGTTGACTGGGTAGGCCTGCCAGAAGAGTTGGATCTTCAGCTTTGTCTTAAATTCTGACAACTCATTTAACCGTTGACTCTCTCCCAGCAGGTCATTCCACAGTCAATGCAGCAGCCAATGAAAAGGTCACCAGTTGGGTTCTGGCTAGTTGGAGTAAAAGTCCCTCAGAGGCCCGCAGTGTTCAAGGGGCAGATTTTATGGGAGAAGGTAATTATGTAGGTAACATGGACCCAAATTGCCATGCAATAATAATAATAAAAAACTTCATTTATAACCTGCCCTATCTCCCCGAGTTAGATAGGGCTTTAAAGATTACAACCAACACTTTGCACTTTGTCTGGAAGCAAATTGGCAAGTCAGTGAAGTGACTTTAATATGGATGTCATATACTCACTCTAGATGTTACTGTGACCAATCTGACTGCCATGCTTTGAACCAATTTGAGTTTCTAAGCTTGGTACAGAGGTAGCCCAATGTACAGCATATTGCAGAAGTCCAAACTTGAGGTTAACAGTATGTATACTACAATTCTTTAGGTCTTCTAAATAAAGAATAGTCCTACCCTAAGATAATTCCCCTTTTTTCCCCATAATCAAGTACTTGTATAATCCCTGAATTATAATATTAATTAAATGTTAATCCATAAATTGAAAAATGATCACTGTTTGGACCACTATCCTCCTAAAGGGATATGTCTTGCATTTAAGAATCTGACTTGATGTAGCATTCTTATCTTATCTTATCTTATCTTATCTTATAGTTGTGAATATTTTATTCACCACTATAAATGGTCATGATGGAATTCCCAGTAGAATATAAATATCCCTCTGCTTTCAAAGCAATAGATGCCGTGATATTTGTTGCTACTAAGAGGTTGCAACGTACTTTATCTAAGTTGTTGTAAGG